AATCATTCAGGAAACAAAATTCAGCTGCCTCAAACCACATTTCTGGTAGAAACCTGAGAGCCATGAGAGCTTGCTTGTAGACGTAGACGACTCGGTTCTTGAATGCCGCTGGCTCATCCTCCTTGAGAACGAGAGGATCTGCCTTCTCCCACTGGATCCAGCGTTTCCAGATTTCAACCTGCTGCCCAAATTCATCATCGCCATCATACCCGAGGATGGGAGGTAGCCTCGGCAAAGTTGTACGATTCAAGTCTCGCGTAGTGTTCTGGAGTTCGGTGTACGAGCTGCGAGCCGTCATGTATGCCGGTGATTGCTCCTGGAGGAATTTTCGGCCCTGAAGTGAAAACATGGGATGTTAGAAGCAACGCACGCTAAAACCAAAAGAAGAAAAAACAAAGATTCGATCGATCGATCGACAGACAAAAAAATCGCAGACTAAAGCAGGCGAAGGGGAGGTTTCGAAATACCGTGAGTTTGTTAAGACCCATCTCAAACTGGTCGTACTCTTTCCACATGGTGTTGATAGCCTGCGTGGGAACCGCAATAGCTTTTTGATAGGCCTTTCGGAGCAAATCCATCTTCTGCTGATCTTGCCATCCAGAGCCGCCGACATTTCCGGGACCAGAGCGAATGAACTGAACGTAGTCGGCCCAGATAGAGCCGGAGTCTTTATCTACACCAACATACTGAAGGGCCAAGTCGTAGGCGGACGAGATGATCGTCCTCGATTGAGCAGCGTTGTCGGTGGTCAGAGGATTACGTCGACGGACATAGTCCAGATAGACGGTCCAAAGTTGAACATCCGCAATGGTCAAGAGAGTTCGGTTGAAGATCTGCTCAAGACGGAACAGCTCGTTGAGCTCGGATTCCATGGTCGCGTACGCAACCCATTGCTCAGCCTAGTAGATACGGTTAGTCCATCAAGCTTCGATTTTCTCATCAGGCACAGCGCGGAAAAAAAAGGGGAAGAAACATACTGAAAAGGGGAAAACTTTCAGGAAGCGCTCGTATACATCCCGGGCGCTGTCGATCCTACTGCGACTCCTGTGTTCATTAAGCAACTCGATCCAAGCGGGGATGTCACCTCGCGGGTCTTCTTGGATTCTGTCTTCCAAAATGCCCACTCTATCGTGAGGCAAGCGACCCTTCGAAGTGGACGGAGAGTCTGGCGCAGGAGTAGCTGTGGCGCTTCCTTGCGCATGGTCAGACTGTAACGTACGTGAGTTGTACAAAGAGCCCGGAGGAATAGACGCATCATTTTTAGAAGCAACAGCAGGGGGGTATGAACTATTAGGAACATTCTTCACGCCGGCAGAATTCTGCGCAGCTTCATCCAACGATACATCAGGGGTAGAAGTATCTTCATTTGCATTTCCTGAGATTTGGTGCTGAGGCACATTCATAGGTATAGCATCCATGTCCTCGACACCTAGTACAGCTGGGGGCTCATAATCTGCATCACCCGCGTCATCCTCATCCTCATCCTCAACCACAAAGCCCCCAATCGTTCTGGTCTTCGGTTGTGCAGTAGTACCAGATGCAGGTACCGCGGTGGAAACCTGAGACTCAGCTCGGGAAGGTGTCTGGGAAGGGAAGGCGTTGCCAGCTGGCTGACTGGGGTCGGTTTCGGGGACTTGGGGAGTCTGATCTTGAGGGTTGGGTTGGGGGGTAGCACTGGCAGAAACGTGTCCGTTTGGGTTGGAGTCTGGCAAGGGAGCGGAAAATTGGTCATGCAATGTGTTTGAAGGATCATAATCATCTGAATCTGAATTATCTGCCCCCTGATCTTCACCCGCCTGATAGCCCACCGATTCCGCATTCATTGCCTGAGACTGGAAAAAGGCCTTCTCAGCGTCATCGTCGGCCATGACAAGAGGATGGGTTTCGATAGCGACCACGAGGCGCAGATCAGAAAAAAGTAAGCCTATATACTAGGAGCGGAAGTTGGTTGGTCAGCTAAGGTATGTTCGGAGATGTCATGCGAGAGAGGGGGTCAGGGAGTCATCCGCATTCAGGACAGAGAGTACCTACAATAAATACCTAAACCTTGCACAAAGAAAAAAGGATAGATGAGAAAAAGAAGAAGAGGGATAAGCGATACAAAGACAAGCCCAAAGCAAATGAGTGATGTCCAAGGGGAAAAGGGGGGGGGGGGGGGGGTGGTGTGGCAGAGGCTGCTGGAACAAAGAAATTGCCGCGATGGATGATGCCGTTAGAAGCTGCAGCTGTCAGGGCGGCTGCGCACGTGACACCAGGGCGGTGGGCGCGAGATGCGTCCGACACACGCGGCGCGTCGAACGCTTTAATTGAGCACCTTACGGGAACCGTCTCCAGTTTTTCCCTCTGCATTGCTTCCGTCTCCCAAGCAACTCGCTTTTTCTTCCCTCAAACATATCCCTACCTTTCTCCTCTACAAAATCTCGCCTGTTCCAATCACAATCTAATCCTCAGTCCTCATCCCAAGCCCTCTTCCCATCCCTCTAGCCATCATCTCCTCGTGTCCCTGTTAACCCCCCTCTCACACCCACATCATGTCTGTCGTCTCTCTCCTCGGGGTCAAGATCCTGAACAACCCGGCCCCTTTCCTCTCGCCGTATCAGTTTGAGATCACCTTCGAGTGTCTTGAGTCGCTGCAAAAAGGTGTGTGGTCGACACGACAAGGCCAAGCTGAAAGATACCCCGCTAACCGTGGACGACAGATTTGGAATGGAAACTCACCTACGTCGGTTCCGCGACCTCGTAAGTTGAAATTCCCGGTCAATCCGACTTACGATAATTCTCTCCTGCTTACACAGTCATTCAGCTCCGAATATGACCAAGAGCTCGACTCCCTGCTCGTCGGACCCATCCCCGTCGGTGTCAACAAGTTCATCTTCGAAGCCGATCACCCGGACCTGAAGCGCATCCCTACGTCGGAAATCCTCGGTGTGACGGTCATTCTCCTTACTTGCAGCTACGACGGCCGGGAGTTCGTCCGAGTGGGTTACTACGTGAACAATGAATACGACTCGGAGGAGCTTGCCACCGAGCCGCCCGCAAAGCCTATCATCGAACGCATCCGTCGGAATATCCTTGCTGAGAAGCCCAGAGTGACCCGGTTTGCGATCAAATGGTACGACCCCTGTGATTGTCGGAAACGATTTCTAGCATCTTTCCCTCTTCTCCTCCCCTCTACTTGTCGTGGACACATTGCTAATTCTCTACTACTAGGGACACGGAGGAATCTGCCCCCGCCGAATACCCCCCAGACCAGCCCGAAGCCGACAACCTGGACGACGACAGTGGAGCCTACGGTGCGGAAGAAGCCGAGCTTGAAGCCGCTCTGGTCAAAGAACTCGCCGACCACGAAAAGGAACCGGCCCCCAAGACCGAAGACCACGACATGGAGGGCACCGAGCCCGCCGCCGTCAAGGAAGAAGAAGAGGAAGACATCTCCGACGGCGAGAGTGAGGACATCGAAGACGAAAGTGATGACGATGACGACGATCTTGACGAAGAGGATGGCGGTGATGGCGACGAGGACGTGGAGATGGGCGACGACTCCGAACAGAAAGACGAGTCTGCCAACGGCAAGGTCAACCCTTCGGGCCAGCAACCCCATCAATCGGAAGTCATGGTTCACTGATCTACTCCACGTGATTCGAATCCGGCATGAATTTTGATTTCTTTTGATTCCATTTTTTCCCTTTTATAAATCGAATGATTTGATGATTCGATTGCAACGCTTTGATGACAAAACCAGCTTTATTTCACATATTTACTTTTAGCATCTACTTCTAGTTGTTATGACATAGATTGAGTCTAATCTCGAACCACAATAAAATATACCATCTTCCAAAAATTGCCGATAAATTCCCACTCCTCTACCACACAGCTCCTACCAATCCCACAACCTCCCCTTCTCCTTCACCGAATCCCCTTCGCAGCAAGGGAAATGAACCAGGGATATATACGCATGTCTGTCTCCGTGCATTCCCAACGGTCCGCAAATTTCAAGGACGTAGCTTCACCCCTAACATGAAGTGAACGCAAGGATGGGATCAAGCTACCAAAGCAAAAACCGCTCAATCACTACCCCCCTCCCCCAGTGCGTGAGCGATGAATTGTCAGCTCCACCCCTGCATGTCTATTGACTTAGCGGCAACTAGTGCTTGATGGCGTGGTGTGGTCGGCTGTCTCTCCCACTATCGGGGCCTACGGTGCGGTGAAGTTAAAAGTTCACATGAAGTGGCAAGCCAGGGCGAGGATGGGGCCAAATTCAAAGTCCCGCGGTAGAATGCTGTAGGTATCACTGCTAGGACTGCCTAGGCTATGCGCCCGTCTTGTTCACCGAATGATGTTCTTGCGGTGAAGTGATATTCATACCAAAGGGGGGATTTAGACATGACGGATTACTAGGAAGAACATATTTCATTTACTAGACTGGTGGTGGAGATTTGTTGGCGAGTAGGCTCGGTAAGGGTGCACCCTTTTTTCTCCTATAGTACAAGAAGGAAGGGGGTTATTTTTGTGAATGATAGGTAGGGATGTTCCGTCTTTGGGAAGGAATATCACTACGTATGATACTAGTTGAAGATGAATATCAAGGATAACTTACCAGAGTCAGAGGGATTCATTGTAGTCCGATGGTGGTGAAGGAAGAAATCCTACTTATCACTGAAGAAGATTGAAGAAAAGTAGTGATTACGTCTAGACTAGTGAAGCTGTAAAATATACTCTGTTGCTGATTTGAATTCAGTCTGGTAAATCTATGTCAGTCCTCTATACTGTAATGATCCCGAATGACTCGTGTTCCATGAGAAGGACAAAGGAAAAGGTAGCACATTCAACAAGACAAAACCAACGCCAGGAAAGCCAGGGTATGTAGCGGGAAAAAAAGTTGTTTTTTGCTTTCTCAAATCGTTACAACATACGCATCTCCCATAATTGTATTAAGGAGTAGGGCCTGGGATATATTAGGCGCTAAAATAGAAAGGTAGAATAGCGACACCCGGGCAAAATTACAACCCAAATTTAGATCCCAGTACTAGATCATCCATTAGTATGGCTTCGAAATGGACAAATCAGAGTATCACTTACCACCAAGGACGGCTTTCTTCTTCTGATTCGAGACAAATTTGTTGACGTCACGGGCCCAGCCGCTGCTGCTTTCCTCCAAACGCTCCATCTGGTCTCCGGCCGTTCCAATTCTTTCGGTGCGCTCCTGCACTTGGCGCTGCATGTAGGAGAAGTACCCCTCTTCATTGCCTTGCGGAGCTTGGCTGGATGCGGATCTTCCTTCTCTTTCGGTTCGTCGCCTTTCCTGGTCATCGAGGCGCATCTGCTCCTGCATCCGTTTGGAGAGAGGACGATCGGGGCCTCCGACTAGAAGAACAGTGTCAGCATACAGCCTCACAGCCAAAGTAATTACTATAAGATAGAAATAAGACAGGTTTCTTACTAAGGATGTCCATATCCGCGGGAGAAACATATTGGGTGCCGGATATCCATTGAATGTTTGTGATAGTAGGTCGTGGGGGAATGACAGCTTGGACATTGAAAAGTTGATCCTCCGAACGTTTCCTAGATAATCCATCAGTATCTGGTCGGTATTCAGAACAGAGTTTAGTATAAGGGGCCTCATACAAGGGAATTCCAGATCCCCACACGCTGAACAGCCCTATCTCCGAGGGGCCCGTCCAAACCAGGGTCGTGCCGTTGGAAGAAACAGTGGCTTCTGAGAGACGTCTCATATCCACCATGTTGTTGATGGCGCTGCACCCAATCTCTTTGAGACCTGGAATGGAGAAAGCTCGCGTGTTGCCATCGCCAAATAGTCCAACCAAGCTATAACCCCGACCTTCCATCTTGACCACGGCAGCCGAGTCACACAGAAAATCGTCCCAAGACTTATGGGCGCCCTTGGATGTAGCAGGTTTGAAGATCCGGCAGCCAGAAACAGTCACAGCGAGGACAACGCCGTTGGTTCTATTGCCATTCCTCAGGCCAGAAACCGCATTTGGAGTAGCTAGAGCAAGCTCGCCGCTTTCTGCATCAATGGGATTGATCTTGATGACCTTATCATCTAATGGGATTGAGCCAGCAAACGAGGCCTCATAGGCTCCATTGCTGCCCGGAAGGATCTTAAAGGTAGCGAAATTTCCTCGATTCGTGCCGACAAAGCAGCAAATGCTTGAATAGTCTGTAAAATATAGTTAGCGTGCATTCATCACTGGAAAATATTTTGAGCCCTGATTCTTACCCTCGCCTTCCAAGGTCATTACACCGAATTCAATGCTTGTAGGCCACTCTGGGGGCGCTTCCTCCGGAGAACGGGACTTGAGGAAACTGCTCCGTTTACTGGGTTTCGTGAGCTGCGAAAGGGTTGCAGTGTGGATGACTGCTGGTCCGCGCAAATCGATGATGGCCAAGCTGCCGCCTTCAAAGCCCGCCGCGACGAAACCAACCTGGCTGTGTTTCAAAGCAGTGACCGGGCCCTGCTGCATGTTCAAAAGGGTTAGAGGAAGAATTCCTTGTTTGAGTCCAGGATCGGTCCGGTGAGTGATGTTAGTCAATTTTCCTGCCCCTTCATTGGCTCCAGCAGGCCCCTCGTTGCCAAAGCTTCGATTGTTGCCCCATCTGAATACCACAACCTCGCCGGTCCGGAGACCAACCGAAAGCTCGCCAGTTGAACCACCCAGAGCCATCTCAGTCACTTCAATCCCGCCGACTCGGCCAACAGCACGAGCCAAGTCGACCTGGATGACGTCGCCATTTTCAATCTCGTCGTCATGGCCCACGTCCCACAGACGAACAGTACCGTCCGCATGTGCTGTTGTGATTATGCTGCGATGTTCAAATCGCTTGAGGGTCTTATGCGCTTCTGCGCCCCCGAGAAGGAACTTTGGTCCTTGCGATCGCCTCTCCTTCAAGCCCAACCAAGCAGAGCGGTCCACGGGCGTCAAAACTATTTTGTTGACGAAGGGATGAACAAATGAAAGGGAGGGATGAAGCATATTCGTAGGGGTGATCGGATGGCCACTCGGGAAACTCATAGTGATCAATTCGCCCGAGGAAAGTAGAGAGATAAGGGCAATGGGGTCATGGCAGCCAGCGTAGTAAGGAGAGGCTCGCGGGATAAGGCAAAAGTCGACAACCTCCGCACCCGGTGGAGTCGGGAGGTTCATAATCTGTCGTGGTGTCTCGAAATATCGAGAAAGAATAGCCCAGGATGACGTCTGATAATTGGGAGTCGGGCCCAAATCCAAAAACGTAAGTCCCTTGTTGGACTCGGCTTTCGGGCGACCACCGGCGATCAACAGCCCGCTGTCATCGCCATTCTCCTTGACACACCAAGCAACACGAGAAATAGGGTCCTTCAGACCAACAGCACCACCGGATGAGAGTGGTCGTTCTGGGCCAGCGCCCGGCTGGTCGATGTTGGCATCTTGGATCGATCTGGCCATGATCCTACGTCCATCCTTTGTATCCCAAAAGACAAGGCTGTTATCATCGTGAACAGTCAGGATGAAGATCCCATTCGGATGCCACAGGGCCTGGGTCAACCTCGGCCTGCGCGGTTCGTGTGCCGGGACCTCGCCGTTTCCACCGAAGGCGCCTTGGGGGACCTCATATTCAAAGTATTTCTGTGCGACGTTCTGTTTAAAAGAGAACGTCACAGCACCTTCAGGATATCCAACAAGAATCTTTCCAATATCGCGGGGCGAGAAGGATAACGCAAGGACGGGGCAAAATCGGGCTCTTGGGTTGCGCGAGGCCCAGAGGTTGGGGATTTTGAAAGGCGTCAGAGACTCGCGGTCGAGGTCGTAAGCGATGATGTCACCTGCACGAATATATCAGCATCGCCTGAAAGGTCCTCCGTATTGCGGCGTAGTATTACCATTTTGTAAACCAATGAATGCATAGTCCAGGCTCGGATCGGTCAATACCGCGCTGACATGATTCGGAGGAGCATAAGAGAAGAGGGTTTGTCGCGTTTCCAGGGAATAGACCGAGATTTCGCTCTTGGAGTCCACGCTTATGAGTTTATTGGCGCAAAACTGGAGGAACTTGGCCGACGCCTTTCGGGGGAGCGAAAAGGTGACCGACACCCGGCGCTGGCCGAAGACATAGATCTGCCCACTTCCAAATTGTGTATCGCTGGTACCGATGGCAAGGAGGGACTGGACGGGATCGTAGGCGATAGCACTGATCTGGGAATTGACGCCGTAGCGGGCAAACTGCGAGCGCGTTAGCAACGGAGGTAGGCGGGAATGTGGATGCCTGCGGGCGTACATCGTCGAGAGCAAACAGATCCGGCGACAGGCCCTCTGAGAAATCCTTCTGAATGCCAGCCTGCTTGGCCCTTAGAAAGTGCGACATTTTCGGTAGATTTTAAGCTCCGTGGTCGGGCACGAAGAAGGAGGTTGAAGGAAGAGAAGGAGGAAAAACCCAAGGAGGGGGAGGTCTGGTAGGGAGCGGAGCGGAGACCCCACAAAGCCGCGGCTGCCTTGACGCCTTGGCGTTTTCGGAGTTTACAGACCGGTGAGCATTGCTGCTTTCCACACGACTGCGCCTGGCACCTCTACATGAATGGGCTTTTGAATATCATTGAGTCTTCGAAAATACTTCACAATTATCCAAGCGCCCCTCTCTGCGGAATGATCAGGGATTGACGAGCGACCTACCAGTCTCCATGAGGGTGTTGGTACACAGGGACGTACTCTTCCGCCTGGCCCGGGGTTCGACCTCGCTTAGTCATCACTTAGTAAGCTAGATATCTTAGATAACTAAGTGGCCACACCGGCCAATAACTACAGAAAACATCCATCGCTTCCACAGAGGGAACATATCACGTGATTTGGCTGTCTTCCACGTGATTGACCATCGGCATTTGGGGTGCCTGAGGTGCCAAATGCCAAGCCTTCGTCGGTTCCCTTCCAGGTATACAACTCTACAAATAAGGGATAGAGGATCTTTTCTTCTATAAATTCAGCTACAGAAGGACCTGGTCAAAAAAGTCGATTTGCCAACAACATAGGACACGTTAATTGGAGGTTGAAAGACGAACTCTCATGGTCAGGTGGGGATCTCTTAAGTGTGGCGCCCAGACCCTTGACACCGTTGCATCGCGTAAGGACGTATCGTATATTGGCCCTAGTGCCCCGTCAGATTCGAAACTCCCTTGTATAGACCCATCCAACTAACATATGATTATCGTTTGGGCCAGGGTTGATGATCCTAGCAAGCACGCGAAAGTGCCACCACAAAATGTTCGTGTAGCTGACAAGCCCAACCGCCCCAGAGACCAGGGTATGTTCTTAGGCTGATTCGTGCGACTTTCCTGCTCCACTTGAGAGAACTGGAATGTGTTGGACCGAGAGCCTCCATTGGCAAAGCTGTACAGGCGAGGGGCTGACTAGCATGAAAATATGAGCCCCCAAGTTTGGCGCCAGGCAGATTAATGCATGACAGACGTGACGATGATAGCCCCCGAGTGATCCCGGAGTGGCCAGGATTGTGTGGGCGATACGCGCAAAATCTGATGGTCAGACATAGCAAGTACAGCTTCGGATTTCCCCGTCCAGTCTTTCCAACAATAAGCTGAACATTGAATTGCTCCAACATGGCTCTATTTTCTTGCTTGACCCCGAAGAATTCACAAGGGACGGAGCATATGGCCCTATCATAAGGGCCGGCCCCCTAGGCTGAATAGACTATATCCTCATGTGCAGTACTCGAATAAGGAAAGAGTCCGAGAATCGACCCAATAGTTGTGGTTGTATTCTGGGCGTAGTTGGTCGTTTTCGTTGTTTGTTTGCTCGGTATAGTAGGATTCATATCCATGAGGCCCCAATTCGTATTGTAGATTGCAGGTTAGGATGAAGTTATACCAGACAAGAGTACTGTTGGTTCTCATCTATAAGAAGGAAGGATACCAATTACCATTCTGTTTGAATCTTTGATGGTGTTTGCAGGCTTAAAAACATTTACTGAATTGATATCCCTTCATCTTCTATTAAAAGGCCAGCCAATCAGGAGCAAAGATGATGGTGAGCTTTAGCGACTCTGTTAGGAGTATTCTTTTGCTATGCTGACCTCCGTCTTCAAACCAGAACGCTCGGTATCTCTTCATGAGCACCTTCGCGGTATTTAGGAGGTACATACAGGCATGGACATATCTTTTCTCCGGCCCTGAGAAGATCCACACAAAATATAACCAGGTCAGATTTTGAAAGACCATTCCTCACGCAATGAAATACTGACGAAATTATCCAAAGGCCAAGGACAAACCATTCGAGATTGTTGCTCCAGACACCCGGTATTTGTTCGTGTCATCTCCCAAGCATATCAAGGAGATAGAAAAGGCGCCAGAGAACGTCCTCTCCCTCTACGTCGCCTCAAGCCATGTTAGGATATACTCCTTTCTGAGCTGGATCATGCTAACTTATTGTAGATGCTACAAGCTCAATACACTATGCACGGATTCAACTGGGTCGATGGCAAAGGGGCAGCTGAATTCGGACTTGCACGAGCTTTGCGTACTGTTTTGACACGCAACATTCCCCAACTTCTTCCGGATCTCACAAGGGTAGTTCAACAACGATTTGCTGATCTCCGGATGGAGCATTCATTAGTCAATGGTAAGATCTACCATGAGGAATTGAGCCGAGTTAGTGATTAACTAGAGCTAGGTGTGCGGCAATCCCCAGTATACGAGATGATTCTCGAGCTTGTGGTCGTATCCAACGCATTGTCATTTTTTGGTCCCGAGCTAGGTACGTCGTTGTGTTAGCTGATGTTTGCGAAAGAGCTGTCGTACTAACTCCAAACAGCGAAAAACCGTTCATTTCTCAAGGCGGCCGTGGTCTACGTTGAGGAGACTATGGTGGGTGCCGAGGTGATCCGATTGATGCCGAGGTTTCTCGCTCCGTAAGTGTACCAGGCCTCAGTTTATATTGGAAGTGGGAAGAGTATTTCTCTAACATACGATCACATAGTCTGGTTGGTCGTATAATTTCCAGTCGATTTCGTGCTCAGGAGACGGTGTATAACGTCCTACTCCGTGTCGTCGAAGAGCGATGTCGCCAGAGAGACATGGGCAAGCTAGGCCATGAGATTGAGAACCATGTACGGCACCCGGAATTCCTACATTATGATTGAATGAGAAGATTCTAATTTTAATGATTAGGCCGATTGTATCCAGTGGATGCTTGAGAACTCGCCACATGAGAAGTCATACTCACCCACCCGTATCGTCCACGAATTGATCGCGATCTGGTTTGGTTCTGTACATGGACTGGCAATGGTAGGGCAATTTTCCTGGAGCAAGATCTGCGAAGTTCGAGACTGACCATCTATGCCCATTGAATTATTCATTCACACAGACACTCACATTTGCCATTCATGACCTTTGTCTACATCCGGAATATGTTGACCCTCTCCGAAGTGAGATCGAAAGCCAATTTGATGGTTTCCAGAATACCGGAAAGGGTCTTCCTCTATTAGAAAGCTTCATCAAAGAATCTGCCCGTCTCACCCCAGTTGAATCTTGTAGGTGTCTCCTTGAGTGCTTCAAATTAATCCGTGCTTTCTGTATAGGATAGGCATTAACAAGAGAACCAGTGAGCACCCGCCGCCAAGCCGTCCAAAGTTTTACGTTCTCCGACGGGACCAAATTAGCGGCTGGAGATTGGACGTGTACCCCTGTTGGCGCGATGATGCTAGATCCAGGCAGCTACCCAGAGCCTTCGCAATTTAGCGGGTTTCGATTCGCGGATCCCGGCTTGCTCCAGGGATCTCACACGCTTCAACCGCGACCGTCCAAGTTGACCGACGTGAGCGAGACGTGGCAGATGTGGGGGACAGGACGCATGGCTTGGTAAGTAATGGTCTCGTCATTCAGTATGCTCTCGCTGATAGGAAACGTCGCAAAGTCCCGGTCGATTTTATGCCGCCGCAGTGATGAAGGTGGTTCTCTCACAGATCATCCTAGGATATAACTGTAGTCTGGTAGATCCCGCAGCTCCTCGATTTCATATCTGGCGTTCCAACATGGTGCCTCGAAAGGCGACCAAGGTGGTTTTCGAACCCCGAGAGAAGGGAGTGAAAGGTTGGTCTTGGTGATCGGTAACGGTGGATATGTTTATATGTTTGTTCTGTTTGCCGTGTTTGTTTTTGATCTCCTCTCAGCGTCAACTTTTTCTTTTTCTTTTTCAATGAACCAACCCCACAGGATCTGTACGGAGTAATCTTAAGAGCCAAATTGTTAACTTCCGTTTCTTTGCAGCAATGGACATCTCCCCAATATCTAAAAAACTTTCCCCAACCCCCACAGCATTCCCAAATTGCTGTCTCTCCATCTCCACTACCCTACTATCCCACCTCGCCTCTCTTCTCCCCCAAGTCCCCTCCTTCACTATATCAATCGGTAGTGGATCCGGCCTCCTCGAAGCTCTCCTCTCCCACCGACACCCAAATGTCTCAGTCGAGGGCGTCGAGGTCAACTCCACTGTGAACCGCTACATCCCCGAACAAAATATGAACACCGTCCACGGGACCTGGGACCTTCATCCCCGTGTCAAAGATGCCGCAGCGTGGATGTTTGTGTATCCACGCGAGCCGAAACTCGTATCTAAGTATCTTGATGGATTTACGGGGGGTGAAGTCAAGGTGATACTTTGGCTGGGTCCGAGAGCTGATTGGGCGGATTATGAACCGTGTTTTCGGGACTCAGAGGTGTTTGCGGATGTTCAGGTGCAGGAGGATGTTGGATTAGCGGAGTTTGAGATGTTGGTTGTTATAAGAAGGAGGGAGGAGGGGTTCGGAACGAATTGATTTCTAAAGGATGGTATGTGAACGCTATAATGAGATTATTTGTGTATAAGTTTCTAAGTGAGAATATTCGACTTTAAATATAAGCGATATCATTACGGTAAAGAAAGAAATAAGAAACAAAAAATAAAAATAAAATAAAATAAAAAAACTGGACAAATAAATCCGTAATTGAATTTATATGGAAAAGCAAAATAGTGTCAACACAACGTCACACCGTCAAAACTACTTCAGAAGTACTCCAAGAAGCGAAGCTGCCTCTTCTCCTCTGTCATCTTGCTAAACTCCTCGACCTCTTTATCCTTGACCGAGAGGAACCACTTCACCAAATCCTCGCCAACCTAGCCTGTCAGAGCCTCGTCCTTCTTCAGACAATTCAGTGCGTCTTCGAGAAGTTCCCACCCTGGGCGCATAAGGTACTCGACGGGTAGCGCCTCCGTCTTCGGTTGGCTGCTGCCGTATATACACTTTCGATTTGGGCATGACCATTCAGGATCCTCGTGTAGAAGAAAGATGGCTCTAATACAAAAATATCTCGCCTGGTTTGATACACAAGTTGCGGCGTACCTAGAAAAAGAACTGTCCGTTACACCAACGCCAAAATTCTTGGAGGCGACACAAGTATCCAAGCGTAAGAAGGTGCCAGTCAAACAAGGCCACGTGGTGTCTTAGGAGGAGGGAGTTCTTCATGGATATGGAGAGAGCCCGCAATATACAGGGTAGCCTCCGCTGGTTGCTCCGCAAAGACTACCTGCGGCTTGTGCGATCAACATTTACGCTTGGTTCTCTCGCTAATCTTAAACCAGTACGTCGATATGCTGTGGAATGTCGATTTCTATGACGATCTCGCAAAGTACGTACCGGGCTACACGACAAGCGACAGGCGGACTACCTTCAAAGCGAAAATCAACCTTCCCAAGGGTGCCGAGAGACCCATTGCCGTGCTTGCAATAAACCGGCAAGAGGGTGCTTGAGCATGCTGAGGGACAGCCAGTATTGTAGAATGCACTCGGGAGGAGAACGTTTGGTTCCAAATCGGCATGGGTAAGGGCCCATGTGCGAGTTTCTAGGGAACTCGGTGCCGGAGTTGCCGTTCCCGCATCTGAAGTGGCTGGATGAGAAGGTGCAGATTGCGTTGCAGAGCGTGATGAAGCCGATGACGTGGAAGCTGGTGACTGCAATGTTCATCTATACCGGTAAGGTCCTGTAGAAGTAATGCTCTATAAGTCTCTAGCCCCTATTAGCAGTTGGTAGATCCACCCGGCTATAGGTATAGTGTCATGTGTTCCGATTGGCTCGTGTCGATGAATTGTTGCCGAGGTACCCTGTCCTCCCATTTACTTGCAATCATCCTTTCTCTCAAGGCGCGCTCATCTCTCTCCCTTTTACTCCCTCATGAAAAGAAAAATGACCCCAACAGATCATTTGAGCCGCCAGATATGTCCTGGGATGCAAATGAATACGAGCCGGCCAGTAACGAAGCGTGCTCTGAGGGCCTGTTCCGAGTGCAGTGTCAGGAAGCGCCATTGCGACATGCTTGAGCTAGGCGGTACGTGCACTTATTCTCGGAGAAATGAGCTACGCTGTGTTGTCAAGTCCAGTAAGCGAAAGAATCTTAAAGGGAAAACGCAGCCTAAGCAGGTAATGAACATTGCTCCCTATCAATATCAGTTTCCGGTTGTTGAGACGTGAGTGTCCCGATATCTACCTACCGTCAAATAGTTGGATAATCTTATAATTTTCTAGTCAGATTCAATCAGTTATATCAGTCGCGCCTTCTGTGAGCCCGGAACTTCCGGTCTGGCATCCCCTGCATTCTGGAGCGCTGGAACTGCGGAGGCTGCTCGACGACCTTGATCTGCCGTACTCGATCCATGAATCCCCACTGTTGGCCACCCAATATCCAGATAAAGCACCTGTGCCTCCACAAGTTGATGGAAACTCGTCGCACGCATCAGCCGCACATTCCAGCTGCAGTCAGCCCGACATCTTGACAAATTGGCAAAGTCTCCCTCCCTCGCCCCGCGAGCCGACCTCTACGCCCCTCGGCTTCGCAATACTTCAGCACAGAGACTCTTGTATAGTTTCCGATGGTGAAGAGCACTAGGCCTCAAATGAGGCAGATACCCGCGTATTAGTCGATTACGTCTACCACATAATAACTGGTTTCTTCGTATTTACATCGCTTCGATTGTTTTCGACTTCTGCATTTCATCCATGTCATATTATCGGACTTTCAGAATGATTCACAGTATTAGTTCAGCTTTGTTCCTTCATTCTCGGTTCCACGTATCCCAGAAATTGAAGATAGAAGCCTCGTCCATCAGAAGGTCAATAAAGTCGTCCGCGGCTACATTGTTATATCCCAACCCATCGATTCCAGGCTCAGCTTCGGTTGCATCTTCAGCCGTACCAGCTGCATGTATAGCCGTAGCATTGGTATTATTGACAGCGGGAGCAGAGTGGCCTAATAATGTGCCCTCGGTGTACTCTGGGAACAGCTGCTGGATGGCCTTTGCGAATATCCCGCGGTATATCGAGGCAACGGTGTATGTCTTTTGAAGCTCTTCCATCACCAGCATGCACATGGTGAGCTTGTTCAGCCGGAGACGCTTGGATAAGGAGTCGCCGCTTCTGCAATTTAGGAGGTTTGTTTGCATTGCTGGGACTAGGAGGGGAGGCCTATTGAAACCCAGATTTAGTAAAAGTATTTCCTGTATTGCTTTCGTCATGAAATCAAAGCAATTACGTACGTCATCGGACCGGAGAAGCCAAGGAGATCGTCTTGTGCAATAGCTTCGACCACAGTGTTTGTATGAGACGCGGCTGCATCGGCCTTGAGCCGCATGCGATGTTGCCAACTCACCTGGCACTGTGGGTCGAGGCCATCGGGTATCACGCTCACGAACGGACGGTAGAAGGTGCCCGATAATGCACTATCGAAGTAAGATTAGCACATGGCCTCTTTCTCAATTAGGAGAATTTGTGGTCTTAACTGGTAATGCAACTGCAGATGATAGATGCTGAAGATGGCGACACGAGACAGATTTGGGTTGTCCTGTTCTGGGACGGTGCATTGCACAATTTTTGATTCCAGGGCCTCGACATCCTGTAGCAGTGGCCTAGGCTTTCCCACCTGATAGTTCATAGTGATAACCTCTCCTAGCAGTATGCTGATTTCGACGTACTTGACCCAGTGTCTGGCCAAATGCGGCAGGTCATCTGGTAAGTAGGATGCCATAGTTTCGTGCATGCGTGTAGTATCGCTTAGGAAATCGTCTGCGGAAGGCATGGGCGTATCGCAGTCGTTAAGATCAATTCGCAACGGCCGGCCCAAAGTCAGGCTCAGCCATCTATCACGCGAAAAACAGCTCCACCATAGCCGTCGCCAGAGGTGTCGCAGGCGATTGGAGACTGAAGAATTGTACTTTGACGAATCTGGGTCGCGATGTAGACCTAACATTTGGCAGAGGCTGATTGCAATGCCCATCCAGTACCATGGCTGTGTGTGCTCGTCCGCTTCGGAATGCCAGAATGCCATCAGAAGCGCAGCTTGCAGAAGAATAATCTTATCCATTTCTCCTCCGTGATTGTACATGCACTTGTGGTGCACTCCAAATTAGCAGAGTCCGAAAGGCCGTAAGGGTTGGCCACTCACATTTGCGCGAGCATACATGGCAGCTTTCATTTCCTTGCGTGATCCATAGCCCTCTTGTTCGTATACATGAGGAGGAACAAACTATAGGCAGTCATTAGTGTATCGGTAATCTAGGCTCATAGTGCGATTCTCACATTAGATGCCACAAAAAAGATGCACCACAGAATTAAGACGTTATGCTCCCCCAGTCGCCCAGCGTGGTGGCAATTGAGGATACTGTCTGGCTCAAGAATAGGCAGAATCGGGTGAACGTGACGAAAATAGGCGCGCAAAAGATTATCGCAGGTTTGGACCGCTGGTATCGTGAAAACACCCTTGATTTGTAAGTATTTTTTGTCCTCTTCGGCCAAATGCACGGAAGGGCTGGAAGGGACGAGAAAGTGGCTTGAGAGCGACTGCTCGGCAACGCAAACATCCAAGGCAGACGTTGGTCCGGTTCCTCCCCCTATGTGGACAGTTAATATCTTCAGGCTTGGAACTTGTCATGCTCGCAGGTGCTCACCCGCGTAGAAGGGCACTTGGCCGGTTTTTTGCGGTTGTCCCAACGCGGCGGCGGCAATCTCCAGCCCATAGCGTTCCTCGCTTTCAACGGGGTCTTGCGGCAAAGACACATCTTTGCGCGGAGATGGAAGTGCGTTGCCAGGTGGTGTCATATGCGGCTCAGGCCCAGAGGCACGCGGCGAGATTTCTTGAGTTCGGTCGCCGCGGCTCGAATTTGGGAAGCTAGCGCTGGAAGGCGTGGGAGGATGCTGGACTCTGGCCATCCGGGTGCGTTGAAGCCTGCACAAACGCTTCCTGTCAGTGCGATTACCGGGCTACGATTACGCATCAGCCGTTGCCCACCTTTCTTGTCTTTTCGGGTCCACGACACACTCAGCGCCGTCCTGCGCACACCCGATGCAGGGGACTCCTGTAATGTTGAGGCTGCATCGCACTTTGCGCTGCCGGCAGGTCTGGCAAGCGATATTCGATCGCTGGTGGCGCCTTGGCATCGATTTTCGTTGCTCGGTGGGCATTATTATGACCAATATGATTTATGAGTGAGACTGTCCGAGGAGGAATACCCTGCTATCCCCAAATTACATGTCATGTCCAGACTTCCTCGGCAAGTTTGGCTTACATAATCCCCGCAGTTCCTCGGTTCGTTTCCCCATCCGTCTCTTACACCACCTGTCCGTGTACTACAAGTGGTAGTTGTACTTGGTTGATCAATTAAGCCCAAGTTTGGGACAAATAAAGGTCAACTTGGGGTTTCAGATTGATGCAGAGTCTCAGATACACTTCGGTATCTTGGTTTCCCACGGTAGCCCGGAACCCTAGAAACCCGAGGTATGGCGACTATATATCCTGTCTACTAAAGACGTCGGTGGCAACCGTTACCTGTGGACCAAATCTTATTCTTTTGAAAATGTTGCATCGGATGAGAAATAAAAGCTGCCAACTGCGAATTGGCAACGATTTTTCGTTCTTGTCTATTATTTGGCTACAGAATTTTGGCACGAAGCGTTACTATATAAGCCATGGTGTTCTGGTTCGGGGTTACGAAGTCGGACAGTGCAGTTCCACTACAAGGAAAAGGGCCAATCGAATCTATGGAGCAAAAGGAGCCCGGCAGCGACTGGCTACGCGGACAGCTGTTCCATTTGACCCAGAAGCAAGAGTGCACTCTCCACGAATTCAAGCATCTTTGTAAGCTCAAAGGGCTTTGCGTACCCGACGACGGAACAGACCAAGATGAAGAGGAATTTGATAATGCGATGCTCTTGTGAGTGACTCAACCTTTCAGCGCGGTTCTATGTAAACTGACGAGTATAACTTCCGCCAGGCGCTTCCTCCGGGCAAATAAGTTCCAACTCCACGACGCGGTAGATCAATTCCAAGCAGTCAGCCGGGCGCGAGCGGAACATGAAATCGAGGCTGTTTACAGACGCATGGATGTGGATTGTTATGAGGAGTCAAGAAAAATGGTTGGTTACACCTCCAGTTCCCCTAGAATCCTGCGACAAGTGAAATGCGCCTAACGTGTTCACCCGGTCAGTTCGCGCAGTGGACAGGCCGACGAGATCATCGCGGTCTTCCAGTTTATGTTTTCCCCCTTCAATACCTGACCAAGGAGAAGATGGACGCCTATATATCCAAGATGTCTTCATCATCCTCTGCGTCAGGACAAATACCCGGCCCTCTCGTGGCCTTCCACGCCTTGTACGAGAACTTGTTACATTTCGTGCTGCCACTCTGCAGCCGCCTCCCCCGACCACACCCAGAGGTTCCCATCACAGCCTCCACCCATATAATCGACATGACGGGGCTGACATTGAAACAATTCCTCGATATAAAACGGTATTTGCAAGCCGCCAGTGAATTAGCAACTGCTCACTACCCCGAGACGCTCGGGCGTGTCTTTGTGTGTCCCATCCTGCCGCAGCTGATCCAATTCGTCTTTGTCTGAGTGGCTATTAACGAAGAGTATAGATTATAGGCGCACCGCCAGCGCTCCGAGTCGCATGGCGATTCGTCAAGCAGTGGCTAGATCCGGAGACTCTGTCGAAAATATGTATCTTTTCGCCGGCGGAAATGCAACAGCGCTGCCTTTTCAAGTACATGCCTGAGACAAGTATCCCAGTGGAATATGGAGGTACGCTGGATTGGAAATGGGGGGATATGCCGGTGTTGGATGAGCCCGGGAGGGCGTTAGCGGGGGGATTATATAGTTTTCAGAAGGTTGGTGGTAGTCAGACCGAAGTATTCGTTGAGGGGCCGGTTGTATGGTCGAGAGGAGGCGGGATGGAAGTGGTGGGAACGGTGGAGGGGAGGAGAAGAGAGCGGGTCATACCTCTTGGGGACAAGGGGCATCTGAGCAATGATTGAACTTGATGGCTTATTTCTGCATTATGTACATACTAATTCGTGAATTCATTTATATGTGCTGGTCCCACCAGCAAGGCTCTGTGTAACAACAGGGTTTGCTTGAAGCGAAAGTGTATATTGTAGATAGATGTATGTCCCTCTTCCCCACATGGGGCTCTGTGAGTTACGCCAGTCAGATACCCGTCACTGAGAGCTGACCCACACCTGCGCCCATATATCAACTATCCTACTGTTTTTCAGTCCAGGTGAATATGGATTGTAAGGGTTCTAAGTATGGTCGAACACCGCTATTCTGGGCTGCAGAAAGTGGACATGAGGGAGTCATCAGATTTCGCCTTGAGGTCAGAAACAGAACCATTCAGCAGCCACTCTTGAGTGATTGTATCTGCACAAGCAGAATGTCATCAAGACGACGGGCCACCCCAGCTATCATGCCGTGCTTGGTAAAGAATTGGCGTCTTTGTTTTTGTTTATCTGCTTGAGATCGAGACCCTTTGTCAAAGCCATGTCATTTGCCTTTTCGATGCTATCCTTCAGCGTTTGAGAATTCACCCACGACTGTTGCCAATCTGCATATTCACTCACAGACATCCAGTGGAAGGTCAGGACAGATTATGGGATTAATGGGTTCCGAAATTGGTTATGGCAACAAGGGTGGGCTACCGGCTGGTATAATCAGCATCGATGGTTGAGGGATTGTGAGGGTAGGAATTGATGTTCATCGCATTGGCTACCAATTCAACCAAGGATTGTCCCGACATCTTCTGCTCTTTCTCACGCCGTTTACAACGTTATTTGCATAAAGTTGTGCATGAATCTCACTAGGAACATCATCATGACTGTCAAGGAAAAGAAGGCCATCTTCCACTAATTCCGCCATGAGTTTCAGTTACCAACAGTACCAATCTTTGTTTTTGCACGATCTGGGACAGCACATTTTCCTACACACGTCTCGCCAAGCTGTCGGCTGGGCAAAGGCTACTTCAGCGTCAATCCGAGCGTCCCTTTCAGAAAGATGACGCAGTCTTATTAGATGAATTATCTTGCTATGTCAAATACCCCTATTTAGTGTTACGGTCAGGAGAAACAACCAAGAGACGATATGCATGGAAAAGAGCATTCCGATTTATTAGGTGATTGGATGAACCCTGGACCTCGGCAAGTGGATTTTTTCTATCTCCTTTCCAGAGTTCCGATTGGCCGCCACTCTTATTGTTCGGTATGCCGCGGCTGAGACCTCGGGAATGACAATTTAGGCAATCTGCGCATCAAGTATCTGTCTGAGCGCACATCACAAAGAACACTGGATTTGCCTTGGTATGCAATTTTATATATCCAAAAAAGCAAGACCTCGGAAACCTCAGTCATAATTTAGCATGTTTCCCTACCATCACAAAGGGCGAGAAAAGGCGTTGCCCAGACGCCCTTTCAACTGCAATTTCTCAGCCTCATAGCAGTCACTTGCAAGGGTTTGCCCTCCTTCATCAATTTCTATCTTGGAAATACTACAAATCCAAATATGCATAATGCATTTACCTTGTCAGTTCCACCAAGTGCTAGTTCCATCTCCCACAAGAGTCTTTAACCTCGGAATTGGCCTAGAAGCAACCAAACCCACCATCATACGAGGCCAGATCCTCGAGCTCGCCCCCGGTGGAGCTGTCCAAAGCTTCCTTACGTCCAACCAAGTGCTATCCGATAGTGTAGCGATAGACTCAGTCAGTGGGCGCGTATTCTGGACCTCCATGGCTGTGCCAGGTCTAAAGGATAGCGCTATCTACTCAGCCAGTCTCGATGGAAGCGACATCCAAACGGTCGTGGCGTCTAGTGGTGTGGTCAATGCTCCAAAGTGGCTCACTCTCGATGAAACGAAGAAAATGCTCTATTTTTCTGACCAAAGTGGACTCACTTTTTATCGGTGTAACTTTGATGGGTTAAATCTGCAAACACTTATGTGGACTGCAGGCTTTAAGAAATCAAAAGATGGGACGGATAGAGAGAAGTGGCGTGCGGGTATTATTGCTGCGATGGGGTTGAGCAAGTTCTGCTGGAGGCGGAAGAGTTTCACGATTGGTCGACTCGGGTGGATTTACTGCGCTGATAAATGTAAATGTGTTTGTGGGCCAGAGCTTGACATGCAAACGTGATGTGCTTTGAATTTAACCGATTTGTCGGAGCCTGTTTATACTGCGGAAGATGAAGTGTTTTGCATTATGTATTGGAAGAAGTTTCATGGCGGAAGGAGGTATGTGGTTCCACAGAGACTTTATTGAGGTGGACAGGACATCATCAGTTTCTATTCATACCCTACCTTAGCTGAATTTTGTTATTCTTTATTGTGTTTTTCACGTGCATTCTTACCTTGGTTCTTCTTTTTCTAGGTCAAGGTTATGTATCCTATGCAAAATAAGCAATCAATATTAGCAAAACACCTATACTTCGTGACCCTTCGGCGGCTTCCTAGAACTTGTATTCATGCTTGATAACAGCCTCAGTGGCATTAAGATTACCTTACTCCCGCGTGGCCCAGTTCCCCTTTTGAAGTGCCTAGATTCTAGGCACTATTCGTCTACGAGGCTGGGGTAATCACTGGCTGACACGTGAAGGTACCCAGGCGAAAGGAAAGAGAATAATGAAGTGGACGTTTCGGGCGTAAATATATCAGTCTCCAAGATACCAGAAGTGGCTGCTGCCTGTGCGAACGGACAGGGAAATTCGAGACAATCTGGAAACCGCAAATAGCCACCTATCCAAGATGGTTATAAGGACATCCAGTTTCACAGTTATTGACTTTCCGCATTATTGGTACTCCTGCAGATATTCCACCCCTATTCTGGCTTTGCTGTTTGATGACGACTATCTCCACTAAATTCCACGGTCAGAGATTGCTTTATCACATGAGGACTGGGAAGAACCACTATGTATACCAAGATTCATTTACGAGACATACAAGAATTATACATTTCCCACGAGGTGGCTTACCTCTCAGGAAAGCTGCCTTGATCACCATCCGGACTATTGGTATATTCTGTTTTGCACCCCAATTAGCCGAAATAGATTCCCTTTAAGCTAATATCAATGCAGCTATGGACTGAGAGAACGGCCACATCTTTCATTTCTGTGCACATCCCTGTTTATTCCTCGCCCCCACAGGTCAGAATTTCAATATTTAGCGAGCTGATACGCTTCGGTACTTTGTTTTGGCTCACTATAGGGGAGTATTGACCTGGGCAATATAAGGCCCTCAGCATTCACCGCTACAGCAGAATTCTATAGCTTACGGAGATTTGCACCATGGCTTATAATTGGCTTGACCCTCTACTACTATTTCTGGCACGGGTCCGTAGGAGTCTTCTACAGGTATCTCAAATGATGTTATGGGCTCGATCTCCCGCCATCCTTTTTTTTTCTCGCGTCATCAAGCCTCTGAAGCCCTATGACAGACATTGGATACTTCGGTAAATTACTGTCATGGCTTCGACTGATTTGTTGTTTCTATCTCCTCTGTGGCAGCAATATACCCACAGCAGATTTAGCGACCAAGGACGGGCCGGTGTCCTAGGGAATACGATGAAAATAGAAAAAGCTTACTATATCATCATCCCGGCAATAATTGGCATCACTTGGATGCCGCTTTTATGAAACAAACTTGGTAGTATACGTTCTGACTAATACCGGAAACAGATGGGCCATCACTGGACTCTCCTCCACATGTGGGCTTAACTTTGGTGGAATGACTCAATATTGGTATTGGTGACTGTATACCAGATTTTAGCGAGTCTTTTCCAGGAAACGGTTTATAAACAGATCCCAGAGCCCGTGTTTATCGTGCAATGTTCTAACTTAGACCAGGTATGGCCATAGTCGGACATTTGACCGAGAATTGTATATATATTTTGCCTGCAGTGTAACGTCATATTTCCTAACTTTCAAAATCTTCTTGCGACGTGCATCACACACCTCCACCAAGCTTTGTGTTGTTGAGAAGTACAACCCTAGAGGAAAAAACTTTCATATTCATTTTGCACACAGTGCGTGCCTGGATAGCCTTCAAACTGCCTGTTGTAATATACCTCTAATTTGCAATGTATTTAACAAGCGCATAAAACACCACTGGCCTTAAATAAACGTGGGAAACAATCATTTATTGAACTGCAGCTATACAATTCATATGAACTCCTCAAAGAATGACTCCTAAATTTGTTCAAAAAGTCATATGCCTTAAGCAGTGGCACTTCGCGACTTGCCCGGCCATCTAGCTCTCCGCTCTGCGCGCACGTAAAGGTTGTTGGGTCTGATAAGCTGGAACATTGGGTCGTACTGGATGGGGTCATTACCCTCTCGGGAGAACTTGTAACGGTAGATAAGCTTGGGCAAAAAGACCTTGATCTCCTGAAGTGCAAAATTGAACCCAATACACATACGAGGCCCCATTGCAAAGGGGATATATGTCGCTTTGTGTCTGGATTTCACTTCCGCAGTATCCCAACGGTCAGGGTTGAACCGAGCAGGATTGTCCCAAAGATCAGGATGGTTATGAATGTGGTGAAGTGCAGGAATTACAACTGAGTCCTTGGGTAGCTTATACCCCCCTGGTAGGATCAGATCAACCTTGGCCGTCCGGCCCGGTTGGAAAGAGGGGTTGTGGCGACGCTGAGTTTCCTTGATATACTTGTCGAGGAACTCCAGTTCGTCGGTGAAATCCGCCGTCATTTCGGTGTTTTCATCAAATCCGTGGTCAATCAACTCTTGGAGAAGGCGCTCCTGCATGCCTTCGTACATGCAGAGACCATAGATAAGCCAAGATAGGAGAGAGCTGGTGGTAGTGAAGCCAGCACCGGTAGCCACGACTAGGGCCCAGACTACGCTCGACTTTGGTAATTTCTCGCCCTTGCTGTCGGTCGCACGAACGGCATAATCTGTGAAAGGTCAGCCCGACAGTATTCCCAAAGGGTTGGCCACCAAAGAACGGTGTCTGATACATACCAACCATGTTGCCTGCCGTCAAGGCAGCGTCTTGTAAAGGAAGATCCTCGACTCCTGCTCTCGAAGCGTTCTTCATCGACTCCTCTACCATGCCCTCGACGCGGGCCTTCAGGACTTTTAGTCGTTTTGGGTCACCAAATGGCAGAGCGCTGTACCAATCGCCCTTGGAGGTGACTTTCTTGTTTAGAGCAAGGATCTCAGCAATGTTGTGGACCATCTCATGGATGGGGGCTTCAGGTGTCTCGAAATGGTGAAAATCCATCCCAAGTGTAAGTTTGCCAACAGCTTGAGAGCCCATCTTCAGCATGTACTGGTAGACGTTCCAAGCCTCACCCTGTTCGTCTAAATTATCAAACACCTTGAAAGAGTCCTCCACGGTCTTTTGCATCGTTGGGGCGTAGTGTCGGACTGCCTTGGGGCCGAGGGCAGGAGGCAAGAACTTGTGAGCTACCTTCCATTCTGGGGTGTCGGTATCGCCAAGGAAAACGCCAGCAGCAGGAGTCTTCAAGGCGTACAGAGGATGGGATTCATTGATTTTCTTGGTGAAAAAATCAGATTCAGAGAAAGCAATAGCAGCAATATTCGGATCATTGGTCTGGTAGGTGATGCGACCTAAGTTATTTGTTTTTATGACTGGCCCGTACATGTCGAAAAGGCGCTGATGGTTTCCAAGATGATCGGGGTAAACTTCGAAGAAGGTGCCGACGAAGGGCAATTCCTTGGGGCAGGGAGGGTCGCGAACCGCTTGTCCATCAATTGTCAGTGGCACAGGACCCGCTTCTGCCAGTACCTCTGATACCTCTGTTAGGACAGTATTCGTTCCCTGGAAACCGATTCCTGTGTGCGCGCTGTCAGAAAAAATAATTGAGAAATGGATCTGCTGTCGGGACTACAAACCATTTGGCTGCACGATGGCAAAATGAGCAGCAATTAGATGTTTCAGACCGTCGATGGTGTTGGAAGCATCTACCTGGATTTCCTTTGCAGAGGATGGACTTTGTCCAAGGAGGTAGAATGTTTGCGAAGGCATGATATGTGTCTGGGCGATTCAGCTTTTGTAACAACGCCAAATAGTTCCGTAGGTATTGGTTGGCTGTACGAGAAGCAAGTTTTATGATGCTCGACGTTTATATACTCTCCCGGAGGCAGCCCTGAGGATAGCCAGTGACGCTCCGGCCCATTTTCCGCTTGGCTCCTCGGTCTACAAAGTTTCGGCATACGCAAGGAGTTCGCCTTTCAAGGTAAAACGTCTGGATGTTGTCACCGTATCTGTTCCTCGGGGGGGGTTTTCCACTTTGGTATTACTAAACAGTTCCGAGGTCTCGGAATGCCGCGCTTCAGTATCCGATGCAATTCCAAAACCAGCAAGGGCTTTCCTCGGCTGGCTAAAGTCAAATTGAAAACATCCTATTCGTCAATTTCTAAAGCCAGTACTACTACCTCATTGCCTGGGCCGTTATATAAGATGTTCGCATACAGATGTAGCCACATCTCGTGGATTTTTTTACATATCTTAAACTTGGAATACCAAAAGCATTACCCTTGTTCATCTATTCTACGTCAAAGCAAAAACTTGATCTGAAGATTGCGACAATGACAACCACAAAGGAATTCACCCTGGACGACGTTAACGCACACAAGAGCAAAACCGACTTGTGGGTTGCGATTCACGGAAAAGGTGAGCATATTACTTCCCCCATACTGCAACTTTTTAAATATTTATATTCCTAGTCTACGACGTGACGAAGTACATAAAGGACCATCCTGGTGGTATTGATGTACTGGTCGATGTTGCTGGGCAAGACGCAACGCAGGCGTACGAAGATGTGGGACACTCGGAGGACGCGAACGAGATTTTAGAAACCTTCCTGGTTGGCACGTTGAAAGACGCGGAGGAATACAAGGCTCCTCCAGCAATCCGGGTTATCCAGGAGTCTGCAGCGCAACAACCCACAAAGACCGATTCGGGCGCTGTCCGCACCCTTGGAATCACTACTTGCTCGGCCCTTTCGCTTTACCTGGCCGTCACTTCTATCAGGTCATACTTGAACCTCCATGACCTGGCCAAGTTACTTCCCAACCTAGCTCACCTGTCATCGAGCAAGCTTTCTGTCTATCTCCCTCATGGCGGCTTTGTCAACGGAGTTGCCGCCACTGCCTGTGTCTGTGCTATACTAGGTGGTGTGGTCGGATCCCGTCTTTCGAAGCTCACTGAGATTGACTCGGGGTTCACAAAATATCCCCCTCGCATCAAAAGAAGCACCATCCTCAAGCAAGACCCTCACCTTACTCCGGGATTCCTTCAGCCAAAGGAATACAGGACTCTGCCCCTGGTTGCAAAGAACCTTCTGGCTCCTAATGTCTATCGCTTCGTCTTCCAGCTCCCTCATAAGACCGATGTCATTGGTTTACCCATTGGTCAACACGTTGCCATCAAAGCAACAATCAATGGCCAATCCGTGGCCCGGTCATACACTCCAACGTCAAACAATCTCGATCTAGGCAAATTGGAGCTTGTGATCAAGTGCTACCCAGACGGGCTGCTCACCGGACAGTACCTTGCCAATCTCAAGATTGGCGATAAGGTCCTATTCCGGGGCCCTAAGGGCGCGATGCGATACAAAAAGGGTCTGTGTAAGAAACTGGGAATGATTGCTGGAGGCACTGGTATTACACCCATGTACCAGCTTATTCGTGCAATCTGTGAAGACGAGACAGACACTACTGAAATTTCGCTGATTTACGCCAACCGCTCCGAAGAAGATATTCTTTTGCGGGACGAGTTGGATGCATTTGCCTCCTCGTGTCCGGGGACGCTTAAGATCTGGTACATGTTGGACCATCCACCTAAGAACTGGCGGTATGGCAAGGGCTATGTCACGCCTGAGGTCATGCGTGAAAGTCTCCCTGGGCCGTCGCAGGATAGCAAAGTCATGCTTTGTGGCCCTCCTGGCATGGTCAACGCAGCAAAGAAGGGATTAGTTGGTCTGGGATTCCAGGCCCCGGGGGCAGTGTCCAAAATGACAGACCAACTTTTCTCTTTCTAAATTTCTGCCTTCTACCTAGACTTTTTTGCCTTTGTTTTCCTTTTATTTTCTTTGGTTCGGAGTAATTTCGATTGTGTTATTAGAGATCTTTAGTCTAGCACTGTCTTTCGCATAGTATCATTTACGCGCTTTATTTATTAGCCCTATTCGTAAATCTGTGAGTTTGACCAAACACTATAACATATGTTGCAACAGAAATTATTAATTTCTTTCTCTCTTTTTCCTTTTCGTTTCTGTTGCAATTTATAGTCTCATCGCCTGCTCTATGCCAGGACTCATAAGCGATGGTGCAGCCTTATAGTCAAATCTAATCACTAGCCTCAGGCAGGCGGCATTTCACCTAACTAAAGCGTTGATGTATAGGCCACTCAAATGATATGACTGTTCGAGAGCGAACGATGGGCTCACGTTATCCCAAGGAGTCCAGGATAGCTTATTGTCAATCCTTACCGTGAAGAGCATTAGTGTTAACAGTGGGACCACTGATCCAGGACCGCGACACAAACCCCAGTGTCTTCCGAGGAATACTGGTTCCACTTACCGACTTGTCCGAGGTACCGTAAAGGTCTCACGCCGCAAAGCGTACGGGATGCGGAGATGGATTGCAGCAGGGTTCTGACCAATCGGAATACATGCCATCCTTCCTCCTCAGGGATATGGTCTCATAATGAGGAACATCTTACCTGGAGGTCTATCAGCGGCTGTTGCGGCAAGTGTAAAGATAACCATAATGCAGATACTGTAGCCCCGGCGGATTGATCGTCCCAGGGACCGAGGACAATTGGAAACTGCCCTATAGAAAAAGTATCCTCGGATTTCTAGGAAGCCACGGATAGTTCGGTTCGCCGCCATCTATCCAGATTCCAACATTGCGCGGCCCGAAATCATCCCTGCTGCAGCTGTAGCAAAGGATACTCCGTGCCGAAATACTGCATGCATTCTAAAAACTACATAAACCCAGACGACCATGCGAATCTACAACTGCCAGGTAACTGACGCTGTTTTGGTACATACTACTTCATATAATCCGTCGGAACTTGTGACAAGTTCTATTAAAGTCAGATAAATTTACACATCATCTTTGCGAAAATGAGCCCAAATTGGCAGCCACCTAAGGACTACCGCGAACGTCCTGTTGTCGTCCTTGGCGCAGGAGTCTTAGGACGTCGAGTCGGTATGTAAATACGTCCAAGTTGGTTCGCAATCCATTGCATTAACAGCCTTCGCAGCTTGCATTTGGGCATCAGCAGGATACGATGTCTATGTCCGTGATCCGAGCCCGGAACAGCGCGCAGACTGCGTCGCCTATGTGAACCAACATGTCGCCTCGTACGCAGAGCACACGGGAGCGGAACCCGGCGAAATCGCAGCATTTGAGGATTTGGCGCAGGCAATCAGCAATGCCTGGCTCGTTATCGAGGCTGTTCCAGAGAAAATCCAACTGAAGATTGATACTTTCGCTCAGCTCGACAAGCTTGCTCCGAGGGACTGTATTTTGGCATCCAATTCATCCTCCTACAAGTCCTCGGAGATGCTTGAGAAGGTGTCAGATGAAACCAAGCCTCGTATCCTGAACATGCATTACTACATGCCTCCACAGGTGATGGTTGTAGAACTGATGACGGATGGCTTTACCGAGCCATCCATCCTTCAGTTCATGACCGAGCGCTCGAAGGAAGCAGGTACCAAGCCATACACTGCAAGAAAGGAGTCTACTGGGTTTATTTTCAACCGCCTATGGGCGGCCGTCAAGCGGGAGTGTCTAACGATCCTAGCCGAGGACGTTTCTACGCCTAGCGAGATTGACTCGATATGGGCAGATATGTTTCTCAAGGGATCGGTTCTGCCTTGCAAGGGCATAGACAGTATGTAATTCCCTTTACCTCTCTGCCTCCCCAGTTGCACTCTTCGCTCTACTGCTTTTTTCGAATCGTAGCATGAATTTCTCGCGGTCTTCGGGTTTAATTCTGACCATACTATCTCTATAGGCGTCGGTCTGGACACCGTGGCCTTCATCGAGAAGCACTACATCGCCGAGCGAGGCCTCTCAGCTGACAAAACCGTCGACTTTCTCCAAAAGAACTACCTGGACCAAGGCAAGCTCGGGGCCAAGTGCCCCGAGGGCGGCCTTTACCCACCCACAGAAATCGCTAAACCTGATATCGAGAGCCCCAGTCTCCTAGTTCTTGATATTGGATTGTCATCGAAAGAACCGAGCTTCAAAGCAGGCGAAATTCTTCAGGTCTCACTGGATGGGAATGTGCAGAAAGTCATTGCTACGGGGCAAGCTCTCCCGGATGGGATTGCTGTAGACCCCAGCAACAAGCGCATCTTCTGGACCAACATGGGCATTCCTGGAAAGGACGATGGGGCTGTGTTCTCGGCCAACTTGGATGGAACTGATATCCAAACTGTTGTCGCGCCAGGGACCATCAACACTCCCAAACAGTTGGCACTGGACCTAACGTCGAAGAAAGTCTACTTCTGTGACCGTGAGGGGCTCCGTGTTATTCGTTGTAATTACGATGGTTCGGAGTTTGAGGTCTTGGTTCAAGCTGGGGACCCCAGCAATGCCGTCGAATCTCAAGATGCCCTGAACTGGTGTGTTGGTATTACTGTAGCCCCAAGACTCGGCAAGTTCTACTGGACCCAAAAAGGCCCATCTAAGGGCGGACAGGGGAGGATTTTCTCCGCCAGCATCACGACACCGCAAGGACAGTCCGTGTCTACTAGAGATGACATCCAGATCATCTTGAGGGGACTTCCGGAACCGATTGACCTGGAGATTGACGAAGACACTCGCACGCTTTACTGGACAGACCGTGGGGAACTCCCGTTCGGAAACTCCTTGAACCGACTTTGCCTCGATCACTTCGGCTTTCCCCTGCCTAGCCCGTCCCGTCTGGGATACGAAGTGCTCAACAGGAATCTGAACGAAGCCATTGGCTTGAAATTGGACCTTTCCAAAAACAGCATCTATTTGACCGATCTTGGTGGTAATCTCTATCGTTGCAACCATGACGGAAAACACAGGGTCAAGTTGCTATCCGACGAAAATAGGGCATTGACGGGGCTTGCATTTGCCTGATTGCCAGGTTTGTCAAAGTGTCCGCGGAAGGTGATCTCTGATTTGGGCTTCAAATATTAGCCTTCTTAGGTAATAATAGATATAGTGAAACCAGATACATAATGGATATATACATTGCAGGCTCAGTGATATATCTAGAACAGGGCAACAGAGTAAATGCATGGGCAAGCCACAGAGTTAGGCTATCAGACAGGTACATAGATAAGAAAAAGACACAGCTCGAAGGTCAGGAACAGGATCAAGGTCAGTATTTGAGAATAATCGGTCAATTAGGCAGTCAGGGCAGGGGACCGTGATAGGAGTTTAGTTAAGGCATAGATCATTTCTTTATATTTGAAGCCATCGTCAAGGTAATAGCCAATATTTTCAAGAATGGAAAGGTTATTGTTGCTTGTTATAGCACCTAGAGATAATACAATCGTTTTGCATGTTGATTTTAGCTCAGATTTTAAATTGTAGCCTTTCAACTAATCCATGAGCAGCTGCCGAAGTGTAAATCATGATTGCTCAAATAATGACAGCTGCAGCGTCAATCATCAGAGTAGATCTACAGAAGTATACTACCTTATTCCAATGGTGGGATTCAAAAATCCAAAGAAAGCGACCGGCCAGCCTATAAAGCTACCCTATTAGTCCCTGTTTTTAGACCTGCCACTTGCACTGTGAACGTGGCAGTCTTGGTTCTGCGAAGCTGAGCTCTATCTGTTACTCGTCTCATTTGCAAGCCCACCATATTTGCACCACGAACGCAGCTAGGTGGCAAGTACCAATCAGGGAAGAGGAAAGAGCGTAATAGCTCTTATCAACGGAGTGCCTACGAAGCTGTGCAACACAGCGCAGCAGTATCAGCTAAGTTTTGCAGCCGCCGGATAAGGGAACGGCTAGGAAGCGAATCCAGGCACAAATGCCACTATTGGCCTCGCCGAGGTTCAAAGTTCTCCCTGGTGAAGTGGTACATGTAAGGTCTAGAAAACCTATATAGCGAGAGTAGATACCTGAATATTGCCGTTAGACACAACAAGTTAGCGCATGAATTCAGTTAAACCACCAACTAACTGAGGTTATGACGACACAAGGGACCACAGGTTTCTGTTAAACTAACCTCTTTGATCCAGAACACAGCTCCCAACCTGTAGCCACGGATACACCGGGCATATCATTCTCCCGCATCGTCTATAAATTTTGTGAGAATGAACGAAACTAACAAAATAGAGTTACTGCGTCTACTCTGATTACACTTACCTTGTGCAACAGACATCAAAGACGCGTCCAAAACAAAGGCCCCGAACTTGTACCAGAAGCGACGATCAAGTAAAATACATCTAACCGCAAGTCATCTTCCAATGTACTCCAAAGTATTTCTCTTTCGACGGGCCATTAATGAAGAAATTGAATGTAATTGGGTTCTTTTCACTTGAGAGCGACTGACCGAGACTGCTAGATGAGGGAGCCTTTTGCAAGTTTAAGTAGTCTTAATGCATTGTCTTTCAATTTCAGTGCTTTAGTTTACAAAGCAGTCAGTGAGTCTGTCAAGGGTGTTCGAGGTTCTGGAGCCCAGCAAGGATCCCAAGAGCCAGTTTGGGTTTTCTTAGATCTACGATTCCTCTATACTACCATGCGTAAGCTATGATAACATTGTGTGATTTCCGTACGAATTTTTGATATGACGTCTACTGACACATGTACTACGTATCGACTATCATGCCAGCTATGTCTACAGGTTGCTTGGACAAGAAAGAATAGGGCTCTATGTAAGGAATTTACCCCGATTAGAATGAATCTGTTATGTCTTTATACTGTAGATAACAAACCTTCCAGACCAGGATAGCCACAAATAATCAACACTACGTCCTAATTTTCGAGTCTTATTCTTTTAATCAGTATCATTGATCCTCAGTAGTATGCCTTTTGATGAGGAAACATTGGCATGTCATTCTACTATGTAGGTATTTAGGATCAAAACTCAGAAAATATCTATCAGCTGTTTGATGTTCCGAGGATTCTTGACTCTTAGGATATCCAGGGTTCCTCCCATGAACATCTGGGCGTGTGCTGTCTTTTGACGGAGAAAACCCAGAAAAAAGTTTGCGATGTTGGTACAGCGCGGTAGTACGGCATTTCCTACAGGAGAAAAGGTCGTGGTCATCAGAAAGAAAAATAGCTTCCCTTATTCGTCATTTTCTTGATGGCAATGCTGGGTTTTTTGGGGAGTGTGGCGGGCAAAAGTGGACTAGGAGTGGAAAAACGGGAAAGGGGGAGATCGCTAGCTGGGGTGCAGTTTATTGAGGTTACTCACTCAGGGCACTCAGTCTTCCGCTCATCCCGTGCTCAGGTCTACTCAGCGAGCAAAAAGCGGCGAGGGGTGAGCACCAAAACGGAAAGGGAAAGCTGTCAACCTGGCTAGAAAATCAATTGAAGTACATATGTAACTGCTCTCTCTCTCCCCATCGACGAATATCGCAGCCTTCCAAAACTGATCACGACACAAGACCCTGACAGGTGAAAATGGCCACCAAACTGACCAACACTTCAGCGGTGAGGTCCCTCGAGAGCCCTCCTCTCCAGAAAACCCTTGTTGAAGCAAAAGAAAATATCTGGATTTGATCACCTGATTAATCGGACTCGACACATCTAGCAGATCTAGCTCGGAGCAGCTAGAGAACGGCATCCATCTTGATTGCGAGCTCGTAAATACCAGAAGGCGATCCGACCGGACACGACCGGACATTTGGATCGGTAAGAGTCGCAACTCTGGAATCTGGAATGAGAGCTCTGCGCTCGACCAGTATCCCAGTACGGACGGGATTCGCACCCTGCTATTTGCAGGTGTCACCACCGATCAGTGCATTGGCGCCCATGCTCAAGATTTTGATACTATCATGCTGAAGTGTGGCTGTGAAGCTGACAATTCGCCGTATGCGGAAGCAATTTGCGAGTTCAAGACTGGGGCTTTTTAACCAGCTGCAAGGCCATTGTGAAGGCAGCGGGACTAGATTGCTATGTTAGAAGTGCCTGTTATAGAAGTTATGCAAAGCCAAGGTTGTGACACTGAGTCTTTCATCCCTCCACTGTTAGAAGTAGTCAGAATTCAGAAATACTCGCCAGACCAGGTGGAACCCGAATCCTACCGACGTCGCAAATGCGGGGAAGACCGGTTTGTTTGTCGCAAAAAGGCAGACAATTCCGCAGGAGGATCTCGTTCAGTCCCTATGACGTCTTATGTCTGATAAAGCAGATAAAAAGCGTATTTTCACTCTCCATGGCGGACGTGATTTCCCTCCTTTCTAACACAGCGTTTCATGAAGAGCTGCCCCAAACAATACCACCCATAAGCCTGTATCGTGAAAGCTACTCGAAGGTGTAACATATTAAAGACCACCGCCTGGGTCTGTCCATTTATTCGATACCTCATAATGGCGAGCACAGAGTCCCAAATCCGATCCCTCCCTGTGGAGGACCTCTATTCGCGGTGGGGAGCTGGCTACAACCAAGGTCGCGTCAACAATCTCCAGGGTCTCGACGATGTTCAGCTCGAGACGTTTCTACCGAAGTACATCTCGCTATTGAAAAGTGCCTTCCCCGAGCCTCTCAGAGTGGTCGACTTCGGCTGTGGCACCGGACGCAACACCTTCAAGTTAGCGACCGTGCTACCTGGCTCCGAGATTGTCGGTCTCGACGCGACAAAGAGTCTTCTAGATGTCGCTGAAAAGCAGTCACAGGATCTATTCGCCACCACTCCAGCCGAACGCAGGGCCAAGACTGTATCTTTCGAGGTTTATAACCCGCTAAAAGAGGGTTCCCGAATCCCACCTTCCGCTGAACAAGCCCGGGGAATCATCTGTACGCTGGTGCTTGTGCACTTGGAGTTGCCTGGATTCTTCAAGATGTGTGACGACATGCTCGTTCCAGGTGGATACTTGCTCATCACCAATACACACTCGGACCTGGCGAAGATATCGCACGGCAGCTTTCTAGACCCCGAGACCGGGGAACGTCTCTGGAGCGACGATCACATACACACCATTGATGACGTGAAGGATGAGGGAGGGAAATGGGGATTCGAGTTATTGGAGATACAGGAGGGTATCCCGGAAGACCCAAACATGGTTGGAGCAATGCGTGGACACTGGGAGGGCGTTAAATGTTGGGCTGGCTTCATCTTACGGAAGTCACCAAAAACACTGTAACGCATTGAATCTCGATTCGGTTGGATGAAGCGCCATATTAAGGCCCGCAATCCCCAGGCTCGAACGGAAGGTAGAATATTGATTGATTGATTGACAATGTGCTTATAACGGCAATTGAAAACGAAAGTAAACTGAAAGTCAAACTCTCAGAAGGCTTTGCCTCTCGCCTTTGATGCTGTATATCTGTCCTTGATTTGTTCTAACCCTTGTGAGGTTCGAGTCCGCTTGATTTTGCCCTTCATGAGGTAAAAGCAATTTCCGTCGACCGTCTTCCAAAATCCCTACATCAGCCAGAAAATCACGTTTTCCAGCGGAGTCAAGTCGTAAATTTCCCCAGAGAAGTCTGTCGTGTCAAAGTGCAGCTTATCCCACCGACTGGCACGCCAAGTAAACCATGGTGGCCAAATTATGTCCAGAGTGAGGTCTCATGGCAAAGAGTGCTTGAAAAAATGGAAGGATACAGAGATACAGTTTCCCCAATGTTCATTTTTCCTAAGAGGCCGCAGTGTAGCCTCCTGATCCCAGAGCAGCTATTGTACCGACTATCCTTCTGTTTCTTGTTCGCGCCCAGTATTTTTGTTTGAAATGACATCTAACCATTCCGTCATGCTTATATCTTTGAAGGTCCCGCGGCGCTGTGGGCTTCCACATTTTGGTTGTTGTTCTCTGCATTTTCTGCGACGGCGAGTTGGTAATGTATGGCCGGTCGCTTGATCCTTGCCCTATTTCTCCAAGTAGACAGGCATTTGGAAATTCCCACAGCAAATATATCGTTGGCAAGATTTGAGCCGATAATGTATGGCTTCATCAATAGCCATGGCGAGAATATCTTCCCATTCGGTCTCCAGTTCTGATTGTCAATGCGCCCTTCGCATCTGTCAACGCTAAATATGATGTTGAATGACCCCAATATTTGATTTTCGGATGATGGTTTGTGAGCCATGGATGAATCCGTGCCCGTTCCTCGCCGCATAGCATAAGTGAGTCTCCAAGCCAATAGGTAACGGTTCCCGTTGTAGTCTGATAGAACAGGATTGCAACGAGATCATCTGTCTCTGAGAAGGCGACAGGCAAACGATAGCCAAAGCAGATGATACAGGGGCTGCATGCTTGTTTATTGTTTCGTAGGCTGAACGACACAAAGGGAGATGGATTCGTCTTCCTCTCTCTGATGCTGGAGAGCCTCAGTCACCCTCATAAGCAGGGGGTTTTCTTTCCTGATAGCCCATGGTATTCGACCGTTGGTGATCCCAGTATATCCCGCTTGTTTGAGTGACAAATACATAAGAGGGTAAAAGTCAGCAAGACTTAAATCCACTGCAAACCACCGTGAATGATAGTCATACCGGTAATCGCCCAGATGATGCCGTTGTGGGGGAGTGGGCCCTCTCTGATGAGTTGCAAACGAAAGCAGTCATACTGCATAAGGGGTTGAAGACGGACCCCATACTTTCACTCATATCCCCAACAGCGTTGTCAACAGAATGATCGGATTTCGACGAGTGTGAAAGATGGGAAGACCTTATAGAATTAATGGAGAAACGAGTGAAGCAGGTCAAAAAGTTCTGACTGCAACAGGTTACGATATGCATTCAGCTCGCAACGGAATTGATTCAGGTCTCGTGTGGTGCCAGACGTGAATTTGGCTTCAGGATACGCAAATTCACGTAAATGGCAGATGGCCTACGCAGTCCTTTCGACAATTTTTTCTTGGGGATTGAGCAAGCCCCTTCTTATTCACCGAGGCGAGGTGGTGAAAAACGAGGATTCAAAAACCTCAAATCATGTTGCAGTAGATTTGAAACTTATATATCTAGTTGAGAAGTTGAGAAAAAATGTCTGATGTTCTATAGAATGAAAGCCTAAAGAAGAAACAAAGCAAACAAGAAAAGAAAAGCAAAACCAAGAACTGGAAATTTTGCCGAATGCAGAAAAGGTGATGTCAAACTGGGTATCAGAGCTCCGTGAAGATAACGGTTTCTAACGTGAATGCATCAATATCTACAAGGCTTCAATATTAACGCAATCCTTCGTGGTGGGTGGGACCCTCCACTTTCTCGGTGGATCTGACGGTCTCTTCGTCACTGCCGATGCCAAAGTAGCGCGCCAATTCACGATCAAGATCCTGTCCCACCAGATGAGGCATTTGAGCACTCTGTTTCACTGGCGAGATACCCTGTGCACTGGCGCTGGCAAATACGACGTCCAATTCCTCCAAGGTGCGACCCTTTGTTTCAGGGAAGAAGAAATAGACGCAGGGAATCAGGGCGGCGTTGAAGACAGCAAAGATGATGTAGGTTTGGTAGCCTAGGTTGGCGAAGGCAGGAGGCGTAATCATGACGATCAGGAAGTTGGACATCCAGTTCGAGCTGGTGGACAAGGCATTGGCTTGGATGCGGATCCGGAGATTGGTGATTTCCGCTGGATATAGCCAGGTCATACCAAGCCAGCCGATGGCGAAGAAAGAATTGAAAACAAATAGGAAGACAGTAGCTGTAATGCCGTAGCGTGTCTCGAGCTGGGGAGCGCCGTTGTCCAGTGTAGTACCGGTGGACACCGTGCCCGCGAGAATGGACATGGAAGTCATCATGCCAAATGCCCCGATCATCATCAACTTCCGGCGACCGGTTCGTTCGATGAGCGGCAGCGCTACTAAGGAGGCTAGGAAGTACTCAGTCCCGTTACAGGCAGCAAGTAATCGAGCCATATCGGGTCCGAAGCCGAGGGAGTTCTCGAACAAGAACGTGGCGTAGTATGTGATCAGGTTGATTCCGCAGATCTGTTGGAAGAATTGCGCCACCATGGCTAGTGCTGCTCGACGGCAGTTCTGTGAGGGTCCGTTGGTGAGCAATTCCCTATACCGGAAGGGACCGTCTCGACTCTGGGCTTCTAAGGCGTCTTTGATGTTGCGTAGTTCCTCCTCGACGGCCGGGTCGTCCTCTGGCTTGTCTACTAGACGAGCGGTCACGTCGCGGGCTTCAGTGTGACGACCCTTCATGATCAACCATCGGGGAGAGTCGGGGAGATAGAGTAGACCGATCATAACGATGATCGTGAAGAACGACTGGAACATCAGAGGGAAGCGCCACCTAACCGAGCCCTCCAAGAAGTAGAAGCCGTAGTCCACCCAGTAGGCGATCATGATACCGGCGGAAATCAGGGCACCCGACAGCATGATCAGAACGCCACGTTGGTGAGGGCGAGCGCATTCGCTCTGCCATGTTGGAATAGCTGGTTAAAATAATTAGTATTGGCTGCGTGAGATATGTTGTGAGGAAGGGAGAGCGCACTGGAAGTAACCATGCCGTTCCCAATGCCGCCAACAACACGGCCAGCAACAAACAACCCGTACTCGAAGCAAGCCACCTGCATGATAGTTCCAATGATCATGATCAAAGATCCCCAGAAAGTGGACGACTTCCGGCCCCATTTCTCTCCATACGCCAGAATTACCAGCGAGCCTAGCCAGCACCCAATCTGATAGATGGCGACTCCAGCCGCCTGGGTATTGGCATCTCCTTTGCAATGATCGGGATGAGGAATGGTGTTTTCCGGGTTATCCAGCCAGCAGAGGTCGTTAGATTTCTCTCGTGGGGTCATGAGAGATAGGGTCTCTTGGAATGAGTCTAGAGTCAGGAGAGCGCTGAGTACGCCCTGGTCATATCCGAACATGAGGAAACCACAGCTGGCAATGAATCCAATAGACCAGTTCAGTGTCCTGCCAGCCAAGGCTTTGCCACGGTACTTCCATTCCGGGAGCTCTTGCATCCATCCAAACCACTTGTCCATTGCACTACCACTTCTGGAACGCCGATGCTCATATTTCATACGCTCCTTCTTACTGGCATTGCGTGTTGGGGAAGAATCGGACGACTGATCTTGCAGGTGCTGCGAGTGGGGAAAGAGGTCTCCTCCACTTTTCACGTTCACAGATGAATTCGACATGGTGAAATAAACGCCGTGTCTGTCTTGGTGGTGTTCAGCGAGAAACAAAAACCAGCTTTTACCCCAGATCGAGAGCAACTTCATCTGGGGTAAAGGGGCCCATATTTATACACCGACGATCAAGGCTCGACGGCCTGCCATGTACCACTCCATGGACTTTGGAGGAGTGCATGGCAGACAGATTCTCTCTTGCTTGGCTCCAATCCCCCAAACGCAACTTCATACTCCATAGTTCAAGTCGACGACAGCCGAGATGGTTCCCGAGCGCCAAGACTTACCGACCGGGTTCCGCCATGACAGACTTGGCGCTGAGGGCGCGGGTTGGCCGCATTGGGAAGTCCGAGCGGCAGCCAAGGCTTGGCCCGCACCCCACCAGTCCCCCAGCCCTGCGCGGAACTTCGCTCGGGCTGAAGAACGCTGGCACGGCCGATGTCATTTTACCTGTTTTCAAGCCGACCGAGCGCGCGGCATACGTGGTGCATTTCATGAATATTCTCGGAAATTTGCTCATTTCCAGCGTTTGGCTACCCTCCAAGAGCGCCCGGGGGTTCCGTATGGCCGCCCGAGGGACACCACCCCGGGCATTGCCGAATGGCCATACCACATGGCGCGTTTCTCACGCGACTTAATATCTCCAAGTAAATATGCTGGATACGGTCTGGATATCGACGGACGTATACACGAGAGTCCACGGGAGACAGACCGCACTAGTGATTTTCTCTGGTCGCTGCTCAGTTGCTGCCTTGGAAACATTGTCACCTCTCAAAGGGGATGGGCTATATCTTCCGAGAACCTGCTCTTTGGAAAGATCTTCCCTCAATCGCATTAGCGCTCTCTATCATCAAATCAACATCTTACGATCTGCTCACTCGGCTGATTATGATACAGTGTAGCCAAGTCTCGGCATCCTTGCACGAGGAGCAATACGCGGCCGTGTTAAACACCAATGGTATTACTTGTTGTTTGACTGCAGCTCGTAAGCAAGCGACTACTCTGGATGTGTCGAACGCGTGCAATTGTATGACTCGAATAAAGGCAAATGCTGTCGCGTACAATTCTCGCTCCGCATGAGGCTTGGAATCCGCCGAACCGTCACTCGTATGCCTACCACACCTTCATTGACCTACGCAGCAGATCCTGTACTGATTTGGAGTAGCACTATTGACTCTGATGTCATCTGTCGTGGTATCCATTCCGGGAATAAACACCTAGTAGATCCTTCTCCTAGCGCGTATAGCCTTCTGGCCCGAAATCTACACCCCATTCACACGTGCTGGGAAACCACCTGTCGGGTATGAGACGATCCTGTCTATTCTTATTTTCTTATTTGAATTTTTTCCCTGGATTTGTAACTAGATGCATTCTAGTAATACCACGAAAACCGATATAATCGACGTTTCAATGATATCTCTTTAGTAAACTGTGACTGTGCGGCCTACATCGCCCCCAAGGCCCACTTCCTACAGTTCCTTATTATGCGGGATATTATAATTATGCGCCAATTTTTATATTTTCTCCATGACTCGATATACGCTTTTCCTGGGCCCCATGGTCTGTGGCGTGGTCATCGGGCTTACCACTGCCTGAGCGCTTGACGTCTTGGTGGACAGCTCTCTCCTTTCTTACTCTAGGACAGCCGAGCTTCTACATAGCCAACCGGCCAGTCATTGCTTCTATTCATATTCGGGGTAGGCATTATATGTCCGCTCTGCCCCTTTTTCTTCCCTTTCAAACACCCAATCATCGTAGCTCACCCCAGCATGCTGATCCATCTTCTCACACGATCGGTAAATATGTATTACCATTCTAGGTCGAGTAAGGAACTCCACTGTCTTCACTATGAGCTATCGATACTCATGTACTAAGTACAGCCTAAATCATGCTAACAGTATATATTCCAAAACCTCAGAGCTGTTCGAGAACTGGCGTTTGCAGAGCTCTGCTGCCCAGGTCTCTTGGACCACTCGAATCATGAATTTCCTCATCATTCGTGCATCTTTTCGTGTGCCTTTAGTAGCTACATGTTTCTTGGCTGTGTATATCTTAGGACAATATATCATCTCAGGGTATATCTCATAGGGCTTGCCTTATTTAGCATTGGCCTCCTTCCACCGAGATCCCGGCCCGCCGCTATACAGGGAACCCGTTGTCGCAAACGTAAGAGTCTGGCATTTTGATACCCTGGCATTTTCCTACCACGCATTTTGTATAACCTCACATACGTTGGGAGACACTGTTTTCATCCGTAATAGTGAAACGGGTTCACTGCGAGATCATCTTCTCACGATGCAAATTGGGTTCATTGCTAGTTTCATGACTTGATTGAATCCCTGCTTCAAATATCTAGTCAATGGCGCATAATCACACACGCTTATCGGACTTGTTCTATTTATCATAAGTTCTTGAACTCGATGTTTGCCAAACTTGGCCAAGCCAGGACAAGTATCACTAGGAAGAAGGTTCGAGAAGCGCGACAATAAACATCTTCAAGCAGTGATAAGCGAACAGTATCGGTTCCAGTATATGTGGCCGATTGACCCATTAAGAACCCTAGAAAAATTAATACCAACAACAGAATATCGCGAAATGGATGAAGAATGTTTTTTTACCAATACAGTCTAGATTGACCATACTTTGTCCCGCTTATATTGAAGTGTTTACGAGGTAGATCACCAAGGTTAATCGATCAATTCTCCGCGGCCCCACGCACTAGATCAATGCTCGACCAACAACCATCAGGAAATTACATTTAGGCTACCGTCAAATGGCCTGAAAAAAAAATCGAAGCAAGCAGCGGAATGCAAGAAAATTGTGAGGATTTGACACACCAAGAAATATTCGAACGGCAATAGTTGCCGATTCATCCTGACTAGTAAATGGCAAACGCACTAAACATTTCCACTTCGTACTCATAACGGAGACTGTGGCTAGTGCTCCCTTAATTTACATCTAGGCAACGTGATTATTGATTAACGACCGTGGATATCGACGGATTCGCCGAGTGATGATCCTGCGTTCAACTAGTTTCCCATGCCTTTGTTACTATATCAGAATGGAAAATGGGATACTATGGTTTAAAAAGCACAGACAGATGAGCATCGTAAATACCATTCCTTATCCAGCTACTTAGAATATTGAACCCTTGCTCTTTTTTTGATGCGAAATTGAATCAAAACATTGACAAGCACGACAGTCAATCTTATTGTCCACATACATCATGCCGTCAGCATTAGAACCCCGGGATTGGAGTTTTTCTCTATTTGCATGCTGCTCTCCTATTGGTATATGTAAGCTCGCCTCTTCTCATGGACTGAAATTTCTGGTCTTCCTCCCTGTGAGAATACCGCTAATCAATCATACGACCAGGTCTACGCAGCTGGCTCTGTCCCTGCGTACAATATGGAAAAACCCAAGCCCGGCTTAAGGACCCTTACAAACCATCTTACAGTTGCTGTAATTCAGATGTATGTACCCTCTAAGCCTAACATACGGAACTATTGTGACTTCAGTGGTACTGATACTGACGACTGTTCGTACAGTGTATAATCTGGACAATAAGCAACCTCCTTCTCGGCTGTGGTTGTCTTCAATTGTGCAAACGGAGGGCTATGGTAAGCAAGTTGAACATCAAATCTTCTTGCTGCGGAGATTGCGTTGCAGCCTGCTTTTGTCCGTGTTGCGCCTTGGTGCAGGAAGGGAAGGAGGCGGATCGGTATGTCCGGTCCATTCAAGAAGGGTATCAGCAGACGTTTCCTATGACATATCCACGAAGATAATCGGCATGAGTTGTTATATTTCTGTACCGATAATTCTAACAAATAATTGATTTTTCGTATTCGTTCTATTCGTTCATTTTTTATTGTAAAATTTTGGTAAATCTTTCAAGTACTTGAAGTATTCGTATTATTCTCAAGCCCACCGCATAAACCGTACACTGTGATAGGAAAACAAGGCACATCCATTGCATTAACATCTTATGTCAATGACAAGATAAAATTCGCACCATTCCATAACTTAAAGCATGCCTTCCTAAAAGGGACCTCTGCAAATTAGCTAGTTTCAAGCATCCGCTAGCCCTAGTAAAAACTCCACCTGCGGCCCACGCCCTACGCCCTGTTGTCTACCATCCGAATTATTCACCGGTACATGTGGCGTAGCCGTATTCCTCGAGAATTTTGAGAATTTTCCTGATGCCTAGTCCTATATGTCTTGGCAAGAGGGCGGGCTACAAAAAAACACGCTATTTGGCACTAGAGGACTATCGGACGGAATATCCCGACTTGCCATATTAATCGAGAGGGCTATGGAAGGATCTATGAATGATCTTTTTTGTATAAGCTAACCCAAAGCATACCATTCATCCATGCCAATGGGTGGTAATATCCTACCCTGGTCTGTAGTGGAATTTAGGTGCATATGGAAAAGTTGAAGCCTGGTTTCATACCCACTATGTCTCAGTGAGATCTATTGCATTGAGGACCTACGGTAGACTCGGTTCACTTTTATAAGATAGAAATGCAAACCCATCTTTCCGCGATGTAGCAGCTTTTGCCCGTACATTCTTTTCCTTTGTCATAGAGTTGGGGCAGCATTTCTTCCAAAATGAAACCTTCTTTCTTCCTCAATGCCATCGCACTGGCTGGTGCTTTCTCTGGTGGGTTGAATCCCTATAATGAAGAATCGTGCAAATTCTAACTGGGATATTTTGAATCGAAGGTGTCTCATCGTTGCTCGGAGATGATCATATATCTGTTGAGCAGCGCTCTCTTCCCAATGCCCCGGATGGCTATACTCCTACCGAAGTCGAATGCCCATCCAGCCGCCCCAGTGTTCGAAGTGCAGCAAAGCTCTCATCCCACGAAACAGAATGGCTCACCCAGCGTCGGAAGAAAACCTTTGACGCCATGAAAGACTTTTTCGGCCACGTCCAGATCAAAGAATTCGACGCACTGTCCTATCTCGAAAAGGCCGGGCATGATATGGATAATGTGCCAAACGTCGGCATTGCTGTTTCCGGTGGAGGATACCGCGCTTTGATGAATGGCGCCGGTGGACTCAAAGCGTTTGACAGTAGGACTGATAACTCTACTTCGTCCGGGCATCTCGGAGGTTTGCTTCAATCTGCGACTTATTTGTCTGGTCTCAGTGGTGGGGGCTGGCTACTGGGCTCTCTCTACATGAACAATTTCACCACTGTTTCTTCCCTACAGAGGGATAAGGAGGGTGCTCCCTGGCAGCTTGAGCATTCAATTCTAAAAGGACCCGATGGCAGTGGCCCGCTCATGACGTCTACTTTGAAGTATCTGGAACAGATTCGAGATGCTGTGAAGGAAAAGGAGAAAGCTGGTTATCCGACTACTATCACTGACTATTGGTAAGTCTCTTCTATTTTATACATTAAATCTAGGCTAGGCTGCCATCTGCCTTGGAATATCCATCAATGCTAAAAGCACATTCCTCAAAGGGGTCGCGCGCTCGCATACCAGCTTATCCACGCATCCGAAGGAGGCATCGACTTCACTTGGTCTTCGATCGGCAAGTCACACAATTTCCAGGAAGCCAATATGCCCATGCCTATCCTTGTTGCTGACGGCCGTAATCCCGGAGAGCTCCATGTTGGCGGCAACGCCACTGTATACGAATTCAACCCTTGGGAGTTCGGCACGTTTGATCCCACTCTCTTCGGATTTGTGTCATTGGAGTATCTGGGATCGCGATACATCGGTGGCAAGCTACCGAGCAAAGAAAAATGTGTTCGGGGTTATGATAATGCGGGATTCATCATGGGGACTTCTTCCAGCCTGTTCAACCAGTTTCTGCTCCAAATTAATTCCACGGATATACCGGAGGCAGCCAGGGGTATTTTAACGGGCATCCTGGAGCTGGTTGACGATGAAGAAAAGGATATTGCCAACTACACCAACCCATTCTACCTCTATCCCGAGTCGAAGTCCCATTACGCCAAGTCAGAATTCCTCGCCGTGGTAGATGGGGGTGAAGATCTGCAGAACCTCCCTTTGCATCCACTCATCCAGCCTGAGCGCCACGTTGACGTGATTTTTGCTGTGGACTCATCGGCCGATAACAACAATTGGCCCGACGGAACTTCGCTTGTGGCCACTTACGAGCGAAGCCTGAATCAGAAGATTAACAACGGCACTGCATTCCCCGCGATTCCCGATCAAAACACGTTTATTAATCTTGGCCTCAACACACATCCGACCTTCTTTGGTTGCAACAGTTCCAACATCACCGCTGGAGACGCGCCTTTGATCGTCTACCTTCCCAACTCTCCTTATATGACCCACTCTAATGTTTCTACGTTCGACCGGAAGTATAGCAACACCCAACGGGATGCCATCATCATGAATGGGTACAATGTCGCTACCATGGGAAATTCGACTCGGGACTCGGATTGGTCAACATGCGTTGGATGCGCCGTGTTAAGCCGTTCTTTTGAGCGCACGAATACATCGGTGCCCAGCATCTGTGGTCAGTGTTTTAATCGCTACTGCTGGAATGGTACGACAGACAGCCGCAAGCCGGGTTCTTACAACCCGGAAATGGTCCTCAAAGAAGAGGATATCACTAACTCTGGTTCTGGGCTCAGCTACCCTTCTCAGTGGTTATCGACCATGTTGATGGCCATGGTGATTGCATTTGTATATTAGTTGGCTCTTACATTATTATCCTCAGGACTGCCAAAGTACCAATGCCCCTTTTATCCCAACATCGTGCGTTGCTTGCACATACCAGCCACGTCTCATAGGCGCCCCCCTCGTTCATCCCTCATACATTGTGTCTTTTCTTAATACATTCGCTGCATTCCTTTTCCTTTGTAATGTTTGATTTTGCTCTATTGATCTATCTTTCTTTTTTATCATTTGCTTCAACTCCCGTCATAATTCTCCCATTCCTTGTCTTGGTATTTTGCTTTTCTTCTTGCTCTTGGCTTATCCAATGTTCGCTATAGCAACTTAGCGCGAAAACTGAAGAGCAATATTATTTCCATCTTTTCTACCATTAACGCCTCTTTTTCAAGTCGGCTCATTTCCCTGACTTACTCTTAGATTGTGATATATAACGGCTACAGAAAAACATAACAATTATAATAATGGAAAAAAAAAAAACCAAAAAAAAAAAAAACCCAACTCTTTCTGTACACCGTTGGAGGAGGTACCAAAGTGTGGGACTATGGGTCAACTAGCGAAGTGGGGATTCACAAAGGACGAAACGAACACGAAATGCCCGATTTGGTTCTGAATATCTTCTTGCACATTTCTTTTCCAGGTTAATGGAGCAAATAAGCCCATGGCCCATTTTCGCAGCGATATAAAGTACGTGTCGTATCTCCGACACCTCAACGGGGTCCTCCTAAAATTCCCGAACGATCTCGAATCGCCATCAAAGAGGGGTAAACGAGACCGCCACTTACTCTGCAGCTACCCTACAATGCCTAACACTGCAGCTTTTCTTGTCAAGTATCCATGCTGGGGGGTGATAGGAGCTAAGAGAGGGGTGTGATCATGCTAACACTGCACAAATCACTCCGACCGCTGCGAAGCAGGGATGTTGATAGGAGAATTTACCCGTGCTTCATGCATGTCATCGACGATCGCAGCCAGACTTGGATGCTGCATGACTTGGGTCTCATTCCCGGATAGTTGAGCTTTCGATCAGAATTTGGATTATCTTACACATTTGCATCAGTTGTCATCCAAGTGCAATTTGACTGCTCCGACTGATCATGTCTCGCAGCTCTATCAAGGCCAGCGACAATGCCACTCCCGTGCCCTCTGAGGAACAAGATCAGCCAGATCTCATCTCAGCGGGATCGCAGCACCTGCAACGCCGATTGAGAGGTCGAGAGGTCCAGCTGTTCGCGGTTGGGGGAGCTATAGGTACATGTAAGTCAAATGCTCTTATTCGCGATTGGACAGTCTGCTGATATACGCAGCCCTGTTCGTGCAGATGGCTGCCGTTCTGCCCAAGGCTGGACCAGCGGGCTTGTTCCTCGGGTTTGTCGCCTACGCGAGTATTATTTTGAGTGTGAATCAATGCTTCGGTGAGACTTTGTAGAGATTTGAAAGAGTCCGGGATGAATGTTGGCAATTTTTCCAGCGGAAATGGTTTGCTACCTTCCGGTCCCCTCGCCTTTTGTCCGATTAGCAAGTCATTGGGTGGATGATGCCTTGAGTTTTGCGATGGGATGGAACTTTTTTCTCAATCTCGGTGAGTTCCGTCTAGTATTCAGGGATGAAAGTTGAAAATTTAGTCTTACTGTTACTGACGCTGTCAGCATTGGGAATTCCGTATGAGATTGTCGCAATCAATGTCCTGCTGACATACTGGACTGACAATGTCCCGGTGGCTGCTGTGGTAGTAGCATGTATTGTTCTATATGCGTATGGTCTTTTCCCACCGTATCCCCTATGTTTCATGTTAATTATGAGACGCAGGTTCCTCAATATCCTAACTGTGAGATACTTTGGCATATCCGAGTTCTATTTATCAATTTTGAAGATAATTCTCATGCTAGGCTTGATGATGTACACCTTCGTCACCATGATCGGCGGTAACTCGAGGCACGATGTATATGGATTTCGATATTGGCGGAACCCGGTTTGTGATCCCTGACAGAGCGTTGGACTGGGCTGATTGAGAACAGGGCGCATTTGTTTCGTATCTTGTCCCAGGAGATACTGGACGCTTCTGTGGAATTCTGGCTAGCATGGTGCAAGCATCGTTCACGTACGATCTAACGGAATCAGTTATAATCTATCACCGCTAATGAACTCCAGCATGGTCGGACCTGAGTACATCTCGATGGCAGCCGCAGAGGCCGAGCGACCTCGAACCGTCATGAAAAAGGCATATTCCGCGTTTGTCTGGCGATTGATGTTCTTCTTCATCGGCGGCGCTCTCTGCATGGGTATTGTTCTTCCATACGACGATCCCGTGCTTGCCGCAACCCTAGATGGCACCCGAGAGGGCAGTGGTACTGGAGCAGCGTGCGTACTCTTTCCCCTCTTTCTCTTTCTCTTGCGCATATTTCCATCCAAGCTAACAAAGAAGACAGGTCCCCCTACGTCATCTCCATGAACCACTTCAACATCCACGGCCTCCCCTCCCTCGTCAACGCCCTCATCATGACCTCCGTCTTCTCCGCCGGGAACAACCTCGTGTTCTCCGGCGCCCGCATTCTCCTCGGCATGGCCATCGAAGGCCAAGCCCCGGCCTTCCTGGCCCGCTGTAGCCGCGCCGGGCTCCCCTACTACGCCGTCGCCTGCACAATGGCCTTCTCGGCCCTCGGGTTCCTCCAAGTGAGCAACAGCTCCGCCACCGTCCTTAACTGGCTCGTCAGCATCATCACCGCCTGCTACCTACTCAACTACTTCGGCACGTGTATCACCTATTTGAATTATACCATGATTGGGTTCTTTGTGGTGGCGTTTGTGTTCTAGAAGGTGGTGCGTAGGTCGAAATATGTTTCGCCTAGGATGGCGGATTTAGGGCTCTATGGGTTGAACGCAGAGATTGATGCGTATGAGGCCTGTTTTGTGGCGAAGAAGAGAGGGAGGGTCGCAAGGGCTTTTAATGGGCTTTTTGAATGAATGTCCGCTGGCTTTGCATGAGTTCTGTTGTTTGGGATATAAATCTATTTCTAACTCTGTGTGTGGATCTGCGACTTATATTCACTCTTGATCTTAACTACAGGCACATTTTATACACCCAAGACTTCCTCACTCAGACCCCAACTCAAATTTCTTCACCGTAACCTGCCCCCCAAGCTCCTCCGTCGCATAGTTGAAAATTCCATACCGATATCCCAAAAAGAACGGCCAGTCGCTATTCAACGTCAACTCGCCGCCCAATTCAGTGAACGACGATCCGTCTGTGCTGTACGCAAACGACCCCTTCCGCTCAGTCCCAGGGGTGATATCGATCGTCGCGCGCAACCAAATCCCCTCCCCGGAGAAGCCAGCGCCCGCCTCCTCGCTGCCTTTCGATTTCGTGTTCCAGTTCGAATCCATCGACAATCCACTCGTCATGCTCACTCGAGACCCTCCCTCGTCGCGCCGAATCCCGATCCACGCGGACGTGTCCCGGAACAGCGACAGTCCGGCACGATCGCCGTCGCTCATCTTCGAGATATCGAGATGGATCGTGGCGCTGGACTTCGGGCCGGGAATCCGTCGTGTGAGGGTGTTTCGTGCGGAGTAGAGATCGTCTGTCATGGTTGCTGTTTTCAGAATCAGGCCGCCAGAGAGAGACCATTTCTCGTTGTCCGGATTGTGGTTCCATTCCCATTCTGCGCTGAGAGTTGACTCTTCGAATGTGTAAGAAGTTGGGATCGGGGTGATCGTTTTGTCGGTTGATACGAAAGGCAATGGATATGAAGAGCCCCAGGCGCCGTTGTCTAGTGTCACACTCGGCCAGCCGTCTTCGTCCCATTCCACCGGCGCGAGTACCGGAATGCGACCACCAGGATACGCGTCAATAAAGGCCATGTAGTACCAGTCTCCTGAGGGGGTGTCGACCAGGGCGCCTTGGTGTGGACTCCCTCCTCCCGCGACGGGGGCGTCGACTCCGATAACGACCTCGCGCAGCTCGTATGGACCAAAGGGCCCAGATATAGATTTCAGCACAAACTGGTCGCTTGCGGGACGCGTGAGCCAGATGTAATGGTTGCCGTTGATGTTGTAGAATCGCGCACCTTCGAGGTATCCGATGTCAGCGGGCGCGCGGTACACGACCTCGCTCTTGACTTGGCTGAGTCCGTCCTCGGAGAGCTGCGCGACGGAGATATTGTACTTGTCGTAGGCGACGTACATGGTATCGTCGGTGTCGACGAGCAGTCCGGCATCGTAGTAGCAGGTCGGGATGGTGCCGGATTTCTTCCACGGTCCTTCCGCTGTGTCGGCGGTGTAGATGTACGTCGTGCTGGAGTCGATGCAGCCGAGCCAGAAGAAGGTCTGGGTGCTGGGTCGGTACTGGATTGTCGAGGCCCAGATGCCACGCACGTATGCCCGTTTGCCGTTCTCGAGTGAGTAGTCGGAGGCCCAGTCTAGTGTGGGCACGGAGTGGCCGATGTATTCCCAGTCGGCGAGGTTGTAGGACCGTAGCACGGGGGCTCCTGGGGAGTAGTGCATCGTCGAGGCGGAGTAGTAGAATGTGTCGTTGACGCGGATTACGTCGATGTCGGCCAGGTCTTCCCAGAGGACGGGGTTGGTGAACGTTCCATCCTGTGCTAAGGTGAGGGCGCTCATGCCCAGCAGGGCGAGAACGCTTGTCCACCGCATGCTTTGTGCTGTATGTATGTTATTCAATGGGATTTTGGCTTAACTTCAATCGGACCTACCTCCACGCAGTATTTATTCATGTCACTTCTCTATCCCACCGGCCTTGGGTATCTCGCGATATCGCCTTGGCATACGACATTTCTCCACAGACAGAACCAAGATACCACCTGGAGTATTTCCAGATCCATGCTAGTCTGATCGTGCAAGCTCCAAAAGCCCTTCTTTAGACTGGAAAGGGCAATTTTCCAGGGGATAAACTCTTCTCCCCACATGGACGCAGTTTGTGGAGAATTTATGGAGTCAGGTTCCCGGATTCGCGCGGCTTGGCGGTGCGGAGGGCGTCTTTTTAGTTTGTTAGTTCCTTGCGAGCTGTTGTATGGCCTGATGAGAGATTTTGTGAGAAGTAGAGGTGCAGATACCATCTCGTGATGTTTATTGTCTATACGTTGGGTCTGGTTTCGTATGTGTTGTTCTACTCTGTGGACACGAGGGAGTGAGAAGCAAAAAAAAAAAAAGAAAAACAAAGTATTGGCTATATGCAACTCATAATGAACGCCATAACATATATATCCCCATTCATCAAGCATATCTCGGTAACACAGGGCGAGGTTCCGCCACTCTATACGGCGGAGGAGGTGGATAAGCTAAGGGCACCGCCATCGGCCGCTGTGGTACGGATGGCGGTGGCCTCACTTTCGGACGCCTACAACAGCAACAAACGACACATCCAAGGAGAATGGCGCCTCCAATCCCTGCCGCCAGACCAATTACCAGATTCCGGTGCTGATCCACCCACGAGGATACGCTATCACCACCACCCCCGTCCTGCTCGTTTCCGCTACGACACCGTCCGCTGCGACACGAGCCTCCATCACACGGCGTGCCGTCAAGAACCTGTTGACCGGTGCTCATACAGCTCCCAGAATCAGAGCTACCGTCGCTGCAGCTCAGTATGCAGGAATTGCTGTCACCGCATGATGAAATACTGGTGCTATTTGACGCCAGCTGTTCCCGACATTGCATATCGCGGCTGGTGCATTCGCCGCTGGCGCAGAACAAATCGGTGCTGTTTCCGCCGCTGCCACAGCTCTCGCCGTTCGGAACATGTCGGTCGGACGGACATCTGCTTGAATTCCCCGGACACATCTCCTCGAGATCGCAGGTCCCAGAGCTCCGGCGGCAGACGGTGTCGGACGACGCGTATTGGCAGTCATTGCAGCACGGCCCGGACGCGTCGTCGCAGACTGCCCTGTCTCGGAATCGACAGGTGGTGCCGTCACAGCAGGAGTTTCCATCGCAGTTATCTCCACAGTCGCAATCTTCGCCCGCCTCTACGATCCCGTTGCCGCATTCTCCTGGAGTGATGGTGGGTACGTCGTCGTTGCTGATCAGGCAGTTTGTTCGCACGTCGCCGGATCCGATGGCGGAGCAGACGTTTCCCAAGGTGCAGGGTGAGAAGTCAGAGTGGGATGAGCTGGAATAGGGGTTCATGAGGTACTGGGCGTCTGCATCGCACGTGGACGCGGATAGTGGGCAACATTGCCCTCGTGACGAAGGGCATGTGGAAGTGACGCAGTCGTGGACGGCTCCGAATGTGTGGGCGGACTCGTGGCTGCCGTAATGCTGATGTTAGAATCGTCTTCTCCCATGATACGAGGAAAGTCATAGACTACTTACGCAAAGACCTGCCATTCGTTGGACGTTCGAGCCACCACATTCGTGCTCATTCGCGAGTTGCACAGCTGCCCGATCCATGACACTCCGACCTCTCCGCCGGTCCGACAAGTCGTCATGAGTGTCCAGTAGGCATTGGTGGAGTCATCAATCGATCTTCGCCAGGATGAGAACTGTCGCAGTCGCCAGTCCATGTCTCCCTCGGAACACTCGACGTTCCACGGCGTCGAGTCCGATGCACTGTTCGGACAGCTCGCGTCGCTGATAGTCACATTGTGGAGACCCAGTGAGATATTGAATGTACTTTCGAATACCTCCGACGCCGTGTTTACCATGTTGATCAGGTTTCGACGCACCGATTCGGTCGAGTTGAACGCCGCTGTGTACGAACAGTCCGTCGCGATTCCGACCAACGCTACTCGCCTCGTTGTCGGACATCCCTCTGCACTTCCGATACTGTCTGTCAGATCCCCGGGGTTGAAACCACCAAACTGGCGTTTCCCTAGGTGCTGGTCCGTGGAGCCAGTGATCATGCCGATGTTGTCCATGAGGATATCACTCGTCCCGGGAATCGACGGCATCCGACCAGCTGCACATGTCTCTCCCACGCTGTCTAAGCCCCTTCTCGCATCATGATGCACGACCATATGCGATAGGCCGTCTTCCATACCCCCATCTTCTTCTTCTGAGATAGCCTCAACCCGGTACCGCTGACCCAAGATCATAAACGCGCCTTCAAAAATGGGATTCTCTCCATCCTGAAGCACGTATACTCTAGCCCAACCTTTCTTCTGCCACTCCAGATTTCCGAAGCGAGCCCAGACCGTTCCCTTGAAGACTCTATGCTGCGTGCCATCTAGCGTTTCTGTGTGTTGGATCTCGCCGCTAGCGTCCAGGTGGCGAATATGCGGGGCTTGGACGAAGATATCATGGTTAGGTTCCAGGTGTAGTTTGAACTCCGGATCTTGGTTGGAGATCCGAAATGTGAGAGAGAATTCCGTCCGCAGTGTTACTTTATGGGACGGGGTATTAATTGTCACATCTTCGAGTGTGGTTGATTCGTAGGTGGTATAAGAATGTACTGAGTAACCTGCTAACGTAAGTGTGCGAACTCGGCAAATCAAAGACGCAAACAAAATAGATGATCGTACCTGTAACCAGTCCAAGTAGCAAAAAAATATATGCCAGAACGAGATTAAAGATCAAGAATCTCATGATTTGCAATTCCAAAGTGTAGCCCAGATAACCACTGCATTGTGACTCCCGCCCTTTTATACATCCCACCACCCTTTCCACCCATCCAATCCAGTCTACATCGCCTTCTAATCACTCTGCACACATAAAAAAACCCAGACCCACATCATCTAGGCATCAAAGTAAATCAATCGCTTTCCATCACCGAGGCCAGAAAGAGACTGCAAGCCAAGACCGACTCGTCATCCGCTGAGACCCGCCAATGCTGACAGACGGTCTGTTTGTGGCTCCACTGGCCGGTGTCAATACCGGAGCCCTACGTCCAAGCACAGCCGCCCATGGCTCGATGTCTTGGAACTTGTGTCGTTTTCTGGGCTCCGACTGGTGGGATATCGGTGCCAAGGACTGGGCTAGTCGCGGGGAGGGGAAGATTGGTGGCTGTGCTTGGGATTTTTCGTAGGGTTCTACGATGGATTTTACTACTATATTGATGATTGAATTATTCTGGAAGATTGTGATCTAGGTAGTTTACGTATTCTGTTTTCAGATAGTGTTGTCTGTTTTAACTCCACAAGATTACTTACGACGGTGGTATGAGTCGCAGTGTTTGCCCGTAAGTATCATACTTAAAGTCCTATTCTATTGATTCTTACTCGTTATCAAGAAATGAACCCGGTTTACCGATCAATGTAGAAGGCCTTTAATAAATGACTCGTCAAAACATCCGTAGATTTCAACGCCTTCCAACAAGATTAAAAATTCGTCACATGAAAATTTCTTGTCTCTCATTCACTGTCTCCCTCAACCCCCTCCTCGTCTAATGAATTCGACAACATCTCCTCGGCGTAAAGAGTTAAGAGAATCAGAGGCAACAGCCAAGGTGCCATCTTAGTGGCAAAATTGACAACGTATGTACAAAGTTAAACGAAACGAAACGAAACGAAACACTTCAACAGACAGCTCCGTGCCCCCAGAGCCGACATCACCGCCAGCAATCTACGTGTTTATATCACAATGTCTCTCCATGTCAGTCGGGGTTAAAAGTGTAAGGCCGGGATTCCGCCCGAGGGATGACACTGCAAGTCTGCAACTTGCTGACCGGCGCCCCACGAGTTTATCTCTTGGCGCTAAGCCTCGATGGTTCCAGATGGGCTTCTTCTTACTGTCGGGGATTTGGATTATTGTTGATTGGGTAGATTGGTCTACACTGTGTAGTAGAGATCCTGAGATCGGCGGTTAGTGTGCTATTTGTAGCGTGTTTTTGCTTGGGTTTCATTTTCGGGGGTTTTTGGCTAGAAAGTGATGGACTGGGGTTTGCTAGGTAGAATTGAGGCCCATTGTACCCTGTTTTTTTTTTTAGCCTTCTAGAAAAACCTCATTTTTGTCTACTCCACGATAGGGCTCTCGTTCTAATTAAACTGTCTTAGGAAATAGGACCTGTTAAGAAAATGCTGATGATGCCAAGCATTCTGTACTACTAGCCACTGGTAGCGTATCAGAAGCCCACAGATTCGCAAATAACTCCCCCTAAAAAGTTTTTTATGTTGTCAAACAGGTAATAGAGATGTTCTATTATTAAGGGCCTGTCGTGGTTGATACACTGGACTATCATCGAGGCGATGGCTCCAGTGATCAATCACGACAAACACATATTGCTCCTCACAGAAAAATTCATCCAGGCACCCGTTCCGCTGATATAATTACTATAGTCCTGAATCCTGCTCGAAAATGGGTTGAATACCTGCCCAGGCTATGCCTAAGAAACCACGCAAAATTGATTACAATACAGGGCCTAAGATCCTCCACTGGACGCGGACTATTTCATAGTAAAGCCCAATCGCCCTACTTTCCCATTAAGAGGTATAATTCTGCTAGTGACGGTAAGACTTAATAGTTTGTCTCTCCAAATGTTGTTCTACTCACGTATAATGCGGATTTCCCGACATTCCATAGTTAGAAGAGGAAAGAGAAGTCATCGGGTCCTTCTTTCCTCAAAATATAGGTAAAGTGTCAGGTGACTGTAGCTATTTGTTTGGCCTAGTCTGTTTGCACCACGCCCCCATCTTCATTCCATTTTCTTTCATCGTCCCCATCAAGGTGATCTTTTATCTTCCTGATACGTGGCAGATTTGTTTGCTGGTTTCTTTAAATCCGTCGCATCATGCCACGCTCCCCCCCGCATGAATATATATATTGTAAGGGGAACCCCCAACTTCTCCCCCCTACCCTAGCCCTGGTCAATGTTCAGCGTTGTTCTTTAATACTAGGCACAACGAGGTCTGGACTCAAAATTGCAAATGCCTCAATCAAAACAAGGATACGTTGATTGGCGCGTGCCTCTTGCAACGTGCCTCCTGGAAATTGCGCATCGGAAGGGAAGTGGACCACAAGCCGAATCGCCACTTCGCGTCTTCCGCATCGGTCCGTTTCCGCTGAGTCACCCGCGTCTCCCTGCGCCGGTGGATGGCGACGATACTTCATGATTGGAACACTCCATCAGAATGCAGATCTCTTACGACGAGAGCAGGAAATGCAAGCCGTAGATCAGTGGAATCCGGCATCCGAATGACTTGGGATGAGGATGCTACCTCGAAAGGGCCCCGCGACAATTTATGTCCCTGAATCTCTCCTCATCCCGCCACTAATTTCCACCAACTCATCCCAAAACGAGACGCTGCAGGATGCGGTAGGAGCCAATGGTATCATGATATTAATCGGCCTCCGGATTGTATTCCCCGCATTTCTTCCCCACACTCCGACCCTCTGCATGAGCTCCGGTGCTTCTGCTCTTTTTCCTTCTTCACTCGTCTTCTCCACCCCTCCCCTTCGCCATGTTTGGTGAATCTCCCTCTACCACGTCGCCCACGTCGCCGCAGAGGTCGGGGGCAAAGGGGTACTTCAAATGTGGCAGCTGCAGCAAGAGCTATGTTCGCGCAGACCATCTGATTCGGCACGTCCGGTCTCGTCAGTACCACGGTCAGATCCCGGACTGGAAAGCAGGAAACTAATCGAGTGTTTAGATACAAGAGAGAAACCTTACGTGTGTCATGTTTGCAACAAAGGCTTCGCTAGGCCGTTAGTACCGCTCTGGCTTACACTCAACACATCTGTTAATTCTGGCTAGTGACTTGATGAAGCGCCATGCGGCAGGCCATGACAGCCCAGACGAAGGAAAGCGAAAACGACCCCCGCCGTATCCGAAAAATGGTCGCGTCTCTCAGGCCTGCGCAGCTTGTGCGAAGAGTAAACTGAAATGCGATGAAGAGAAGCCTTGTAAACGGTGCAAGGAGAAGGGATTTGTGTGCGACTGGCCAGATGGCGGGAATGATACGTCGCCTTCTCCCGCGCAAGGTATTTTGTATGATCGATGCTCTCGGATGAGCGCTGATAACCTGAGTTCAGCATCGCATAGCGATTACGAACCCAACTATTCCCTCGACGAGGCACTCGCGCAGCCCCCGCTCACATCCCCAACCCATGACGACGAGACCGATATGCCCGATGCTATTGACCCTGCCGAGTTCAATTCCCCTGATGTTTCAATAAATAATTATCTGCCTGCGACGGGGATAAATTCAATTCCGGATGATACCATATCCATGACTTATGATGGTAAACATGGTTCTTCATTTATTTCCTGACACTTGAACCTAATTTGTGAATTTTAGCTTCAACGATTTCACCGATAATGGACCATGACAGCGGCATTTTCAGCATCGACGGCACGTTCTTTCCCAACTTCATTCCCGACTCATTAATACCAACCCTCGCGCGCAATGATATGCACACTTCCACCAACTTACCTCACGATTACATCCACGATGTATTCGACCATAATGTGCAATTTGGCTTTGACCTTACCGACGTGGACTTTGGGTTAATTGACTTCTTCAATACCCGAGGCATCGCCGACGCATCAACCGATCGGTCCGAGGATAGTGGCATTGCCTTAGGTGCCGAAGCATATCGGCGGTCGTCATTATCTAACTGGACACCAGCTCACGAAGATACCGCATTCGCCAACCAAGGAGACCTATCTGTTCCGAAATCAATTGACAGCCCAGAAGCTAACATGCGATCGGAACGTCAGATCCTCTCGGAACGTCTGTCGTCTGGGAGTCGCGATCTGATCTTTGGCATGGTTCTCCAAACCAGTACGAAAGCCAATCTGACGCGCATCATGAAGTCATTCCCGAGCACAGAGCTGCTGGACAGCCTGATTCAGGATTATTTTGATTTCCAGAGTTGCAATATCGATTCTTGGATCCATGGTCCCACATTTCAGCCGAACGATCAGACCCCTGATATTTTGGCCGCTGTCGCCGCTGCGGGCGCGATCAGATCGCCCATTCCGACAATCAGGAAGCTAGGATATGCGCTGATGGAAGTTGCTCGACTTCAGCTATCCTCAAAGGTCAGGAAGGCATCTTTTACCCATCAAATCTTAACTAACCCAGCTGTGAATAGTATGAAAATGACAACTCCACAACGCGAGACTTGCGCGCCTCGCAGACCTTCGCTCTGACTCTGGAGATTGGTATTTGGAGCGGGAACGGTCGGCGCACGGAAATTGCTGAAAGCTTTCAAAACCCGCTCATCACGATGATGCGACGCTCTCTACGTTTCCGACGATCCGCTTATTCGAATATTCTTCCGAGCATGGAGGACTCGTCGGAATCACTCGAGCGAAAATGGCGTACCTGGACGGAGCAAGAATCCTTCAAAAGGCTCGCTCATCACCTCTTTCTCCACGACGCTCAATCCGCCATGATGCTCAATGTCACCCCAATTCTTTCCTACGCTGAATTGGAGCTTCCATTCCCCGCCGTCCGAGCGCTCTGGGACGCGAAGTCTGCCGATGCATGGCGCGACATATACCTGCGGACTGGAGCAGGCCCCAGCCGGCTGCCTTCTCTAGTTGATACACTGCATGATATGTCGGAGTTATCTGCATTTCGCGGCTACATTGACCTACATCTGTCTACCCTTGTCCTACTACATGGTCTCTCCGCTCTTATAAACGAATATCACCGGCTCAAATTCATCTCCAAGGGCAACTCGAAACATTGGAATGCCCTAGTCATCAACTCCCGCCAACAAGAACTATCCCAGATTCTATCACACTTCCGCATGCTATACCATGAATTCGCCGAGATCCCAAGCCCACAGATCCTTCTTATCTACGAAATGATTTCCATGTTTCTTTACATGTCCCTCGAAGAGCTGCAGCTCTTTGCCGGAAAAGAGGACAAGAAAGAAGCCAGACGTGTCTATCAAAGCGCCCTCGAGTGGATCAATAGTCTCGATTCCCGTCGTGCGCTCTGGCATGCCGGGCAGGTTTTGCGCGCTGCAAAGACTATGCCGTCAGGGTCTCTGACGGGGTTCTTTGCTGTTGGCGTGTACTATGCCAGCCTGGCATTCTGGTCATATAGCGTTGTCTACAAGGCCAAAAATGCCAAGAAGCCGGCAGGAAGTCCACCGGAGGGACATTACGGCGGGAGATGGCCAACCGTGTTCCTGGATGGTAGCGACTCGACTGATGTTCAGAAGTTCATCTCGCTGGGATGTGGGTGTCCGGCGTTGCAGGGCCCGCAGGATCCTGTTTTGGTTTCAGACCCAAGTCAAACAATGGCACTTGCGCGGGGGGTTCTTCGTGCTGAGGCGTCGCATGACGCCCTGCCGCCGTTAGTGCAGAGTTTGTGTCAGTTGATGGGGGACTTGGGGAACGCCGCGAGATCCACTGCTGTGGGGTAGGGTTGAGACGTGTCTGTAAGATATGCATTGTATGACTGCCATGGGGGATACGAGATGACCAATATACTGTATCAGACTACTTAGGATCGTTGTGTGGACCAGAAACAGTTCCTTCTCCATCCAACTATACCCAGCCTAATAACCCTCAGTCCCCTCCTCAACCACTAGCGTATTCCGTACATCGGAAGTGCTTTTTTGGGAGTGGGGAGTCCGAGTATCGGATTTGTTGTAATTACGATTTAAATGTATCTTGGTTCCATTGCTTTGGGTGAAATTTGACTTCCCAATATTCCGTCGAATCTGTTGTCTAATCTTGGGCATTCGAGCAATGGAGAGAAGCAAGTCCACCCCGACTAGGTCTACGTCATCGCAATATATCGTTTGATGCCCCAATCTTCAGGCAGCACTCACAGCTACTCGACCGTCTATTACTCTTATTCAACTCTTCTATGTACAATAATCAACGGTCCCAATATTCTCAGTAGCTACGAGGCAACTGTAGCACTTTTTCGCTCACATAATTGAGAATCATCTCACGACTCACAGGTGCGATCCGCGGCACCAAACATTCTCTCAGATAACGCTCCACGTCATACTCCATCGCGTATCCCATACCGCCATGACTGAGGACTGCACGCTCGCAGGCCTTGAACGCAGCCTCCGCTGCCAGATACTTTGCACTGTTGCAAGCCACCCCAACCGAGTGGAAGGGGATCGACTCGTCCGTCTTCGACGCATCGTATAGCCGCGCCGCGTGGTACGTCGCTAGCTTAGCTGCCTCGAGCTGCATGTACGCGTCTGCCAGGGGGTGCGCGATCCCCTGGTTCTGTCCGATCGGTCGTCCGAAAACCACGCGCTCGCGAGCGTATTCCGCAGACCGTTCCAGCGCGGCGTAGCCCAGACCCAGAGCCTCGCCGGCAAGCAGACACCGTTCCGCGTTCATGCCGTGCAGAATGATTTTGAATCCGTCGTTTTCCTGGCCGATCAGGCTACTGGATGGGATGTCGTAGTTATCGAAGAAAACCTCGTTGGCGTCCACGGCCCGGCCGCCCATCTTTTTGATCTTCCGCATGTCTAGCCCCGGCTTGGTTCGGTCGATGTCAATGCAGAACATCGATAACCCCTGGTTGGATTTTTGGACTTCCTCGAGAGGTGTTGTTCGTGCTAGGAGGATCATTTTGGAGGCGACTTGTGCGCAAGTAATCCAAATTTTTTGGCCGGTGACGGAGTAACCATCTCGGTCTGCGTGCTTCCGCGCGAGGGTCTTCAGTTTCAGTGTCTCCAGGCCTGTGTTGGGCTCCGTGACTCCAAAGCACGTTCGCCAGGTGCCATTGATGATCTTGGGGATGGTGTCTTCGAGTTGCTCCTTGGTGCCAAACTTGGCGAGTGGTTGCGTGGCATACACGTTGGCGTGGATGGACTGAGCGCCCGCCATACCGGCACCGGACTGGGTGATGGTCTGCATCATCATGGTGGCTTCCGAGATACCTGGACGAAATCAATCCCTGCTCTAAATTTGAAGATAATTTGGTGACCTTCAACTCACCTAATCCCGCTCCGCCGTGCTCCTCTGGGAGTGCGATTCCTAGCCATCCGTCCCTGGCTAAAGCGGCGTGGAAATCCTTCGGATCTCGCTCTTGTTGGTCGCATTCTTGCCAGTATGTGTTTGGGAACTTGGAGCAGATCGCCGAGATGGCGTCGCGGACGGTCAATTGCTCCTCTGTGAACCCTGCCAGCTCCATTAGAGGTCGCTGCACGGTGGTGGAGAAGCCGGACCGCGGCGTCACTCGCGATGACGACGTCACCGGGCGCGTTCTCGACAACACCGGACGCAGTCCATGACGTAAGTTTCGTGGGGTGTATATGCGAGACATTCTGGATTGATTTGGCTGTAGTGCTCTTAGCAGGATTGTTCTTGGGAATCGAAGGGGCCTTTTATGTGTAGTGACGATCCGTGGCGTGGAGCACAGCAAGAGCCCGTCAAGTAACCGGCAAATAGCCGGCATCTCCACCCCCGCGTCTCTCCGAGGTATGACTCTCGAGCCCTGACGAATACTTACTTATTACTATGAACTCACAGAGACAACTTAACAATTGAATGTGTTTTTTCTTGCATATGTACACATCTACAATATGAGTCTTTTCAGATCATTCTCCCGGACAATACGTCATCATGCCCCCAGCCCTCGGTATTCCTCAACTCAAGTCTCGTCAACCAAGACAAAAGGCCCCCTCTTCGGCGTCACAGTAGTCAGTCTGGAACAAGCCATCGCCGCGCCTTTCTGCACCAGACAACTCGCCGACCTAGGCGCCCGGGTGATCAAAGTCGAAAGACCCGGCGTTGGCGACTTTGCACGTAACTATGACACCCGCGTCAACGGCCTCGCTTCCCACTTCGTCTGGACCAACCGGTCTAAAGAAAGCCTTGCGCTTGATCTGAAGAATCCTCGCGATCACCGCATCCTCATGTGTCTGCTGAGTCGCGCTGATGTTCTTGTCCAGAATCTCGCTCCCGGTGCTAGTGCACGACTCGGTCTATCGCATGACGCTCTGAAGACCGATTATCCCTCGCTGATCGTCTGCAATATCTCCGGATATGGACCCGACGGGCCCTATCGGGACAAGAAAGCCTATGATCTCCTTATACAGAGCGAGGCCGGCATGCTCTCCGTCACAGGGACCGGTACCGAGCCTGCCAAAGTCGGTATCTCGATCGCAGACATCGCAGCCGGTAGCTATGCCTACTCCAACATCCTCGCTGCCTTGATCCAGCGTGACAAAGACCCCAACCGAGCCGGTTCAAACATCGACGTGTCCATGCTCGAAAGCATGGTCGAGTGGATGGGTTTCCCGATGTACTACACATACAACAATGCCGCTGGCCCGACGCCCGCCGGAGCCTCTCACGCCGCGATTTATCCCTACGGTCCGTTTGAGGCAGAAGGCGGGACGAAAACCGTTATGCTCGGTATCCAGAATGAGCGCGAATGGGCCAAGTTCTGCGATAAGGTCCTCGGTCAGCCGGCGTTGGCTACGGACGAGCGATTTGCGAATAATTCGCTACGAGTCAAGAACCGAGATGCGTTGAAGACGATCATCTGTGATGTGTTCAAGACGCGGTCGGCGGAGGAAGTACTTCGGTTTCTGGATGCGGCGGCCATTGCGAATGCTAGTGTTAATGATATGCAGGGTGTTTGGGATCATCCGCAACTTAGGGCTCGGGGTCGCTGGACGGAGGTAGAGACTCCTGCTGGTTCTGTGCCTGCGTTGCTGCCGCCGGGGATGCAGAAGGAGGGAGGTGGTTTTGATGCGAGGATGGATGCTGTGCCTGATGTTGGGGAGCATAATGACGCGATATTGGCGGAGCTTGGGATTGAGGATTTTCAATAGATTTGATTTATGTATAGCGTTTAGAGGGCAATTATTATGTCGTCAAGTTCATGTTGATGTTTCGAACTGCTCTCACCATCGTAGGCGAACTATATTTTCGGTAACAACCAGCTACTCAGATCAGTTACTCTAATTTTGTTGATGAAATTCTTAGACTCTATCGTCTAATGTAATACCGAATAATTGCATTAATGGGCTAGGGAAAAGGAAAAAGAAACAAAGAAAAAAAGGAGGAAGAGAGAGAGAAGACTCGGGCGAGTGAAGGGTGGAGTGTGATCCAGAAAGACAGGGAATCATAAAGCCGACTAAGCGAAATGCCAAGACTAAATAGCCGACTTGCGTCCTCCTTCGGCTTCTTCTTTTCCCTTCAACATCCCTCCCTCGGAAATGACCCTTCAAGTCCGATCAAATCATCCAAAATGACACCCGAAGTAGAACCAGGCCCTCGCCAAACCAGACTTCGCGCAAGACAGGCATGCCTTCATTGCAACCGTCGTCGCATCCGCTGCAATGTCTTGGAGAAGCGCCCCTGCGAGAACTGCGTCGCGATGAGCGTACCCTGCGAGGTCGGAGTCTCCAAGAGAGGAAAGTAAGCAAATATCCAGGCCATGCAGGCTTTCTGAGTGAGAATTGGACCGACCAAGTGATCAGTGCCAACACGAGCGTCGTTGCAGGTACCCGCGCAAGAAGAACAACAATCATATCCACCGGCCCACTACCCCGAGAGCTGCGAGCCATCCGATCTCTCCGCCAGTCGTCCCCGACTCCACCGTCTCGTCGGCTTCCCGAAATGGTGACACGCCGTTAAGGCACTCGGATGTCTCGCGCCTCTCTCAGCAGACTAAACCGTGGCAGGCCCAGCCGCATGTCAATAGCCCCCGTGCCCCATGGTTAACCCCGGGGGACTCGACTAGCGTGTTTCTGGGAGAGTCGAGTCCATTGACGTGCGTGATTGATGAAGGACGACGATCGCCTGATAAGGGGTCTGGCAATGTGATGCAAAAGACGCGTCTTCACTATCCGATTCCTGAGAGACTTCAGTCCAGCAGTACGCGAGATGTAGCGCTCCGGGCGCACAGGACAAAGCTCGAGGCCCAATTGACGGCGGACGGGGCTTTTTCGTACCCCCCGACCGAGACCATCGAGACTCTGCTATGCGCTTACTTCACCTGGTTTCATCCCTGCTTTCCTATCCTGGATCGCACCACCGTTCAGCAGTTGTTTGCTGAGGGCAATGTTTCGCCGCTGCTGTTACAAGCTATGCTGTTTATCGGCGTAAGTCTTTGTACGGATGATGAGTTCGCGCGAACCGGGTTTGAGATCCGCTATGGAGCGAAGTTCCTGTTTTATAGTCGGGCGAAAGCAATTTATGATGCGGGTTGGGAGTCGAACAAGACAGTTAAGTTGCAAGCCCTCTTTCTGTTGAGTTACTGGCGCGGAGGCCCTTCTGAGGAGCAAGACACGCGGTTCTGGCTCGGCGTGGCCATCAGTTTGGCTCAGAAGCGCGGAATGCATATGATGTTTGTGTCTCCTGTCGGGATGGTCTGTTCATACGGCTGACGGGTCTAGGTCGAAGCTTTCCTTCAGTTCATCGCGGGAAGAGAAGTTATGGAAACGGATATGGTGGGCTTTATATGTGAGTTCGAGCGATGCGATTAATTAGATACCAGGACTAACTTTCCAGATTCGTGACCAACAAAGCGCCTCGGCCCTTGGATTACCTGCTCGAATACGTGATGAGGATTGCGACGTGGCCATGCTTGAAGAAAGCGACATCAGGGAAGACGAGGTTGTAGAGAACCCCGAAATCTTTGGCACCCAGAACGTGGAAGATGTGCCGTATCCGGTTGAAATGGCCCGACTAGCTAGGATTTGTACGGCCTGACATATCAAGATTTGGGTTTTACATTGCTGACGATGATAGTGCGCACGATTGTCTCTACGCAATATTTGCCTATTCAAGCCTCTGTCGATACATCTCTCCGACAAGAGCTTCATAAGCAACTTTCAGAATGGGAATCGAATATACCGTCTATTCTCAAGCTCGGGAATACCGCTAGCCCTAGAGCTATCTTCTTAACGGGATTGCTACATACGACTCATAAGTGAGAGGCATTTGCTGGTATTGAAGATGACACCACTAACCAGCTTGCAGCTATCTCTACGTTCTACTCTACCGATCGTTATTTCTCCACCCACCCAATTCGGCCTCGGACGAACTGGGCCAGATTGCATTGAATGCTGCCACCAAGACAACAAGAATTATCGAGGACATGTTGTCTTGTAACCTCGTCCAGCATGGTGCAACACATCTGTGAGTATATCCCCATAAAAGGCGAAGCAAGTACTAATTTTACAGAATCACACACTCGTTCTCCGCCTTATGCATTCAAACCATCCACTGTCGACGAACCACAGGAACAGCCCGCAAGTTGGCAGAACACCGCGCAAGGCTTTGTCTGCTGGGATTACAGGAACTGCAAAAGACTTGGGACTTGGAGAACTGGGTCCTAGATCTTTTCTTCCGCTGCCTGGACGATTGCACGGCCCGCACACTGCGATTGACAGATATTATAAACCCACCGGCTCAGCCAACACAGACAACCGAAGCCCAAACAAATGGAGAGAGTGTGGCGAACCATGAGCAAGAGCCCAGGACGCCGAATACTATGATGACATCCAACTCAAATGACCCTACGCTTGCGCCGTCTCTTCATGCGTCGCCATATGCTCCCGCTGGAGATCTTGCAGCACCGAGCGATTGGTACGGCTTGTTTAATTTCACAGACGATTTTACGGATGTTCTCGGAAGTCCACAGTCACAGGAGTCTCTCAACCTGCAGAATCTCCAGTTCCTATATCGATTTCTATAGCATTGGAATTGATACAAATTCTGACCGCACTACGACGCCAAACATGCTCGCCAGCAATACAGTCTACACTGAAGTCTTTCGCGAACGTGGTTTTTATTGGTAATCACATACGTCGCTTAAGATGACGATCGCAATCTATAAACTGCACTTGCCACATGAGACCGGAGCAACACTGGAATGTTCGACCAAGGTAGATTGGCTCTGACTCTGGCTTGATCGAGGAGCATCGTTGGCAGGATTCAGTTCGAAGAAACTGGTTGGTTTAAGAGAGATCGACATTTTCTCGACTGGCATCACCGGGAAATCTGTCCATTATTAGCGTTGTGTCTGGTTGTGTTCATCGAGCCCTGAGGGGTTCTTACCTTCCGGTCGCGTTACGTGGGTCACACCAAATGTATGCCACAGCACAACATCTTCATTCTCGACATTTTCATTCCGCTGGGCCCAGACTCCCAAGCCCGTATCCTCTCGGCTTTGGTTGGTGAACTCGCCCGCAGCATACAGCTCGCCTTCTTTGTACGAGGTCACCCAGATGGGCTTGCTCGAGAACAGACCCCGTTTGTAGTTGAATGTCTCGGGTCCCATCATCAGCATCTGGCTCGGCAGGGCATGCAGCTTATAGCCGACTGGCTTGCCAGACACAGCATTGATGTGGTCGGGGTTGATGATTCGATAGGTTCTGGACTTGGTCAGGTCCAGATCATACGGGCCCGGTCGCTTGATGGGCGTGGTGTTTACTCGGAAAGCGCAACCAAAAGGATCGAGATCGGGCTCGCCCCGCACAGGGACAATGTCATCATACACAATCGTGTTTCGCACGCCGTCCAAGGCTGGATCTACTCGCACACTGAATAGGTGTTGGTGGTTGACGGCGAGCACTCCAGGAGCCACGACCGTTCCCCACGGCGATAGGGTCTTTTTGCTAATCGGCATGGTCGACACAATGCCGGTGGCCTTCACATCGACATGCAGGTTGGCTGCCTGATCGAATATGAAGGCGAGGATGTATTCGTAATTCATGACCGTGGCCGTACACTGGATCACTAGCTGCCTGTTGCGCACCATGGAAGCATGTCCATTTCGGATATTGGTGTGCTTCCAACCGACTCCATCGTCGACTTCGTGAACACAAATCACGTTCTTCATCACCAAGGGCTCTCCGGCCCCCGTGGTCCGGATGCCGTCGAAATAGGCAATGTGTCCCAGACAGTCACAGCCCAGGGTCAAAGTATTGGAGGTGATACCGAACCCAGAGTCACCTAGGTCGAAGGCCTGTTTGCGGTGGTACGGAGAGCGAGGATCCCCATATGGTACGGTCATTTCACTCATTGAGACGCGATGGAAGAGCGATCGTCCGTCGTAGTAGACATTGTTCAGAACTGGTCCTTCGCGCACCGTCCAGCCCATATGGAATGACCACTTCTGCCAGTTGATGTGGCGACCGTCGATTCTGAAGGACGGACCCTCCGGTTGAGCCACCTGCAGAGGCTTGACGTCTTTTCGGAAGTATTCTATTCCTAGCAGTGTAGGACTGTATTCGACCGGGGCGGCAGGTTCCCATGGCTGGGTTTCCGATTCTAACTCGGCACCGACCCCTAGGGGTAGTTTCTCGATCTCAAGCAGCTCGAGTGTATGAGCGTCGAAGATGGGAGCCAAAGGGAGAGGGAGGGAATAGTGATTCGCTTCGGGGTCATCATTTAGGACCATATACATATAGCATTGGTACAAACGACGGCGCTCGTTCGCATCGTCTGTTCCATAAAGCCACGGATCGTTGATGACGGTGGCACTATTTAGCACAATTCAGAATTAGCAACCAATGAATGAATCAGCCACAGACTGGAAACAAAATGCCTCGGTAACTTCAACTTCTCAACCTCCCTAGCAACCTCGGCGCTCTTGCTGCAGACATCTAGAAGACGCTCGATCTCATCGATATCCGCCGGTCCTTGGATATCCGGATGTTCGGTATCTTCTTCCACCTTGCCGGTGGTAATGTTGATCTTTGCTTTGCGCAGCGTCTGGCTCCCTTGCTTGTAGTAGTATGTGTACCCTTTACGAGGCGGCGCCTGGACACTTCGCGTCTTGTCCCGGAAGTACGAGAGAAATGTAACCTTGGGGGTCTCTAGCAGGTCTATGACTTTGAATCGAACCGGAGTCGGGGCATGGTAGGCTCGCACGACCTGCGAGACGGTGCGCAGTTCGGTCGGGGAGAGGGGATCGAGTGGGTGGAACATGGCGACTATTCGCTCAAATGATGAATCGAAACAGGCGAATGACCGGGGGTGAAGTAGCGGAGGTGTGCAGATCGACTTCTATCCAGCAAGATGCAGGATGCAGGATGGAATGGTATTTATCCTGTCCCCGACCGACACTTCGCACGAGGGCCTCGTCGCCTCCATCCCGAGGCACAGGAGCTGCCTGTATTTCTCGATTTGTCGAAACTTGCGCCCTCGAATCAGACGAGGAAACATGGTGGTTATGCGTCATCATGCACTGGAGCTCTGTTCTTCTGTTTCATTTGGTGCTGACGCACGGGGATAGAGAGGGTTGGAATCGTTTCCTAATCGGGTAGTGCTTCCAGCAGCAGTTGATTTGCGGGTCCTCGTTTCTAGACCCGCTAGAGACGTTGGGCTCCAGACTTCTCTGGGTTTGGTTACTACACTGTATACAACCCTGTTGATTTTGTCGTTGTATTTGCTTTTCCTGGAGATGCTCCTCTTGCCGAAAATGGGGGCTTGGCCCCGTGGAGGCGAGGGAAGCGTCTCTGTCTTCAGGTAGGTGGATCTAAGTTAGTTCTGTTACTTGTGCTTTGATTGATCAATTCGCCCACTATATTCGAGATCTACCCTGACGGGTAATCAATAGTTGATTCCTCAGTGGCCAGATGAAATTGAACCCAGAACATGAGTGTGGAAGGGAGACATCCTCTCCATCAGGCTTTAGAGTCTAGCGCGTGGATGAGAAACAACTCCTCATCTCTGCCTTTCACGAAGGAAAGCTTCCAAGAAACCTCATCTTCGATGTGATTCATTATGGCCGAAAACCTATCTTCCCGAAAACTCAATGCCGCCGTCGCAAAGATCGATGAGGCCACCCGCGGTCCAAATCCCAAAGTTCCCGGAATCGTCTGTGTCGTTGTGGATCAAAATGGTGACTCTATACTATCGCATGCATCTGGCTTTGTCGGTCTGAATGGCCAATCTCCAATGACTCTCGATACCGTTTCATGGCTCGCCTCATGCACAAAGCTTCTCACTGGGATTGCCTGCTTGCAATTAGTAGAGCAAGGCCGACTTGCTCTCGACGAAGCTGCACAGCTGGACAGACTGGCACTAGAACTGAAGGAGCGGAAAGTATTGACAAAGGATTCGGGGGATCGGTATAGACTGGTTCCGCAGGAGCGGGCGATAACGCTCAGAATGCTCATGACACATACGTGTGAGTATACTGGCCCTACTATACGATATGTGTACTGACTGCGGTAGCTGGATTCGGATATGCCTTGATGACCTGGATCTATGTGCGTGGGCGAGACCAATCGGGCTGGATGACTTCTCCGGCAGGAAGGAGGATGTCTTGTTCCGACTGCTTGTCTTTCAACCGGGAACAGCTTTTCAGTATGGCGTTGGCATTGATTGGGTTGGGGTGGTTATAGAGCGAGTCACGGGGTTGTCATTGAAGGATTAATTCTAGACTCATGTCTTCGCTCCTCTGGGAATCACTGATATCACATTCTGGCCAACCCAGGAAATGAAATCACGTCTGGGGTATATGCATCAGCGTGCGCCTGACGGGTCTCTGACTGTGACTGATCATCTTTTGCGACATGCTCTGGTATCAGACGCAAAATCAGATAGGGTATTTTTTATGGGAGGGTGTGGATGTTTCGGCACCCCGAGGGATTATGCAAGTCAGTAAACAATTCTTTACACTTTCTTTGAACTGTGCTGGGCTCTGTACCCAGGAGTTCTCTCCGTCCTTCTCAATAACGGGACCTGTCCCAAGACGCAAACCCAGCTTCTCAAACCCGAAACCATTCAACGTATGGCCTCTTCTCCCTCGGAACTATTCAAGTCTAACCTAGCCCATTCTCAAAAAGAAATGTTTACCGACCAATTCCCACATTCTCAATCTCTCAAAACTACCCCTGTCCATCCGCAAAACCACACCTCGCCAACCCCTGCCCCATCATTTCTAAACCGGGTAATCCGACCGATGGCTGGGTTTGACGTTTGCTTTGAGCCACCAGAGGAGCGAAACAGGACGAGCGGCCGGGTCGGCGTCCTGGGAGAGTCTAGCGAATCTGTATTGGTTTGCGGATCGGGAGTCTGGGATTGCGATGAATTTTGCAGCGCAGGTCTTGCCGTATGGTGGTACGTTCTATTGAATGTTTTTTATTTTTATTTTTATTTTTCTTGTATGAAGAATGAGAGAGCTAACGGAGCGTGCGAGCCTTTGGATTATGAGGTGGTAAAGCTTTGTGGTGAGGTTGAGAAGTTGGTTTATGAGAGCCGGGGGGTAGGTATTAGGAGTGCGCTTTGAGATGTTGGGGGATGGGAGAGGATTAGACTGGTTGTGCGCGTGTCTGAGGCTTGGAAAAGGGGTTAGACTAAGAATAAGTGCTCTACACGAGATATGTGCTTTTGCTCTTGATGCTAGGAATGATTAGATGTATCTATCTCGTAGAAACCTTCAAATTAAAAACACAGCGACTATCTGCTAGACTCTGTTCTGGGCATCTATCAACTAGAACGGGTCATTGACAATGTCTATCCTGCTTCATAATGAGTGACTATTTCCTGTACATCCTTCTCCGTCAACCAGAATAGCCGAGGAAATGAATATTGATTTAGTTACCATCCGTCTCGGAAATCTGACCTTTACATTTCTCTCCATCCGATCCTGTCTCTGAAGATTCTGATAAATAAACCCCTCTCTTGCTAGGCCTATTTCCTACTCAAGGTTACATCCCAACCCAGGACAGTGAACAAAGCCGTAGATCCGCTTGACCGAGATAGATGATCATCAGTGCATGAGATCCCTCAACAAACCAAGCCGGATAAGTAAAGTGGAGCACTGTTCAGTGTTTCACTGACTCTCATCCATCCTGGTGACTCGATTATACCCCGCTGTTCCTCGCATTGCTCATCAGTAGTAAGTAACAGGTGTAATCTGATGAATATTGCGGGGTTGGGAAACTCCAAGACATCGAGATAAGTAGTGTGCGGGTCATGTGTCATGCATAAGATTCTACATACATCTGATGTTTAATACTCCGTCCCATTCAACCTAACTGATAGAACCAATAACAATAGTAGCCATAGGATAGGTAAAGACAAACAAGAATTCATCCACATCAATGCACCAGACAACGTAAACTAAACTCCCTTCCTACTTCGACCCTGCCGCCAAAATCCCCAATCAATATGCGGTCCCTCGAAACTATGACGTCTAATGAACGCCCAAAGACAATTGATAATGACGATCACGCCTACCAGGATCACGCAGACGAAGCTCATCGACCCCAACTCGACGGGCAGATTCGGCGGCATGCAGATCAATACACAGAGCGCGACGATCCACAGAACGGAGAATATATTACAGTAGCAGCCGATATAGGCGAGTTTCAAGTATCGAGGGGGTAAGGTGTCTCGGCTGCGAAGGAGGAGTAGGCCACATGGGATGGTGTAGGTGATGTTTAGGAAGAGGACGGCGGAGGTGATAATGGAGTTGAAGGCGGTTGTGGATGCTAGAAGAGGAGACCGTAGAGGCAGCTGAATAGGAAGGCGGCTACTGTGGTGTGGACGGGGAAGTTGAGACAGTTGCTCACTTTGGATAAGAGTGCTGAGAATGGGAAGCCATTCTAGATATGGTTAGGCATGGGACTATTGGTGGACATGGTGGGGGGAATGTTTCACGTCGCGGGCAAATGCCCAGGCTATCCGCCCAGAGCTGACCCATTGGGATGGGAGAGAGGCTGGAGCGTTATTAGTCTTGTCTTGCTGAGGTGGTGGGTTTGACGCTTACTGAGATAGGCAGCTAAGAGAAGGACGAATAACCCAAGTGTCACACTCCGACTTCCTGTTCTGTTCATCTTTGTGAGATATGGTGGCCAGGGATTAGAATGATGGGACAACTTACACCTGATAGAGCAGCTCGAGACTTGGCAATGGGGAGGGCCTGATAGCGTCCATGTCGGAGATAAAGAACATAAACACAATGAACATGGATACACTTGTAACTAGCCCGATGATCATCGTCATGATCAGGACCTGTGGGACTCTTCTTCCCCGCCGCGGGATCTCTTCACTGATATTGATGACTGTTTCCGGTCAGACTCGCATTCTATACCGAGGAATTGGGCACTTACCTCCGTCCGTCCCTCCGAACGCGTACATTGCGTTACTTATCGCAAGCATCCAGGCTGTACCATCGTTCCATCCGCTATTACCCTGTCCAGATGCAACAACGAACGATCCATGTTGGGTTTGCTGGTGCATTGCAAATGAGACAATGAAGAATGTCAGGTATCCCGCGAGTGACAGGTAGAGCGATACTTGGGTTACAAGAGAAATTCTTCCGGCGACCGTGAACACCGGTAGGACTTGAAAAGAAGTCAGTATTGCGATAGATCCATAAGTTATCAGCTGGAACCGAGGGAATACACTCACCTGTTACTAAGGACACCCCGACATATGTCAGATATGTCTCCCACTGATTAGTAACATAGCTGGGTATGCAGAAGTTCATAATTCCATTCAAAACCAGGGCCGCGAGGGAGATCCCCGAGCAAATTTGAGAAGTCAGCAACCACAGTCATAGTTCGAAGGGGCTTCTAGACGCATACGTCACAATCCACCAAGCCAAAACCGATAGCCAGCCCACGACGTAGGCACTGTATTTCTTTGATCTTTCAGGGCTCGGGATGTAACAGAAATGGTACTGTCCTCCACTTGAATGTTGCACCATTAGCACTAAGATGTATGAGCAAATGCGTCGGCGTACTGGAAAGGATGAGCCGAGCTCTGCGAGTCCAAGCATCATGGTGAATTGGGCGACAAATGCTACTATGAGACTGAATATACAGGCTTGGGCACCCCCATAGGTCAGGTTCTGGCCAAAACAACTCTGCAACAAAGCACTTATGCTGGTAAACCCAGTTTAAACACTCAGAACCTGTATTGGAGCCCACCAGATAACCTATCCAGGAGTTGGTAATAGGGAACCCTAGCCCTAGGGCAGATATCCTGTTGAACTGACGAGGCATGACCGTATCATGGCCATTTGCACGAAGGACGGCATCATCGTCATAGTCATCACCTATAGCATTCTTGAATACTCCCAGACGAATACTCTGCGTATCAGCAGGCTTCGGCTCAACTTTTTCAAGTTCCAAATTCTCTGGGGACATGATGATACATCGCAGTTGATTGATGATCGCACGGGGCCTGTATCTAGGACCCTTTGTCCACAGAAAACAGCAGTATTTTTATACTCATTCTGTAGTTACCCTGCAAGAAAACCAGTACCTTGTAGATACTAAATGACCCGAACGACAGCATCATAGAGTTGATAGTACTGTATTTCATCCTATAACAGGTCTTGATCAAAATCGGCAAGTATATACCCCATAAATCAGAAATGCCGAACGCTTATCTGCGCCTAGACAATGGGTTTCCAAATTAGGAGCAAGGGCTGGACACTTTTGTCAATCCCAAGGCGTGCCCCCTCATTGAATGCAAAGCCCCGCATTAAAAGCCCGGAAGAGAGAAGATTGCCACGGCGATAAGCAAGGGGTGGTTGGAACCATTACCGGATCGGGTATCAAAGGCCGCAGCTCCCGCTAACCGTTGTCTGTGCTGATGTCACGCTCTGGGCGTGCCGTCGCTATACAATGCCTTGCGTTATAAAAGCGACACGCATCGGTAATCAGGTCAATGCTTTTCAATCCGATCGAACAATCGAAACCTCATTGAGTCTATACTAGCATCACCTGCATCCAACATGACAGTCCTTTCGTCCAAGTATAGCGATCAAGTCCAGAAAGTCTCCAAAGACACTCCATCTGAGGAAGTAATTTATCTGCTCAAGCGAGATGGTGGCGTTTTCGTTAGAGGCCTCATTCCGGAGGATAAAGTCGATCAGGCCATTTCGGAAGTGAAAGATCGCTTGGATAGCGACGTGGAATGGAACGGGAGTTTCTTCCCTGGTGGGTCATCGACATGCAGAAACCGTGATCGAAGCAAGGGGAGCAATACTGACAAAGATTTGCAGCGCAAACTCAGCGGGCTCCATCTCTGATAGCGCGCAGCCCTACATACACCAGGACTCAATTGATGAACCCACTGTATCAACAAATCTGCGAACATTTCCTTACAACAAGGAGCTGGTTCTGGTGGGGGGATGAAAGGAAAGAGTCGGTTTCTAAGCCCTATGTCCATTCTTGCACTGCCATGAGAATTGGCCCCGGGGGAAAAGCTCAGCCATTACATCGCGACGATTATATCAGCCATCGCTACCATACCGAGATTGATCAATGGGATGATTCCCGCGACATGGGTCGCGAGTCGGCGGTTGGAATGTTTGTGGCTGGTTGTAAAGTTACCAAGGAGAATGGTGGCACTCAGTTCATTCCGAAGAGTCATCTATGGTGAGTGCTACTCTTCTGTCCGAGTGCTTGTCCGGGAATGCTGACAGCGGATAGGGGCACCGATCGAAAGACGCCTCCTCGTGTCGACGAATGCATCTTTGCCGAGATGGAGAAAGGTGATACATTCTTCATGCTAGCCTCTGCCTTCCACGGAGGAGGGTCAAACATCACGACGGATGAGTATCGAACACTCTTTTCCACCTTTGTTGTACGTGGATACCTGCGCCAGGAAGAGAATCAATTCCTGGCTGTGCCGAGAGACGTCGCCCGGAGCTATGACCGCGACATCCAAGAATTCATGGGCTACTGTATGAGTGATCCAGCTTGCGGCTATGTTGAGCAGATGGATCCGATCTACCATCTATGCCCGGAGCTCAACACGGACTCTCGACCTAAAGATTTTTAGGCTTCTTTATATTAGGTGTGTCGTTATATTTGGTGATATTTTGCGAATGAAGCAGCCTGTTCAGAGTAGCTCCAGCCTTTAAATCATGATCTCATACGATTGCCAACGGTAGCCTGAAATTCCTTAAGTATCGTTTCTTGGGTCCATATGTAGTTTACGAATGTGGTGTTCCTGCTGCTTGGGATCATTTTGAGAGTTTGAGACGAATTTCGGCTTCACTGGTGGCGCGCTTGCAAACAGATCAATTAGATAAGCTCCAACGGACTTCAACTTGGGTTGAATGCTGGATTGATCATCAGACTCTTAGTCATTATAGCCACCGTCCATATTGAGCCGAGGCATCAGCTATGAAGGTGACGTAGACTCCCCGAACTCTCACAGGCATCTGTTCAATGCGATAAACCATACTCCGCACAGGAAGTGGTCCATCTTCTCTCGAGAGTGGGGAGGTCCATGGTAGACTCTACTTGGTGGGTCTCGTACGGTTTTCGGGGAGTTGAGTTGTTTTCCGAATCGGGAACTGATTTCATCCCCAATCATCATGGTATTTCGTAGGGCCCAAGAAACATCAGCACCAGGTATAAATAGCTTTGATCTTTGACAATCTTTTTGTACTCAAAGTTAGAACACTCAACAAGATTTATTTCATTTTCGAATTCCGATTGCGTTCTTCATAACATACCAGTATGGCGTCGAACAATTCACCCAGTTTGTCGACGAACCTAGTCGGCAAGACAGCGATCGTAACAGGATCCTCCAGGTAAGAAAGTCGCCCCATTGTTCAAGGACATTCAGAGACTAACTGTTGACAGAGGTATCGGTGCTGCCATCGGTCTAGAGCTCGGTCGCAGAGGTGCAACTGTTGTCATCACCTGTTCGAGTGAAGGGTCTCGGCAGGCAGCAGCAAATGTGGTCGATGCAATTGAGCAAACAGGCTCCAAGGGGAAGGGAATCCTTGTTCGGGCTAATATCACATCTGCGACATATCGCCAGGAGCTCGTCGACACGGCAGTGGCAGCGAGTCCAAGCGGGAAGATTGATATTCTGGTACATAATGCAGGAGATGGGGATGATTGCTACCTCTCAGACATCACGGATGAGTTCTTCGACAAGCAGATGGGCGTAAATTTGAAAGGTGAGATTCACGCAGCCCTGGGCATTTCATTCAAATTGCTAACCGTTGGCGACATTCGGTTGTCTAGCTCCTCTATTCTTGACTCAGGCCGCTGTTCCCCATATGTCACGAGGGGGAAGAATTGTTCTGATCACATCTGCGGCCGCTCGCATGGGCGTAGCCCAAACCTCGGTATATGCGGCGACAAAAGCTGGAATGGAGTCTTTCGCGCGGGTCTGGGCCACTGAACTGGGCCAGTCGAAGGGGATCACCGTCAACTGTGTTAGCCCGAGTCCGATAGCTACGGATCAGTTTCATGCCAGCGCCGCGGAGTTCAAGGAGGCATTACAGCCCATGATAGAGAGCACACCGGCCGAAGCACGGATAGTGGAGGTGTATGACATTGCACCATTGGTCAGGTTAGTTGAATCAAAAATGTTGATAACCCGGGCTATCATAATTCTGACGTCACGATAGTTTTCTGTGCTCAGAGGAAAGTCGGTGGGTGACCGGAAGTGTTATCAGTGGGACTGGAGGATTGCTCGTATTCTAGACATTCGTTTTGCGCCGACGGGAACTTCGTAATGCTAGACATGTCCACTCCTAGTTTTGCAATAGACCTAGCGTCCCAATATATGATATGACCACCTATTATCAGCCAATAGGCGCCACCTAGGGCCCCGCAATCCCCTCTCGGTTCTCCATCACTAGCAGCCGATGTCCCGTAAGTAGAAACATCTTCCACGCCGTCTTTGTTGCAATTCCCCGTTCCTCGACATGCGAAATGCGTCCCGTCCCGAATAAACACCATGTCGGGCATGTTTCCTAGGACAAGTAGGTCAATATCAACATGATCCTTCTCCAGAACCGAGTATGATCTAATCTCCTACAAGACCCTGCCTGCGGCACCTGCCGGAAGAAGTGTCGAAAATGTGATCGGGCGCGTCCATCCTGCGAAAGGTGCCGTGTCAAAGGACTGCACTGTGAGGGATACCCTCCCCGGTACCAGTTCATGCAGGACCAACTCTCCCGCGTCCCTGGACCAAATAACGAGTCAAGTCCCTCTAATGAGGCCAGCCCTAGTAAAGAAACCACATGATTGATTTTCCTCGCTGAGGGCCCGCTTTCATTAACCGTGTTTTCTTGCAGATAAGAGGTCTCTAGATCCCATCGCAAGAGTACCCCATAGGAGGTCAAAACGGTCAGTCCGGAAACCAGTTGCGACTGAACAGCAAGCAGAATCTGCGTCGAGCAAGTCGAGAAACCCCGGAATATCGGCAGAAACAACAATTGGTGATCTACTTGAAGATAGCGAAAATCAGGATCTTCTCCTATATTGTATGAGTCGCTTCACATCCAAGTCCCCGTTCTTATGGTGATGCTAATGAGAGACAGTTGATAAGACCGTGTGTAATGCCCTGGTGATCGACGCAGAGAATGTGGAAAATCTTTTTCGGAGTTTCATTCTCCCTTTAGCATATCGGAGCCTTGGGATTCTTCATGCGGTGCTTGCTCTGAGTTCCTGCCATGCTGTGAAGTCTGGGAGTCATAAGCATGCAGGACTGAGTGTCACAACAATGATAGAGCATCAATTGTCTGCTTTACAGTCGCTGAGTTCGCTGTTGTTGAAAGAAGAGTTGTCGTGTCTGGCGGGTGAGGAAGAAGACATTATTCTTGCCACCGTTCTTTTACTTGTTCTTCATGACGTGAGTCCTTCATCTTGCCACCATAGCAGACGTAAACAAATTAATATCTCGCAATATGCTAATATTGCTGCAGGTCTGCGAGTCAGGGATTTCATCGCACGGCGTACATCTCACTGGGGCGGGTTTTGTTTGTGGAAAGCTATGTCATCGGCCAGAGGCTTTGGCATCGCCGCGAATCACATTCCTTCTTTCGGCGTTGGTTTGGTAAGATATACCTACCAGTCTATTCTCAGTTTTATTCTGATTGTTTGTCACAGGCTTGATGTTCTCCGAGGCTTCAGTGGCGCTGAGAAAATGACGTACAGTGATAGTGTCCGCCAATTTATTTTGGAAACGGAATATTTTAGTTTCGAAACACTAGTGGGATGCCCAGTCGAACTCCTCTATAACATCGGCGGCGTCCTAGCAGCGGCAAAGGAGTTCATGAATGGATCCATCGGGCTGGATCTATTTCAAGCCACTCTTGACGAAGCCGAAACATTCTTCGGCCAGTGAAATCCGGAAGAAGCATCATACCCGACTCGATCCAGTCACTGGAAGGTGCTTGCCGAGGCATATCGCCATGTCTGCATAATCCGAGTGTTACGTTTTCCAGACACACAAGCAATTCCATGCGATGACCCACGAATTCAGGTCTCTGTTACTTCGATCCTGGACGCCTCGGCCTCCATACCAACTGAGTCGCCGTGGTTTAAGCGCCTTCTGTTCCCTTTGTTTATTGCCGGTTCGGAGACCTCGATCCCTCATCAGAAGAGATATGTCGATCTATGCATTGCTGAGATCAAGAAGTCCACTGGCTTTCAACATATTGCAATGATGCAGCTTCTAAACCAAGTATGGTGTGAAAAGGATAAACAGATAGACGGATCTATCAACGTACCGTGGATGGAATATGTAAGTGGCTTCCCATTTCTCTTTACCACCTTCTAACTATTTGCTCAAGACATGCTCTACTGACCTAGTTCGACAACACGATTACCTCTTCTTTTGAGAGTCGCCTTCTGCTCTGCATTGAAGTAGCGTGGCGCACAAACGGCTTTAGTGAGCAGTAGGATCCCAGTTGGGCTGTCAGTTCATAGTAGGAAGAAATTATATTCGCAGAGGAAATGGAGATCATATTTTATCGCTTTGTCCACCTAACATTCACCGAATCAGCGCGTGGAATGTGTAATGTGAGCAGTACTCTGCTTTCTTCTACCAGGGAATAGGCCTGTTTTTGGGCCTCTTTTATATCCTGGCCAGGTCGAGGAACGATTTCAACACGGTGTCTTCGGAGCAAATGGAGAAGAACCGATAAGACTTCGACCTGTGAGAACTTTTGTCCCGGGCATACTCGTGAGCCCATGGACCACGCAAACAGTGAATTTGTTTTCGAAGAGCAGATCGTCTCCTGATCCGATGCAATTTTTGTCTGATCAATCCATCTGTTGGGTCTCCAAGCGTGGCAGTCAGAACCCCAGAATTCAGGGTCTGTATGCAAACCAATGGCACTAATGTTGACTCGAGTATTTCTTGGGACAACAATTCGTCTTCCAGACAGGTGAATCAATTGATTGTGGCTGTTCGTGTCTCTGAAAATGGTGGGCACAGCGCCGTAGAGCCTCAGGGTTTCGTACTAATTTCAACCTTAGCATTGGACTACCTCCGTGGATATGTTAGCAATGAAGACAATCTTACCAACAAAGCCCGCAGTCTAACTATGCGGGTATAAGACTGACTATAGTCCACTTGGCCTTCTTCGGTGAACAAGCGATCAACCTCCTCGGTTACCCAGGTCTGGTAAGAAGGGAAAATAGCCAGAAGGTAGATGATGTAAACCAAGGCATTAGCAGTAGTTTCGTGTCCAGCGAACATTACCATAAACAGGTTTCCCGTAATCTCTCTGTTGGCCAAGCCATTCTCTTCTGCGGCGTGGAGCAAGAAGGACAGCAAATCGGCCTGAGAATTCGAGCTGGAAAACGATAATCTGGTTTCCACTATCTGCTTCAGGCAACTGCCAAGCGCCTTTGCGTTAGCTTTCATTTTCTGACTTGCTCGGTATCCCAAAGGCTTAGGGCGTGTAATATCATTCAGAAAGTTGGTCAGGTAACGCTGGCATGAGTCAGTGTTATCTGAATTGCCTTCAGTGTCTTCATTGACATCGATGCACGCTTTGAAAAGAACGTTCAAGCTGAGCCTTGTCATATCGGTCTGCGTAGTATGCACGGACTGAGCGTTGGTCCAGCTACTCAAGACTTCTATGGCTTGCTTGGCGGACACGGCCCACACAGCGTCGTTGACCTTCTCGTGTAATGCTTTCGCAACCAATCTGCGATGGCGCTTCCACTCTGTGCCTTCGACCTAAAAGCTGTCGTCAATTTCAAAGCTTCTTAAATAGGATGAACAATGTCTGGTTGCTGTCTTACCGATGATACGTTTTTCCCGAAAACATCCAATTTACCTTTGATTAATTTAGCTCGGGCGTTTTCTGATGTTATGGAATCAACATACCCAACAACTTGATCGGTTTTGGAAAGTCATTGCGACGGGAAAGAACATCCCTCGCAGCATCCCTGTCTGCGACGAAAAGCTCGCATCCGGTTGGTGTCACGAGAATGAAGCATGTGCCATATTCTTGATAAATCGAAAACTTTTCGCGGAATGCCCAGTTAGGCTGCAATAGTCTGATAAAGCCCAGATTTGCCAAGAGGTCTGGCAGCAGACCATGTCTCGATAAATATTGTAAACACCGCCATAGGAAGCCTCCAGACGAGGTAGGGCTTATTATTAAAGGTAACTCTAGTTGCCTAGCCAGGCTCCAATTGTGATACCATGGTCGTCCAATGTGCAGGCACAATAAAATGGCGACCACGATAAAAATGGAAACCAGAGGCATGGTTGCAGAATCGCACGGCGTGGCAACAGGGGAAGACAACAGGATCTCAGCACGATCCAGAAGGGTGGTGAAACACAGGCGCTCTGTCAAGGGCAGTCATCGAGGATATATATTTAAACGAGGAAGCGTGTTCCGAAAGATACGGAAGTAGGTGTTCGCGTCACGAGGAAGGAGGCAAAGACCGCGTCCACGATTGGCGCCACAGGGAATCTAACCCCTGGCTGGATTTTGTCCTTGTGGAGTAGAATCATGAGGTCCGAGTTGATGGGTTGAGCTGTAGGAGGCCATCTTCCAGGGCCGAGGGAACCGGGCGAGTGGGTCTGCTCGTCGTACTCGTACTGTTTCCCGCATGAAGGCTTCGATCTGGTTGCACGGGTGGGTCAAGGATCTTGAAAGTGCAATGCTGATAGGGTGTGGCGGTCTTCGGTGGAGCGAGGCGTCGCTAGTGGTCTCGGCTATTGTCAGTTTGGAAGTGATGAAGGCCGAAAAGGCGCACTAGCCGACAGGGCGGTCTGACAGGCGGAGTGGAAGATCGGGCAGTTTAATCCCCTCGGTCGTCTTCTTCGCCGCCCTTTTCTACCTAGGTACTGATGCTGCGCCTCTCTCTTGCTGTTAATGATCAGATACGGCCACAAATCGCGTCCCACGCTGATCATGCTTTCTTGTTGATCCCTGAGGGATTATTGGTCAATTGCCCGTTATGGCTTTGCGCCGACCCCACCAGAAATCCCGGCATGGCTGTAAGACCTGCAAACGTCGAAGAGTCAAGGTTAGTGTTTCTGCTTTCTCCGGTTCCCAAGAGCGGGGAGAATGGAATAGCTCCCTATTTTTTTTAGTGATTAAGGGCGATTTATTTGTCAATACTGTACTGACAAAGATGCCAGTGTGATGAGGCTCGACCATTATGTTCCAATTGCGAAAACCGAAAGGAGACCTGCGACTATGACACCGATTCATCTCTCATCTGGGCCACCGAGCGGAAGCTGCGCCGAAGAGGTCAAAGACAGACGGAATCCCTAGAGCCCGGTCTGCCAGACCGGTACGATACAACCACTGCTCCGTTTGATATACTGAACCGATTTGGTGTTGATAATGACCCCACCGTTGCCTCCACTGCGTTGAACATGAACCAACTCGAGCTCATCGTCCAATGGAACAAAGACACTCACCGGTTCTTTACCCGCAACGAAGAAACAAAACATATATGGAGAGACCTGATAGTCGAGGAAGCCTTTCATACCCCATTCCTGATGCATGGTGTCCTGGCGGTGTCCGCGCTGCAGTTCTCCCTATCTAGACCTGAGCAACAGAAGGCCTTCTGGCTTGGCATAGCCGCGGCGCATAAGGGCCAAGCACTTCAACCCTTCCTCGCCAGCTTTTCTGATATCAATGCATCTAACGCTAAGGCGATGTTAGGCTTTGCTAGCTTGGTAGTTGCCTTTGCGTTTGGATCTGCACTCACGGGACGTTCCGATCCCGAGAAACCCAGTCTAAGCGCACTCAACGATGTCTTTGTTCTATGCCGGGGTGTCCAGGAAATTACAAGCACTGCTTCGGCTTTCTTGCGAGAAAGTACCTTTGCTCCCCTCTTCGATATCTCTCGCCCTGTCGTCAACATTCCCCATGCCACAACCGAGGCGCTCAACCATCTTGCAAACATGAACTCAGCGTCGTGGCTCGGCGAACATCATGACACCGCGACATATGCACGCGTGATCCAGGCGCTGAAAGATCTCTTGCCGTACGCATATCTTGAACCCACCTCTATGACTTTAGCGGTAGGATGGGCTATCAGATCCTTACCTGCATATCTCGAAAATGTGCAGAAATGGGAACCCTTTGCTCTGGTAGTTCATGCTCACTACTGCGCCTTCCTTCACATGGCACGTGAAAACTGCTTTATTCAATCTTGGGGCAGTGCTGTTCTCCGGGATATTTGGCATATATTAGACTCGAACTGGAAAGAGCATATAAGCTGGCCTGTCAACCAAGTATTTGGCCCAGGGGATGTACTATGAACAAGTCTAAAGAACATTTCCAACTCTCATCCACCGATCACCTGGATAAACCAACCCATCTTTGATTACATTTGTTCAGTGCATTCGTCCTAGACATCAATGCGCATTCTGATGCCATTGATGATTCGCAGTGCACTGATGCACGTTCTACCACTTCCACGATCATGGGATGCAATCATTCATTCTACATGTTCATTATAGCTGGCTGTGGAGCGGATTGGTTGGGTATTTGAGCATTGAAAGGCTCTCAATATTGATTCGACAGATCATTATCCAAGAGCACCATTATCTTGCCGGCGTACACATCTCCACCTCGAGCACTCCCAAATTATCATCTACGCCGAGGGAAGTTGTGGCGATGTCTCCAACTGTGGCATTGTCACATAGCCCAGCGACTCCGGTGTTCCCCCTTCCATGCAATATTGTCACCTACACCCACTTCGATGGGGTACTCTTTGTTCCGAAAGTTATTGAGCTTCAGTATCATCCGAGAAACACTGCCAGGGCTTCCCATGAATATTTCATCCGGGCACATTCTCTATTTGCGTCCGAGGACCACTGAGCTCTCTTATTATCATCGCACGAGGCTTTGGTATTGTTCTTGTCGGATCCAGCAGTGGCATTGGATACTTCAACGAATTCGCGCGATGTTGTATTAAACCCTCCTGGGGGAATGGGGCCCCGAAAGAGGTTCTAAGAGAGACCAGCTCCTGGAATTGGGCACTCAACGTATCCTTGCATTTGAACGGTTTGGATTTCAATGTAAAGCAGGCCGATTTGAGGTAACCGGACTTTGCACTTAGTGTGACTCTTCCAGCGGTTGTTGACGAGTCGTCTTCGTTCTATGCATACAGTGTGGTCACTTTCTTCCAGTCATCATCATCAAAACCGGCGGTTTCTGCTGCGTCCGTGTCGTCAACATGGACTTTCCAATCGGAGATGAAGTTGAATTTGACCGGTCCGCTCTTCAAGGGAGCGGCGTTGGTGAAGGCTAAGGGAGTCAAGAATATCATGAGAGGAGGGATGTCTCATTTTCAATTTCTTGCTCGAGGCTTGTTGAAAGGACACCGAGGATACTCATACTATTCAGTGATGCAGGTTTATATCTCTTCCAGGTGTTCATTGCATGCATTCAATGTCTCTGTATGATGTCACATGTGTTGCAACAACGGCTATTGAACGATGAATGGCCGTCAATGCCACTTAATCATTGCTGTCAATACCTGGAGTACACCTAAGAACTTTGAAAGGTGGTTGAACTAGTCCACCATTCAATATGTCTCTCCATCCCCTGTCAAGTTTGAAGTGAACGTTCACTATATCCATAAAGGTGAGTGATTTCTTGCATGCAGACCAGTGTCAGGGCTTCCCCACGTTACAGCTCGAAGACCGGCGATCATTGTAAAACATGAGAGTCAATTTCTGCCGATTTGCCTTGGACCGATTGGATCTTTCCTGGATAGACTAAGTAGGCTTCTTGAGCCAACCTTCACCGCGACCTTTCACGAACCATTTAGCAATTCATTTTCGGTTCCAGTCCTTATTGACTTTCTCTTACCTGCCTCACGGTTCGGACTGATAAAGCTGGATCTTTGTGCAGCTGGGCTACGTCAGGAGCAATGGGAGTGATCATCTGTCGACTTGGTTTGCATTGATAGTCTGCTCGTCCGGCTTCGTGCCCAGCAAACGGTGGCCGCATGGGTCTTCTGGGTGGAAAATGATAGTTTTTGCGATCGATGAGGTCGATTTGTAGACCTGATTAACTGATTGAGGACGGTTAGTAAATTGATCTTTTAAGTCGTGGGGTGCGTCCGATATCCATTATAGTTCTTGAGCCTTATTTGTCTTTCAAACTTCGCATGTAATGTCAGTCGTTTAGCGTTCTTTTCTTAGAAAATGTCAATGACGCCCTTCAAATTGTAACAGGCGGCCTGGTCGGTTGTTCTCTTTGCGTCGTGAAGTATTATGAAGCAGACGAAAGCTCCATGGAACCAGCGAAAACCACACCTTGGATCGGATGCGGCTGTGATAGAACACGAGAGCTGTCAGTTCTAGAAGTAAGATCGGTCGCCTCGGGCGGCAAGCCGCCATTATATTCGGATCCTGTCCTTCGTATAGTCGTACAGATGTCCTAAAACGGATAGAGGTACGAAAGCGAGCGGATCACGATAGCAACGATTTTTGGGCCATTACCTAGAACCCCGTGAATAGCGAATCGTGGAAGCCGGTTCGCGATATTCGCTTGTTTATTCGAAACTAGGCTGTGTGTCACCTTGCGGCAGGGGACATCTTGCTCTGTTTGTATGGCTAAACGAGTACGGCCAAGAATGGCGATTGTTCAGGCAGACAAGATAAGTCGGGGTAGGGAATACTATTTAACTCCATCTGCAATGTCTTTGAACAATGAACTTTGCGATAATAATTCTCAAATATTGGCCATACATTTCATGTCATCTATCGTTTCCTGGCCTACTTACTTGTTTTTCGCGCATTCATCTCAAAGACCCAGCACCATGATTGATCTCTCCATCTACAACAGCCCTCAACTCAAGTTCCGGCTTCATATAGTCATTGGTGTCCTGCTTCTATTGAATTTCATTCTCATCATTGCACGGTTAGCCAATAAGGGAACGCCGCCGACTCGATCTAATACATGGGGAGTAGCAGTAGTGAGTTCATTCCAATCAAGCTGCACTCAAGTAGACAATGCGAAAAATAGATCAGAATGTGCTAACTCCACTATAACAGTGTGTCAAATCGGCTGTCTTCATGGCATACCAGATCCTGACAGCCCACGCCAATCGATTAAAACGATGGGCCAGCCCTAAAGCGTATATGATTCTCAACATCATCGACACCATCTTTTGGTTCGCCCTCTTTATTATCACTTGTATGAGCACCGCCGGCTCCTGTAGTGGGAGCAGTTGTCCGCTGGGCGGAATTATAGCGACTCTGACTATAATTTTATGGTAAGGACCCCGAATTGCCTAACTCACCTTCAGTTGTTGAATTTGACTAAGGGAATGAATATGCTAACTTTTTTCCGTCGCAGTGGTCTCGCCGGTTTGTTGTCCTTCGTGTGTATTCGCGATTGGCGCTATTTCAAGGCAAATGGGACTCTTCCTGGGACGGTGAAACCTTCCGTTCATGGTGGCGTGTAGTTGGAGTCGATGGAAACAAAATATAGAATCCCGAAGGACTACTGCGGATCTTGAAAATATTTCCTGTTCGGCTGTTAGAATTAAATGCTTTGCAGAGAACATCAAAACCAGGACAACTGCTCTGCTTTCGCTTTCTCTTTTGTATGTTAGAAGGGAGGGTAGACATCATCAACATGGCCAATTTCATCAGGAGTCTTTCGCAGTTCGTTGTAGATTGTCACAGGGTACAAATTCTTGGCACTTTCACCAGGCGAATATTGCATAAAACTGTGCGTTGCTTACATGATATTTCATATGACTTTTATGCGTTTTTCTGTAATAAGCAGGCTTATTCAGAGCAAGTAGACATAGTTAGTTAGTAGGTCAATACATATTGAACAGTCGATCTTGTAAAAGATTATCTGGAATCTTCACTGAATACTCATCGTAAGCCAGAAAAAAGAGAAATCCAAAGCCCCGAGTCCATCCAGGCGCAGTGGCTCCCTAGAAAGGGAGCATGCAAACAAAGTTGCTAAAAGCTAAAGCCGCATCACTATCAGCAATGCTTCCAGAGAGGGAGGTGAAAACAGAACCCAAATTCTTTCCCACAGACCACACCTCTCATCGTCGCTAGTAATTATCATTCGGGCTGTATTGCAATCAAACACAGATAGATCCTTTCCTCCGGAAGTCAAACTTCATAAAGATTTCATTTGTTGGGTTTAATAAGCCAATTAATTGGACCTCATTATGGCTTGGTATCAGCCACTTTTCTGAAAGGTTCAGAACAAGAAAGGGGGAGCTGGCAGAAGGATACGTGTTTTGACCTCAGGAAACGGCCGCCACCGTGCTTGGTCTTGAATTATAAACTTTTTTTTGTTCGGTAGAAAGGAATACATAGCAAGTCTTTGTAAGAAGTATCTTCTCACTGATTATTATGGTTAGCGTCGTGTAACGGGCACGAGTTTTCGCAAAGTGATATGTCACATGGGCGTGCATACATTGGGCCTGAGGCGCTTATATTAAAAAGGGGTGAGATAGAAAACAAGTGCTCCGTAAATGGAGGCGAACTGTCCAGGTCCATTCTATTCTCGGTAGTATGGTCAAGGTGCGAACAGAGCATATCCTTGCCAATGGCGCTCAATAAAACACTGGAGAAGTTTCGCGGACACATGGAATATCGAGCAGCTTTGAAAACATCATGGCCTCCGGACCTCCTCCATGGAACCTCGTATTCTAGGATAAGCGACAAATGGGTGGCGACAATTGGCGGTAGGTGTTCTTGGTATCGATCTCATCCTGAGCGTGGTTGGAAAAGGACGAGTGGGCAGTTGGGAGCCTGTCGGCATCAGATGCCCTAAATCGAGTATTGATTGGACCGGTTTAGGCTAAGACACTCGAACGTGGCTCAAAGACATCAGCTTCCAAGATTGCCAAGGGTCTCAGCCTCCGGCCAAGAGCGGACTGAGATTCGGGTCGGTAAATTGCGTTATTTGCGGGAGAGGGTTTGCATGTATTGGGTTCACGTAGGACAGGTTCTCTAATTATGTCTAGTTCATCTGTTAGTAGGAATAGGACGATGCAATGTCCCGGGGTCAAAGAAATAAACCCAGACAGGGGGGTTGCGCTATGTGTCCCAAAGAAAACAGAAGCAAATCGCGATGAGAAGTGCGCCAAGTCCACAAGTCCGGGGTCCCCGCATAAAACAGGGGAAGAAGTGGAAATGACAGTTCCAAGTCGGACCTGGCCTACCCCGCCTAGACTTGGCCGTAAACGCCAGCAAGCAGGGTTTAAGATGGCAACATGCGCGTCCAATAGCCTCCACCTCCTACAGCCCAGCTCCATTAGCCCTAACTGCCCGATAGGACCTGCAACTCGCCAAGGCCAAAGATAAGCAGGAAAGCAGGGTCAGACTGCCTGGAGGACTCGCGTGCTGGACTTGGCAGCACCTATGGTGGAAGGGATATCCCTTCCTTTGAGCCTAAATTTCCAGCGGATAGTCCGAGCTAGTCCTCTCGTGTGCAATTGGCCAGACATTCAATTGAGCTATCTGTTTCCCAGGTAGGAGTGAATGATGACCCCGGATTTCTCCACTTTGGTGGGCGGCTGAGTCGGACTGTATAAATTGGAAGCCTTGGTCTAGGGATTATGGGGGATCCATTGCCTTAGGAATCTTATGCTTACGCTGACGCTTACATCATGGATGATAAAAAGATTGTTCTTGAGAGTGCAAGCAGTAAGGACTCAGAGGTCGGAGCCGTCCAGGCGGTTGGATATGACCAGAAGGCTACAAAGCAACTGATCAGGAAGATCGACTGGGTCTTGATTCCATGGCTTGCCTTTCTTTATCTGTGAGACTCTTGCCGCCAAAGAATATGCCACTTGACTGACCATCACAGGCTGAGCTTCCTCGATCGAACGAACATTGGAAATGCGCGTCTTGCTGGGCTGGAAGAGGACTTGGGGATGTCCGGACTGAACTACAATGTATGTCTGAAATTCCATATGACATTCCAATGCTGATGGCCCAGGTTGCACTCGCGATCTTCTTTCCTTTCTACGTCGCCGCTGAGATACCCTCCAACCTGATGATGAAAAAGTCACGACCGGCCATGTGGATACCCATCATCATGTTGGCATGGGGTATAGTCTGCTCGCTGATGGGCTTGGTGAACAACTACGGCGGTCTGCTTGCCGCTAGAGCAGCTCTTGGTATTGCTGAAGGTGGACTATTCCCAGGAGTTACATTCTAGTCAGTTTGTTCCTAACATTCAAGGCCTCCACTGACCTTCCTAGCATCACAATGTGGTATAAACGACACGAATGCGGCCTGCGCATGGCCATCTTCTTCTCCGCCGCCACAGCAGCTGGTGCCTTTGGTGGACTCCTTGCGCGAGGCATCGTCGAAATGGACGGCCTCGGAGGCAAGGCCGGCTGGGCTTGGATCTTCATGATCGAAGGACTGGTCACTTTTGCTGTTGGTATGTTGGCTTTATATAGACTTGAACTGGAACTGACCTAAATGCAGCAATCGCCGCGTTCTTCATCATGAACGACTACCCCGACACAGCCAAATTCCTCACCGAAGAAGAGAGAAGCGAAGTTCAGCGCCGTCTCAGTGAAGACCGCAGCTCGCTCGCCGACGAATTCAACCTAAAATACTTCTGGGACGCCGTCCGCGATTGGAAAATCTGGGTCCACATGTTCATCACCATCGGCATCTACACGCCTCTCTATTCATTCTCGCTCTTCCTACCCACTATCGTCAAGACCCTTGGGTACTCCAATACCACGGCCCAGTTGATGACCGTGCCTCCGTATGCCGTGGCCTGCGTCTTCTGTATTGGAGGCGGGTTCCTGGCTGATCGGCAGGGCCAGCGTGGAATATACATGATATTCTTCAACATAGTCGCGTACGTCTCTCACCCTATAGCACTCGTTTCCAAGCCCTAAACTAACTCCCACGAACCAGAATCATTGGCTTCATAATGCTGATCGCCTCTAACAACACTGGTGTGAAATACGCTGGTACCTTCTTCGCGGCTACCGGCATCTACCCCAACGTACCGCAGGGTGTAGCATGGAACGGCAACAATATCGGAGGCTCAGTGAAGCGCGGCGTAGGAATCGCGATGCACGTTGGATTCGGGAACCTGGGTGGCGTCGTCTCCAGCTTCATCTACCAGAGTAAGGACTCGCCGCATTTTTACCCGGGCCACGGAACTCTTATTGCCACGCTGTCAATGAGCACCGTCTTGTGTCTTTTTATGACGATTTATTTGCGCCGCGAGAATGCCAGGCGTGATCGGGAGAACCCCAAGGCTCCGGGGGAGTATACTGAGGAAGAGAGAATGGCAGAGAGGGAGAGGGGCGATTATGCTTCGTTTTTCCGGTATACCATTTAGGTGAACAAGATGACTTGGTGGGCAAGATGAGAGTGCTAGGCCTATTTGAGATAATTTCAATTGCAGTATGCAACCTGATCGGATGATGTGAATCCAATGGATATACTTCCCAAAATGGATAGTGGCACGTGCCCTTGGTGACTGGCATGACTAAGCAGCCTGTTATTTCCGCTCATTCCCGACGCTCCCTCGCACTTTCCCCGACATTCCCGACCGAAGATCCAATGGACAATAATGCGCTTGTCAATTTCGTGTGATGCCTGTCGGTAGGGAGATTCCATTCATTGTAAACGATCACCGCTGATCATTGTGCTAGACAAGCCAAGGTCAAGTGCGTCCATGAGGGCCACCCGCCTTGTCGACGTTGCGACCGTCTAGGTCAATCGTCCTGCGTCCTGACCGATCCACGATCTTCTCCACTCAAGCCAAAGAAAGATTCATTTCGGGTTCAACGAAGAGAGAGCCATTCATCGCGATCGACGGAAGTCCTTCCAGAGAGAATTGCAGAGCCCTCTGCGGAGCAGACCTGCCGATGTGCTCCTGCCAACCCCATCGCCTCCCTTCCGGCAGCCACTGTCGTGAGCGCCTGTGACACCTACCGGAAGAAATTCCCCGTCGCCAATTTCCTCCATTATCCTACGCTCATTGCCGATGTGTCAAATAATGTGGCAGCCGTGGACCCGGTCTTTGTGGCCTCCATGCTGTGTCTGTGCGCGCGTTTCATGAAAGGCCATCCTCTTGAGCCGGAAAGTGTTTACGCTGATTATGCGCGCACTCAGTTGGCAAGTCGAGTCTTCGAGGCACCGTCACTATACCTGGCTCAGTCTCTGGTCATGGTCACATTCTATGAGTGGGGTTCAGGTCGTCCTTACAAAGCATGGATGTACAGTGGTAGGCTGATGCTGTTAAACCATTCCGATCGACGGCGATTGACTTTCTCCAGGCATGGCGACGTATATGATCCAATCCCTTTTGAAGACCGCGGACGACAGCATGGAACATAACCCGGAAGAATTCCACGCGTCACAAATCCAATATGAGCAGTTGGTTCGGACGTACTGGTGCTGTTTTGCTCAGGACTGCGAGCTAAGCTCAGGTGCTCGTCAGCACTTTGCTCTGTCATTTCGCCAAATCTCCGTTCCCCTCCCCATCAGCGACCAGGATTTTAATTTCGGCCGCCGTACCACGTCTCGACTAATGCCAGCAAATATGAATCGACATTCGCTGCTCTCTTCGGACTTGACGATCGATCGAGGTTTGACGATAGTGACTCGTGGGTTTGATATTTTCGTCCGTATTTTGCGGTTTGCAAACGAAAGCCGCCGAGGTCGCACATCATCACCTAGTGTCTTGTCGTCACCACAATTGACATGGCGGACCCTAAAAGAAGAGCTTGACGAATGGAGGTCCTTGCAAGATATCACAGTTCGATACCCTGCAACCAGCGCTCAGGCCCATGTTGCTTTAGGGTACGGTGAGCTTTTCGCCTATATCAACCTGATTTACTTTATGAGGTAGATTTTATCCGATCACATTGCCAACAGGTGCTAAAACATGATTGCAGTATTCTTTTCCTCCATCGTGACTCCGTTCTCTCTGGTTCGAAGCCCTTCGCCGATCGAGGGATAAACGCTACTGGAGACTTCACCGGGTGCGAAGAGGCCATCGACCAGCTTTTCGAGGCCGCTCAAAATATCAATGGCGTCCTAACCGCGCTTGAAGCATCTGAGACGCCAGTGATCACTCCCTACGCTGGTTTCAGTGTCTTTGTGGCAGCCCACATCAATATGTACGGCACCGTTTCTCCGCTTCGGTATCCCGGTGGGCGTGAGAGGGCGGAACAAGAAAGAAAAGCGAATTTTTCGTATCTGGAACGTCTTTGCGAGTACTGGCCCGTTGGTCAAAGCTGGGTAAGTTTGGAAGTCTCAATATCCCGATCTTAATTGCTAATGCGTTCATAGTGGCGAACGGTGCGGGAAGCGGATAAGTTTTATCGAACGGCTAAGAGTAATCACTTCTCCGGCGAGCGTCCCAGTCATCTCACACTCGCTGGAACTCTAGATGAATATGGGGACATCCGTTCGTCTCGTCCTCGGCATGATTTATCCATATCAATGCGAAGGCGAGAGACAGCGTCTTCCGATGCGATTGATTCGGGACAGGAGGACCCGAGAATCATCCGCAATAGTCAACCGAATATTGCACCAGGTCATCACGGAATACTTGATTCTTATGATCTGGAAGCGGAAATGCTGCAATGGCCCTTCATTGACGAAACATGGTTCCATGGGTTCGATACGGGATTCGATGCGGCATGGCCCAATTTAGGTTGAACATATAAGAAACTGCTCGGAGCTGTGACTGCAATTCTATCAGCGTCACGCTTACTGTCTTCTCAGTTATCTCAATCGAACAACAACCTCGAAGCAGGTAGTCAGTGACCGAGGCCTATAGATACTATATCTGTTTCGGCACCGGTCTCTTATGCTTCACGGTTAAACTTTATATGTTGGAACATACGATGGCAGGCAAGTTACCTTTAAACAGGCTAGCTTTCTAGAGCACAATTTCCAGAAACTCTTGTCTGTGTTTTTTATCCTGCGTCTATTTGAGATTTTTGTCCTTATCTTATTGGGATATATCTGTTTTACCCTGTTATATCCCCTCTCTACGGGAGATACTCTAAATCTCGCTGCTGATCTGAAGGAAGGAGTTAAGGAAAGGGAAATCCAGGAGTTAATGTTTGTCGTCCGATTCAAGGATAATACCAAAGTACTGACTAACTGCAGAAGATATTGTCTGTTAACACGACATACATCGCAGAAACGGTACTTTTGCATGCTGAAACTTGGGGTCACAATCTTGATGGCTTGATGCTAGTTCATCGAGGTTTCCTGTCAAGTTTTAGCCCTGTCAGGACCCGGGCTCTATTCGTCATCAGTATACGCCACGAGGCGTGACTACTTGATGACCCTTGAGACTCTCGCCTGTGTGAGATGGTGCAAATAGTGGCGTACTCTCTAATATCTGCAAGACTGTCTCTGCGTCCGAGCAATGTACGACTCGACTCAGTGCGCCGTGCATCATAATACCTACCTCCCGTGTCGCCTACAGATGGTATTTCAGATTCGACTGAGTAGGGAGCTCGAAGAGTTCCGAGATGGTTCCAGCCATCATTCCAGTTTGCAGGTCGGCCAGGACCCGCTTCAGACTGGGTATGCAGGAGCAAACGATAGAAACGCTCTGTAAGAACTGTAGCCAGATAGATGGCATGATCGCATTCCATGACAGGTCCCGCGGAATTGACTGGAAGTATGGCTTGAGCGACAGCAGACCAGCGATCGTAATAGCAGGTACGCTACAATTTTAATCGTCAGTTTTCAATCTGAACCCCAGGGGATAAGATGATGATATCCCACAATAAACCGAGTGCAAAGAGCGCTGAGATTTGCCGCCGCTTCCACCCGGTCATCTGCACACTCCATACTAAAGCAATCGGTAGTGCAACGATCGCAAGGTCTAAAAGGATATGGCAGACACGAGGTGCCAGATAAAGGGCTTCCTGGTTCAAGCATTGACCCGTGTCAAACTCAATATATTTGCGCTCCCGCATTGTGTAGCCAATATAACAACCCCAACCACGACCCAGATGCTCGTCAATCCCAAAACAATCCTACAGCCAATGAGCACGGTAGCGAAAGGCTTGATGGATACAACGAGGAGTGTGACGGCAGCTTTCGAACAAGCGAGCACAATGATCGAGAGTATTTGACTAGCATAGATATACTTGAAAAGGTCAGTGTTCGTTTTAGCGTCATTGGAACTAGCTAGCTGACCTTGCTATATGTTCTGGAAGATTCCTCGTCCATAGTATCTTTGTGACGCCCAAGACCGTTTCTGCTGGCAATGTTGAGACACGGTCTGGGAGACAAAAACAAGCTACTCATCGATTTCTCAGTAAGCACACATAAAAAAGGTAAAAGGGAGATGCTTACTGTGCCTGTTGGTAGAAAAATGTCGGTCCAGGATAACTTGCGGAGAATGCGAAATCGGGAAATCAAGGCGATTATTGTCACCCAGAAAGCCAGAATCAGCAAGAGTGTGGCGACGACAATGGCCCAAGCGCCATGGTCATTATCAGTAACTGGAAGAAGGGGAGGCAGCATTGTCATCCTACTAGGTAGCTCTCCCATCGCCATGCCGGGGAGATTCGTGGCATCGAAGGGGTATGACCAGTCATTACAGGAAAGGCTCGCGTTATATCGAGGCAACACTAAGTCGACAAAGGTACGAACGAAGCCATGGTTTATCTTCCATTCCGTCTTGGCTTCTTCCTGATCCCAGCGGTGCTGAAACGCAACTAAGTGCTAGATTTGTGTGCGGTGTCCTCGTTAGCGCATGCAGGGTGCAAGGGTACACCGTACTCCGTAGGCAAAGGGCTGGAAAATCGTATTTTCCATCTGATCTCTGTCTGTAACTTGATTTATTGGACGTTCCCCTCCTGGCTCGGAATATTTTAACGTGCTTGTCGGTTTTCTTTCTCCACTCCAGCCAGCCATGTTCATTCTTCCTTCGTCAACACGTTGCTTGGGGTCATATCACAAGTATTGGCTGGCATTGGTTGTCGCATTTTATCGGCGTTCATTCCGTCGAAAAGAGATTTCGAAATGGAACAGCACGAATTGACGTCACATGTTGGCAAACATACTCAGTCTTCTATCGATGAAACACCACCAGGAGGTGGGGAGAATCAAACTCCTACGACCGACGCAAGCCATGTCAAATAGAAAGAAATTGTTGACCAGACACAAATAAAAGTTGGTCTTGAGTGTATTGAAGTTTGAACAGCAAGAGACTAACCAAACCCATTTCAGCGACTGTTCAATTTCACTCAAATCTTTTTCTTTTCCCTGACGTTCATGTCAAGCTGGGAGAACCAGGCTTTGTGAGTGGGGATAAAACATTCTTTCTATCTCATCGGGCTAATCAGCGACCAGGAACCTGAATGCCGTGCTCACGAATGGTGGCCCTGAGGCTCTAGCCTGGGGTGTGGTGGTTGTGATCTTCGGCGCCATGGCTTAGTCTGCTTCCTTAGCAGAAATGGCCTCGATGCAGCCCATTGCGGGAGCGCAGTATCACTGGACACATCATCTCGCGCCTCCAAATCAGAGAAGATTCATCACTTGGATGCAGGGTAGGATCGTTTACAGCTATCAAAGCGTCGACAACAGACAAAGGACCTAGGGTGGATCACATAGTTTGCGTGGGTATCGTTACTGGCTGGTGTCGCCAACACGATGGCTACGATGATCCACGGACTGGCCACTGTCAACTATGAAGACTACGAGCCCAAACGCTGGCACTTGACGCTCATTATGTTTGCCATGCTAGTCGTGGAGGCCCTCATGAATATGTACACATTCTAGCCGATTCCTTGGATTGAACTCTTGGTTGGGGTGCTTCACATCATCATGTTCATTATCTTCCTGGTTGTTTTTGCAGCGTTGGCCCTGCCTCGATGGTTCTCATATGTAGGTGTCTTAGAGTCGATCACGGCCTTGTATGATCTAATGACATGAGATAGGTTGATCACAGGAACAATGTACCTGTCGGTTGACTTGGTCATTGCCCTAAGCAGATATCCTATCGATTCAACTATGCTCGGTGGGTAAAAGTGAAGTGTCATTTCTAAACTACAATCTGCCTAGCTATTCATAGTTCCACTTGTTTACACCTATGCATTCCTGATCCCTTGGTATGTCATTTGGAATGGTAGGCCAAGTCTAGGCCAAGCAAGGTGCTGTGCGGTATGTGGATTAGGTCAGGATACTCCACCTCTCTGGTCTGGTTGACAATATTGTTCCAACAGATATCTCTGATATTTTCATATCTCAGAATTCTACAGCGAAAACGTCTTCCAAAGGCAAATCATTATTCAACCCTTGACCTTAATTTTCTTCCACTAGGCAAATGGTTCGTGCTTCCTTGTCGGCGATTGTGGACCATACTGCGCGCGGTAGACCTTCATTGATGACTTCCGTGATGGTTCCAATGTAGGTATAAACATCCGTTGTGACGACTAGAGAGGCGTCAATATTCGCGACCCAGATCTTCACGAGTGTGCCGTAGATTGCTGGCAGGATGAAGGCGCCTGTGTTGAAAAGGAGAGAACCCGTGTAACTAATTGATCAGCATTTATTGCCACGTCTTGAAAGGGACTTACTTTGAGCCGTACCACCATCGCTCGCCGACAGCCCACCGTATTGATAGGAGCTTGGGTGATTCTTCAGCAGGATCCACTTGATCGGCTTGGACAGGACCCGCTTGAAGAAGATCCGCTTGAGTAGGGTTTGACTGAACGAGATCTGACTGAAGAGGGTGTGCAAACCCCTTTGCACAGTTGGAACCTGCACATGTTTCCATCGTTCGAAGCCAAATCGAAGCCAGGCAGACACAGGGGAGCGGAGGGTGGGCGAGGGAGACAGGGAAAACAAAAATTTCCCCGCCTGAAGCATGGCGAAGCACCCGCAGCATGTCACCTGCCTTCGTGCCAACTTACTAAGTATTGCAGCATCACTGCAGCCATCATACGACCACATCTGTTGGCGATAGAAGTCATGCACAATCTTCTTGCAAAGTGTTGATTTCCCGACACCCGCGCGTCCTCGGATTAGAATCCGCCTTGGCTGGATCATTTGGCCATCCGGACCTTTTCGGTCATGAAATAAGTCGGGAATGTGACTTCCCTTTCAGGACTATCGGCTATTATCTTTATGCGACTGAGTAGTGAAAAGCTTGATAGTAATTTTTCCTGTAGCTTCGTATTGCGGTCCTTGTGACGGTATTCGATTATTGAAAGATTGATGTAGCATTGCTCCATGTCTAGAAAGTCTCCAGAGAGGCGCTTAATCTTTAGACGATTGTTCCTCTCATAGTATTCCTGTAATTTGAGATCAACTGGTCTATTAGTTAGCAGCATCCTATATTAGTCTGAACAGAATATTAAGGAACCCTACTGTTGATCGTTGGGGCCGCAGGGATTCCCGACAGAAACATTTTGGCATAAGCAGCAGCAGCTAGAGCTGCATACTCTTGCCACTTTTTATTTTTATGGGAGTCGCAGTAGTCACAAATTCCTCGAATCACTAGGGGCCGTAGCTGATCCATCAAGCCAGCAGTTTCCATTTCGAAGCAGAGCAAGTTAAACTCCTGTGCAATAGAGTCTCGAATATTGGCATTCTTCATGACCTGATCACCGGAACCGATCAACCCATAATGAAATTCAGGTATATCGGTTTCTCGGGGATTACGGTCTACTACCTGGTTCCGGTCGCACGTAGTACAATCTGGTGTGCCATTTGGATGTTCATATGTAGCTCTGAATAACCAGTCATCATTTGGTCGGATATATTGTTGTCTGCTTGCACCTTTGGTGTACTGCATTGATTATACCCCTGACTTGGTATTTTCGTGAGAAGCCATCGCTCTGTATCTGAGTCAGAGCGGTTAGCAACTCGGGACAGGGTTTATCAAGTGAGCCATTATGTTAAGATTCTCCATCACGGTGAGTTTTGCCAAAATCATATTGGATAACACCGCCTGAGCGGCCTGTTGGCTTGCTGATCACAACATCACCAAGGCGAATGTCAGACCCAGTACTGGGAACTCCACCTCCAATGCCAACCATCAAGCCAAAACGAATATTTGGGAAGGTGGAACGCATCTGCGATACTACCATTGAAGCGGATACCTTTCCATATATACCAGATCGCAAACAAGCCACTGCCACATTATGATTACCAATTTCGCCAAGTGTGTAATTATTGTCGTCGGATTTTGCGGGAGGCAGAGGAAGGTGAACTTTGTCTAACACAGACTTTGCGGTCTCCAGTTCCAGAGATAATGCGCATATCCATGCGACTGTGTAGTCCCCGTGAGTGAAGTTCATTTTGTCAATAGAGTGGAAACAGATCTATTGCACTCGAGCCACGTATAAATTCATGGGGAAAGCCAGTCCATCTCCTAACATGCGACTAAGAGTCAGTCTTGTTGTTTCCATAACTTGACAGAAGATCTGAGAAATACATTGGGTACCTGAGAAAAATTCCCAACAATCGAACCGTGGGAGCAGATATGGGCACACACTGCAAGGGATGGTTATGTACTTGGACATTTGGATCAGGCACCAAAGAACGTGTGGCCGCGGGAGATGACTAAACCGCTTATATCATCGCCTTTCTTGGCCGATTGATTCATTGCATAAATATTGCATTGTCATTGTGTTTTTATTGCAGTTTTATTGCATTTATACGGCATTTTTCGGGACAGTATTATCGTGATATATCGTTTGTTTTGTCGATCAGGAAGCCTCCCAAATTGCATAAATATCGGCTTCTTTATCGTATAGTTAGTTGAATCAAGACCTTCATTCAGTTGAAAAACGATCATATTCCTTGGTTGAATAAACGCTTCTCGGTAGACCCACATATTTCTGCCACAGAACGTTCTGAGCGAGCGGGGTTCGTGTGATGCCAAGCCTTATTGAATCACGTGTGACGACTTCACCTCTGAGACCTCCAGGTTCCCAACGTAAAGTAACGTGATGCACCGCCAAGCAGCGGATCCTCTGCTCGAACCTCGAGGTAGCGGCTTGTGCATTTTGGCCAGCCAGCGCTATCATGCTATCATGGGCGACAGGGAGAGAAGAAGAAGAGGTCCAAAAAGGCCAAGAAGGGAAGAAGAGAGAGTTCTGTGGATCACAGACACCAGAATTAAGATGCTGTCAAACACAATCGGTATTTCTCATACACACCAAAGGTGGTGGTCATAAAACGAATGAATGAGGGTCTGAATTCTTTGACTATCTGCAATCTCTTGCTCCTTAAGTATTTCCATCTGTATCCCCTGAACATACAATACTTCGTACAGTTGAATTATGATCGTCAGGACCCATGGCTGATCATCCGGATCTTTATATTTCCGGTATCCGGTCATTTCGGTTGACAGATGCTAATCAATCAAACATAATGAACTATATCAAGTATTACTGGTACTAATTTTCACCTACTGTATTATACTGTTACGAGACAGATACAGTATATATTACAGGCTGAGAAATCATGTTCTGTATGTAAATATGCTTCTACTTTAGCGCCTTGGCATTAGGGTTTGGGAAGAAGCTTTGTTATTGCGGGGGTGAAACAGGTTTCGAATCCGAGTGTACGAATTAATTATTTGGGCGCGATAATCATTCGCAAAATGTTCCTTTCTGAAGAGGGCCCCAGTAAGAACTCTACATTTCTACCAGCTAACAGCCAATTAGCTAGACTTCATAAGTAACTTTCATTGGCTGCGGGATCGCCTCCTGAGAAGGTGGGTCTAAGCGGCCAATGAGCTGCGGCTTGATAGTGAGTCAGGTAAACAAACAGGCCGCACTGAGACTGTCTAACCCTGCCACTCATGACACCGGAAATTAATGTGGCTCCGACACCAGCTCAGAATCATAGACTCCATCGCATGGTCGCTGAAATAGGCATTGGTACATAGCCTAAGCACTGGTCCCCCTACACCATGTGTTCGCTTGCCTGGACTTACTTGGTCCTTCCAGAAAGGCATCGACTTACCTGCTACCGGTGTGGCCTGTGGCCACTTTTTGTGGTGATCATGTGCGCTTGAGGCAGCCAGCAATGGGCGGGTTCCGTTGCGGGCAGGATACTATGATTGAAGCGCTGCGGCGAGTGGGTCCCGGACCGCAGCGCACCGCAGTCATTCATTTCGCCATTATGGCAAATCATAGCAGAGGAGGCCTTCCACGGCAAATAACAATGGCAAGGATTAGGGTGAGCGTGAGCAATCTAACATCGAAGAGAAACAGAACAGTAATGTTGAAAGGGCATGGATAAAAAGGTGGGGCCCCACAAACCCAAACAAGCTGGTCGAGCGAGGGTGGCGCAATAATTATCGGCCGGCAGCACCTGCCAGCATACAAATAGGCGCCGTCTTCTGTGTGGGCCGCAAATCTGCCCTCCATTTTCACTATCACCTGGATATCATCATTAGCAGGATGCTTTTGAAACTCCCAATTGAAATAATCCATATTACGCTTGAGGTGTGGAGATTGACGCCCAATCTCTCGTTCACAGCTAATTTATCTACGTGCACGAACTAGTATCTTGAACGTGCTGAGCTCAACAGCTTATGTCGAGCTTCAAAATATTTTTACTCCGTTACAGTTCCATTCCTATATAAATCCGTCACTCTGAAGACCGATGAGGAGGATGAGGACTTTGATGATTGGAGCAACATTGATGCAATATTGCAAGCACCCACACATCCAATCGACCCCCTTATCCATCTACGAACAATTGAGATAAAATCACGGGCTCGTGTTGCGTACGGTTGCTTTCACAGAGATCCCTATTTGGACACCAAGTCCGACAGTGAATCCGACAGTGAATCCGACAGTGAACCCGACAGTGAACCCGACAGTGAACCCGACAGTGAACCCGACAGTGAACCCGACAGTGAACCCGACAGTGAACCCGACAGTGAATCAGACAGTAGTCTCAGTGGCGAATCTGACAATGTATCAAAGCATATCCTTAAGGTCGGCCGCAGGAAGTACGGGCGCCTTAGATACCCCATCAACATTCTGTTGCAGGTCATTGCCAGATGCACGACGGATAGGCTGGAGAGCTTCATGTAAGTGTACCATGTGCCCAATAGTATCCCCCGCGAAGAGAGGATCTAATGCACTCTTGAAATAGTTGGGGTCTAGGTATGTGCGTTCCCGAGGAGCTCCTTGGTTCTTCTGGCCTTCTTCTAGAAAAGCAGAAAACGCTCAAGTCTATTAGTCTCCGGACTGGTGGCTCTTGTCGCTTTGATCACGAGAAGATTTCATTATCAGGATTTCGATATTTGGAGAATATATCATGGCCCGAGCTGGATAACCGGGATCATATCAGCGAGTTATGCTCGGCCCTAAAGTATAACTCATCTCATCTTATTCGCTTGGATATTGGTGTCTCAAACTGGTATCACAAGCCTATGAATCTCATGAAACGGGTTCTCGCGAATGAAATTGCAGATATCAGTGACAAAGATCCAGGAATCGCATTTCCTACCCTTCAATATGTTTGCTTCACTAACATGGATTTCCTCCTGACGCACGAAAAGTTTTGTTCTACTTTTACTTTTGGTTCACTTCGATCCTTGAGTCTTCGCCTTTGCAAAGGTTGGGAGGAGCTTTTGCACGCCATTCGAGATTCTAGTCCGACCATTTCTTTGAAATCCTTGTTGGTCGAATCTGATCCCTATATGGACAACACGGACACGGAAAGCGCGAGAGCGCTTTCTAGCTTCATCGACGCGTTCGAAGGTCTTGAAGAGTTGTATGTCTCGGTAGTGAGCTTCTCAAACCCATTATCGATCTGGGATTCCGCACTGCGCCATAAAAAATCCTTGCGGAGGCTTGTCTATCAGCAATTATCCCATGATAGTGAACCCCTTGGCGATCCCGTGATGGCATTTACACCATCAGAGGCGGAGAAACTATCGGCTGATGTTTCTCACAATCCGTTGGCTGGGCTAAACCTTGAATTTCTCGGCATTTGCTGCAATGATTTTGATATACTGGTACGCCAGACAAACTGTGTTTTCATCACGTGCTGCCCACTAACCACACCCCCAATCCCAGAAAGCCCTTTTGTCCTCGCCCAACATTAGGGGGAGTATTCGAGTGCTACACCTTCGAGTTCCAGAATGGCGATTTGATGACTGGGACGATGGTTTGGGCCCTCATGGCTGGTGTCATGTTCCATCCTCTCTTTGTTCTTTTATGTCATGGGTATTTGGACCCGAAGGACCGCCCTTCCTTCACGTTATAGGGCACTTCGACGAGAGTCCGTCTGGAAGCCTTTGCGAAGATACATTTTACTGTAGGGATACAGAGACCAAGGACGCCTACGGTTATTCTGGTTTCAAATATATCCAGTCAACGTCGGGCTATCTTCGTTCGTACTGCGATGCATTTGGAGCCTGTCGAAGCACGACTGATTGAGGTGGAAGTGTTGTGAATCGAGGCTCTACATGAGAGATGATAAGGCCTCGTATACGGAATTGATTCCGTTTATTCCGTTTCAATCCAGACTGATTGGGAATCCATTTGGGCTTCACTCTGTGTATATATATCTTGTTCTTTTCTGATGAGAAAAAATTAAATCAAGCTTCCTTCTGAAATCACAACAGAAAGTATCAGGTTGGAACTTTCCAGTATGTACCTTCGAGGTTGTAGAGTAAACAAGATTTCGACTCATAGGGGTATACCCCAGAGTTGCAGGATCTCATATGATCAATCAATCAATCAATCAATCAAAATTCTATTAACCTGATGAAGCCTATCTATTGAAACGACAGGCTATGCAGGC